GGCAGCGTTTGAGATATTTAGTGGCACCCTAGACTGCAGTTTGCGTGGAATGAGAGCGGATTTGCAGCCTTGCCGTGAGCAGAGCTAATGCACTTACATAGTTAATAATTAAGCAGTAATGCTATGACATTTGAGCCTGACGACAACGTTGTGGAAAACCCCCTCTTCTTCTTCTCCTGCTGGAAATGCATGATGATACGCGCTGAATAAGTTACCAGCAACACCTGACAACTTACTTACCATTACCTGGACCCATTACAGGGGCCTCATGTCTATTGAATTCTTAATCAATTTTATTAAATCTACCGGAATTTCGCCGATATCGGGCCTGACGTCATTCCATCGCTACAACGCAATCACAAAACTATGCAAACTTTCTCCTCGTGGTGAATACTTTGTCTGAATCAATTTCTAAATTTATGTACCGTTCAGCATCAAATTAATCCTGAAGGAATATCCGCCTTCCTTTGGAGACGAGATCCATGTATTAATTTACGCATTACGGCGATACCCCATGCATCCAAGAACCAATTTGTTGCGTGGCCTTAGACCTGCCCGTCTCCCGGAAGGACGGCTTCCTTCTCCAAACTTCCGCCCAGGATGGTGGGACAGGAAGAGTAATAATAATGGGCGATGGACCCCAAGATGGGATGGAGAACAAAGGTGGTCATCAGTCCTAATTGTTGCTCGCTCTCTCATCGGCGGCCCTGCTTTCTCCGTCCTTTCAAAATAAGTTGAGACGCTGTTTGGTCGGACGTCTCCTCGTCGGCTGGTAATTTATATTGGGTCGTAACCATTACCCAAGCACGAGGAGCACCGTCTCATTTCATCCTTCACCACACCGCCGGTCAATGGGCAAATGGAATGACGGTCTTTTCCAATCAATCATCCATGGCGGCTCTTTGTACGAAATGGAAGTCTGCCTGCCTGCCTACTTACATCATCAACCATCCGCGTCACACAAGGTCTATTCTGCTCGGATAAATTGCCATGAAATACAAAAGAGCGCTAATTATTAATTCATAAAGTGCACAAGAAGTGAGTCACGAGTGGTAAATACAGCGTATCAACTATGTATGCATCAATTGCACTCTAGGTACCTGCAAAATTACTTAAGCTCATCTAGTAAACTGCAGAATATTCTGACCAACTTATGTGCGAACCATGAACCTTTATGGACAGCCATCCACCTTACTTCTGCCCCCGTTGTCCGAAAGCAGGGAACAATAAAGGGCTTTCTCCAAATGATAGGACAATGTGATGGGTAAGATGTTTGGCGAAATTGGTTTTTTCCTCGGTGCATTCAAGTGAAGTCAGTGGAGTGAACCTGGTGAAAGTAGGAGCGAGATCTAATTTCGTCCGCTAATGTCCCATCTCCACCATGGCACTGCTTTTAATGACAATATTTACTCTTACTCTGGTCACCTCAAGTCTTGCTTTGCAGGAAATGATGAGGTTAGATATAAAGGAAATCTGGGTTATTTGCTGATATGTCGATGCATTAAGATTCCGTGCACTAAAATTTTATAAATTGCAGGCATTGACATTTGCTTTCACTGTCTTAATAAATTATTTTTGTGCCATACGTGTAAAAATAGGGAGCAGCGGTCCATCATAAATGCCTCTTTCGTCTCCTCGACTATATATTTCGTCCATTTCCATTCTCGTACAACTCCTCTGCAATTGTCACCGCTGTTTCAGACCGAGCGGAATTTTATGTCCCAAAGTGAGTGATATATCTGAAGCGTGTTCGCCAGAAGCAAGTGCGACCTTTAAACCATTCGAAATTATTCAAATGTACTCGCACAGACTTTTACGATTTGATACTATCGAGTCAGAGGCGGCACGTCATTATTATTATGTAGGATTTGGTGGTCCCAAGGCCCCCGTTTTCGATGGGGACAGGTTGACTATCACATCACACGCGTTGACACGAAAGTGTTTTTATGTGAGTACCAACATTTACTCGTGATGTTCATGCCTATGATGCATGCACGGCAAAATGGGGTTTGAAAAAATATTACCCACTTTCCTACAATTTTTGCCATTCAACAATTGAATCACAACACCAAACTTTCTTCCAAAAAGCGTTATTTTTTCGTAAATGTATCCAAGAATAAGTTTTAAATTGTGAAGTGGAGTTAGGCTGGCAGATAATAAGGAGCAACATGGCTGGCTGGCTGAGTGAGTAAGTTTGTGAGGATTTAATGGACCAGTTTTTGATCCAACTGCTAACTCCCCATTATTGCTGCTCGTTTAGTTTGAAATTGTCTCCAAGTAGTTGTACACAAATCACGTACCTTGGCACTCGTTGATGGGAATTTGTGTTATTCAAAGAAATGGCCATATCACCTCAGCCACACACTTGGAATTGCCCTCTGGATACGTTGTTGCTTTTTTGGTAGGGGAGAAGCCTGAGCATTCCTTGGATATGAGCATCACCCGAGTGTTTGCTGCTGGCTTTCAAGTTGAACAAAAGTCGATGTAAAATGCATTGCTTTTTGGTGATGTTGGATGTGTCGGTTGGATGCTCAATGAATCAGAGGAGACGTTCTTAGGGGGCAGGGAGGAAGGCTATAGGTGTGCATACACCCTTTGAGGTAGCAACTTAGCTGGTAATCCTTTCATGAATGTGAACCCATAATTTGAACTCGGATGTCAAACTTTTCGTAAAAGTTTACTCAGGAGAAAGTAGGCAGGAAGGAGAGCCACACGTTGTGCGGTGTCTTGGGATCCGTTCACTTTCTTCCACTTTTTTCACTCTCTCTCTCTCTCTCTCTCGAATGGTGCTGTTGATAGCGTAATGCCGCGGACTTCATTGGTCTTTCGTCTGATGGGGTCTATATCCTCCATGAAAATGGCTTCATCAACTTGAACCCCCGACAGAGCAAATGTGCGGACGCTGGATAATATGCAACACTTAATTTTTATACCCAACTCTCATGATCCGGGAACTGTACCTCCTTCAGTGTTCAGTTTGCATAATATTTATGATTACGACATGTATGTACTTACAACCTCCGCCATACAAGCTCCATTCCTGGGAGGATACGTACATAAGAAAAAAATTAAAATTTCAAAGTTGTAAACACAGATCCGCACGAGAGAACAGACAATAAAAGGAGAACAGAGTGTAGGATTGTGTGTGGGGCAAGGAAGTGAGAAATGTCAGGCGAAAGATAAAGTTCAATTCCAGAAAACGATGAATAAACTTTTGCCCCATTGCCTCAAAGTCGGTGCGAAGGAGGCTGAACGGGAGGGCAGGGCCAGGACAAAGAGGAAGTAGAGAAAGTAATGTTTGGAATTTTTAGGAATTTTTTAAATGCCGCAATAAACAAGCGACAAGCAACCGCCCTTCTGACACCGAGTACATTATGAGCATCCACACACGATAGCGGCGGCGATAGGACGATGAAACCGCAATATTTCAACCACTTCCTCTCCTCCGCTGCTCACTTACATCAATTCCGACCTTGTTGGGTGGCTTTCAAATAACTTGGAGACTAAAAACTCGTCGTCGTCGTGAGTTTGGTCATCTCATTTCCGACTGGATGCCGTTCCTCCCAGCACCGCACCAACCGTCGCAATCGAGCCCCACATACATATACATTTAAGCTTTTATGAAGTTTGTGCCTCCTTCATCCGTTCAGCCAGCGTGGAGGAAGAATTTGGAATGAATGTGAATCAGACCCACTTTTTACGAGTTGACTTCATTTGGGTTTGGGCAGGAGAAGACGAATGGCTGGAAACTAATGTGTAATGACAGGGGCGGATTTGATGGTAAAAGTTTGCGGATTGAGACCTCCTTAAGGGACGACTCTCTCATATTTCCACCACCAGCCCCACTTTTTTATCTCTCTCCGGTAACAGAAGGGATGAATATCAAGTTCCCCTATCCAAATTTGCTACAATGCTGCTGGTGTGCATAAAAGTCTCGTTTAAGACGGACTATGCATATCCAGCCCGTGAAAAAATAAGGCTGGGGCTGGAGCAAAAATAAGACCATTAACTAGGAAAACCTCCTCTCACAAAGCCTATAAATCTGCGGAAAGGGACAATATTTAATGTTAATGTTCCACTCATCTACCAGCCAGCCAGCCCTCCATCCCGCCGCTGTCCACGTGTAAATCCCAACCCAACAACTACTACTACACATTTGTAACATCACGTTTCATGAGCTCACTCACTCACACGAGCACTTATGCAACGTTTTATACTGGACGCAGATACGTGTGCGGTTATTTTCCTAGCAATTTACGTTGTCAACCGATAGCAAGATTAATGGTGAGGAAATTCGTGTGAGCTCACAAGTTCAGAAGTAAATAGAAGAGAAACCCGGGGGGACGCGAGTATAAATTTCTGAAGACTCTCGAGGGACTCGCTTTGATAGATTCCCCATTTCAAAGTGGACAGAACAACTTTATTTATTATTTATCTCAATAGCAAAGTCTAGACCTATGTACATACGCTGTCGCAATTATTTAATTCAATTTCTATGATGGAGAACAAGCGCATCGTGTGCATCTCTGTGAACGTAGGGAAGCGTGTGCCTGTGTAGAAATGGGACATGCTGCGCGAGGAATGGAGGGCAGGTCACTTACTGGTCGGGGACATCTGTGCTACTGGACTAGAGATTACTTTTTGTGAATTTTATGCTCCACCGGCATCTTTGCTTCCGTTTCCTGGATGGAACTTTGCAACGGAATGAGCTTGGCTCAACCAAATTGTGCAGTCGTCCCATTTTCCTAACGACTCCACTGCAGCAGGCCTGCTTTCTCCTCCTTTCTCTTTACTCCACTAACCCCAACGACCATTCACGTAATGTCCACCATGGTCCAAAACAGGGCAAGGTGTCACAAGTGTCACAAGTGATGATGCACCAAACGAGACACATTTTAAACCTTTTGCGTTTCACATTCTCTTCGGAAAGACCTATTTAATAAGATTTGCCAGATTTTGCGAAACGAATAATAAGGCGTATTATTTTTTATGAATTGCAGAGCCAGTGACCCACATAGAAGGACTGAATGGGAGAGGATCGGAGCTTTTCTTGAAGGCCGGAAGCACCATAAATCTCACCTGGTTCGTGATTTAATTGAATTTGCACTTTTCCTGAAGAGATGATGCAGCTTTCAAATTTAGTATAATAACTAATTTGCATAATTTGCTATATTTCCAGCATCGTAGAAGATGCCACTGACAATGCCCCAAAACATATTCTGTGGAAACACAACTCTAGGGTAAGCTTTCATATCATGCAACTAATATTTTTTTAATCAGAGGTCGATTATGCCAACTATGCAAATATACGATTTTAATCAGAATCTACACTGTGATTCATCTCCAGTTACATCTCCACGCCCACGACCATCCCAATTAAATAGATAGAGCTATACGTTGAGCATCTTAGAAATTCTAGGTCCTCAATTCCAGGGGATGATTATTACATGAGCCATTCAGAAACTGAAGCATTGACGTGCATGCATTTTGAGTATCCACTGAAACATAGATTTCATGAGCATTAAAGCTGCATTGCTCCTTTCACTTTCACCACCTTCTTCTTTTGAAAGTCCCACGACGTGGGATCTGATTCAGCTCGCTAGTCAACTTTCACTTTTAATTTTCTTTGGAATTAGTGAAAAAAATCACTTCACAAGTTTCCAGAAAAATCACGAAACGACTTGAACCTCTCATTACTGCCAGCACTAATTATGAGCATCAAAGTTTTTCAATTACACATTAGTCCAATTTTTTCAAAAATCTGTTTCTGACATATGTATCCCGACGTCCTTACTTTGTTAAGTCAAAAAGGAGATATTTTTCAGGTTGTCGACCCTGTTTCTCACATGGCTGATAAAACCGTCCATACGCCTTTGTTTAGAATTTGACACAATTTGCATCACGTTGATTATTCATGAGGTGAAAAAGTTTAGTCGGGGTTTGTCCTCATTGTGTTTTCAAAAGTATATCGCGTGTCACTTGAGCTGTTTGGTCTTCGGTGGGTTGAGGACGGGCCAGGTAATTTGCACCCAAGTCACGCCCGTTTGATGTAAGCCTTTCTCTCACTCTTCTGATTAGTCACTTCCGAGAAGAAGGGCCACAACCACTTCCAGCACCAGTGCCTAACTCCAGTCCTCAGCTATCTGCATCTAATATCTTTTCGGTTAAAGGTGAAACCAGATTCCAGGCCGCTTCTCACCTCGGTTTTTGACTTATTGGCGAAAGATCGCTTACAGTTGACGCTTTGTGTCACGAAATCTCCAACCGAGAAATCTTCAACCTTGCTTTGTAGGTAACCTTGAGCTCAAATGATAAAATCCAAAATGATCAAAGAAACTGAACGATTGACAAGTGACACTTTATTGTTTTAATTCAGCCTAGTTCCTACTTTTTGGTGTTCCATTCCATTACAAGACTCTCGCTGATGTAAATTTCGAGGAGGAGGAGGGGTCGAGGAGAGATAAAAGCGAGGGAAAGTGTCCCAAATCTTACTTGGTTGCTGGTGCTGAAAGAAAGTGCGCTATCGTAAAGTCATTTAGCTGGATGGGATCATTGTTAATTTGGGTAGCATCTCGTCCCTGACGTGATTGGGTGCAGTCTCTGTTGAGTCGGATTCCCATCACCCTTTGGGTCACGAGCCAACATCCTGACTCTCTCTCTGAATCTCCTCTTCCTCCAAATTCACTTTCACTTTTGTGTCACTCGTCTAATTTGTAAGTGTCGTGAATGGTTCATTCAATGGATAAAAATAACCGTTTGTTTTCCCAACTGCTGCTTCCTCTTCAAACCCCATTTTTCTCGCAAACTTTTTCAATCTCTTTCCAAGCAAAAACTTTCCCCCGTCACAGCACAGTCGTAATTGCTCCATTGATTTTAACAAATTGCGCAACCCGACTTCTGCACAAACAATAAAATGCATTTGCTTCTCAAGTGGACGTGAATCACTATTCAAGCCGGGGCAGCTCCAGAGTTTTAAACTTTCAAGCTGAATGGACCCTGCAGAAAGGAAACTGGGGCATCGAGTCAAGGAGAAGATGATGGCAAAGTTGCAGAAATTGAGTTTACTGATTGAATTCGCGAGCCCATGGCCAAGATCGCATGGTGACAGGGGCCACCCTCCCCTCGTCCTGGCAAAAATGGGAAAACAAAGGAGCGTACGAGGGGAAAGTTGGTCAAGTCAACAGACCGCTGGGCACGGTGACCACGCTAAATATACATCTGCACGCGCATCGCCAGTCCTCATACTTGGGATCAGATCTCTCCATTTTTTATTTAAGACCGAGTCAAGAGAGAGAAAATGTGATGGGAGATTCATGAACCCAAGTTTGAGGGTTATCTCACCCGGTGCATTTTAAAGTTTTTATTCGACTACCGATTTGAGTTGCACATAACAAAATGTGAAATTTTTACCCTGGTGGAAGGAAAGTGGGGGTTTTGGCCGTGGCACGTTTCTCGTGTTTTATTAAACTACACGTAAATTTTTAAACCTACAAATCCAATTTCTTTGCATGTTTTCTAATGAGATGATAATGATTATGATTATGACCATTGAGACCCCATTGAGAGAATGGTGTGATATTATTATGCAAATCCTTTGTCCTCACGCTGCAAGTCATAGGTAAATTGCTTTATTACGCAAATTCACTCTTTATCATTGCCATAAATTTTCATAATTTGATATATTCATGACGGACTGAGTGAGCATTAAACAAATCCAATAATATTACTGAGAAGCATATTATCAAACAATTAGCTTAATAGGCCGACATAAAACAATATCGTGAATATGTTTGGCATTATGCAACGTGACGAGAAGCGTGCTCAGGCGAGGGGAAAGATCTTAATATCAATTTTATCGAGCGATTCATTCAATTTTGACGAGGAGCAATAAGTCCTGCAGTTCTTGTGCCAGATCACTCACGAAAACTAACCACATCTGCGCCGACTTAGTCCTGCTTATGCAGACAAGATGCAATCCGTCAAGTTTTTCATGGAGAAAGCACTGAGATTCCTCCGCAGCCCTCAGTCGACAGGACGCAGTTAACTTTTTTTCTGGAGAGAGAGAGAGCAGACACATTTTGCAGCTATGTATCTCTTTTCACTATTTTCCTGTCTCGCCTCTGTTTTTAGTGGGATGCACGCGCACCTTCATTTTTTATCATGTTATGCATATTTCTCAATTTTTATTTTCCCTTCCCTCAAGTTCCCGACAGAAAGATCTCTCCTAATTCCGGTGCGCTCAGAATTGAGGGATACATTGCATTTTGTTGCTGACATTCCCCGGAGCCCGAGGGAGAAGGAAGCAGCTCAAGGAAACACTGCTGCTATGCTGGGTTGAGGAGAAAGTCCTCAGGGAGTGGTGGTGCTGGTCCTGGTGTGGTATCAACATGGCAAGTGAGTGCGTTGGACTCCTCTTGAGGGAGACTTGGCCAACGTGTAGTTGATATTGGAGCGGATCTGTCATGAAAAAAGTAGAGGGTGCAGTGGATAATGCATCTCCGGGAAGTTTCCTGTCCACCTGGTGAGCATGCACCCACAATCCGGCTTGTTTGGTCGGGAGGGATGGGATGATTCTGTCTGGTGGTGCACATTGTGTGCGGACGGCCCCGTATTGGTCTTGGTGGAGGGATGGGAAGCAATTGGGAAAAGCTGAGAAAGTGGCGGAGATTGAGTGAAAGTGAGAGGAAGTCAATAAAGCGACATGAGGACAACAATTGAGGATGAAGTAGAGTGGTCCGTGTTGTTGGCTCCTCTCTCTCGCTCCCAATGTTTTCACTCCACTCCGGCCCACTGTCACTGTCTTTTCTACCACTCGCCTCCCTGTCACGGATAAAACTCTGGAAAAGGGACGCGCCATATGCTCACGTCATACGCGTCCATCCTTCACCTCCTCGCAGTGGAAATGCACAAAACACAACTGAAATGATAAATATTGGAACACGAAACCGGGATAAAGTTATGTATGGTGCAGTTGTGTCCATTTAATTGAATTAGCTAATTAATTTACGGGCTTGACGGGAGGTGGGAGGACGTGATTTGATTGAACTTTCGCTCAGATTCATTTATTTTGATAATTAATGTGATTTGCAGATAGTGAACTTTGAGTGGAATCGTGGAGGGATGAGTTTGGTAAGTAATACTTTCAGCCTGCCATTATCAGAGGACCGGCAGCAATTCCCCATATTCACTCTTCTACCCGGTCAAGCCGGAAGTCTAGGGAAATGACCCCTTAACATCCGCCTAGACTGGCCGTTGGCGGGGGTGACCCGCGCTTTAAAGTAGTTGAGCCAAACTGTCACGCAGATCCTGAGAGGGGCCCCTTAAGTAGCCTCCACATTGGACAAAGTGACTAACTCATGTCAAAAATTCCTCCCTGTCCCACAGCTACTTCCCCCTCAAATAGAATGCACGTTTTGCTGTATCACTTACAAGTTCTAAAAGGTCGTTTGATTGTGTACTAGATAGTAAATAGTTAATTCTTATTTAGCTATTGTCTGTTTAGTTTTTCGCAATTTGTTGCTCCTTTCCAAGTTTTAAAGCTGCTTTCTCCTCTTATGCAACCTCACCAAATTCACACCTTTGGTCTGTTTTCGATTATAAGAACGTGCCAAGTTTTTGTATTTCATCAGGATGCACATAAACTGGACACGTTCATCTGTCAACCCTTCTAAATGAATGCAAAAAGCAGTTACAGAAGGTTTGTCAAATTTCGGTTGCATGATTAGCTTCGTGAGTTCAGTCTCATTCTTTACTTTCTCCACTCTCTCTTTTTCTTCCACTTTCCGACTATTTTCCTTGTCACCTCTTCTCCCCAGCTCTTCCATCCATTTTCGCGTTTGTGCCAGACAGATCGAATTATAGATTCCCTCAGCCAACAATGCCTACCTAGCTTAAAATTACGTAACTTTGAAATGCTGAAATCCCTTTGCAACTACACGCTTGGGTTGGTTAGTTTAATGTCATAACTAGGACTCAGACCTGTCAGCTCCTCCGTGGTTCCAAACGGCACAGGGGCTTATCTTATGCCGGTCTGGTGTGCAAACCCTTTGCTGTCCCGGTTCCTCATTCAAGGCGTCAGTAGAATGTTTATGGACAATAATATTGTAATTTAGATTACGGAGAAGAAGTCACGTGGCGTCACCGTGTCGAGGCTCCTCATCCAGAAAGCAGCGAGAACTGATAGGTGAGTAAGACGCCTTTCACCCCGTCGCATTTTCTTACTGATGAGAGGCATAAATATTCCTTCCGGCGAGGATTACATGTCTTTTATTGTATGAATGACGAAATAAAAATTATTGAATAATCTACAATCTCAATCCGTGTGCATTACGTACATATTCCAGTCCATTTATTTCCTCGTCTTGTCTAAATGCATGAATACTCAATGATTGCAGTGGGACCTATTTCTGCTTACCGCAAAACGCTCATCCAGCCTCAGTAAAAATACACGTTTTGATACAAGGTGAGTATTTCATTCTTTTATTTTTATCTCAAACTCAACTCGGTATACATTCTTTTTCGTCCGCTTTCCCTTTATCCGAGCTCCTTTCCATTCACTCCTGATGGCATAATTCAATAACGAGATGACAATGAGATCACTTCGAGATTGTCTGAGCGGGTCAGTGGCTCCTTATTTCAGGTGCTGTCTGGGTGGTCGCGTTTTATTCTGTGCACTTTATTTTACGACTTTGGTCCACACAACGTGCGGCTATGTGCGCCTATGGAGCGAGGTCTACCACCACACCCCACATAAACATGTCTTATGTGGTTGTCTGGTTAGTTTTCTCGTGTCGTACGAGGTAAAGGTGGTGGTGGTGGATTCAATTGTGAAATCCGACACCATCTCCGGCACGTCCTCCTTACACGTTCGACTGAGCTTTGACTGATAAGGGAATGATAAGAGCGTGGTTCTCGAGGGAAAAAGAAAGTGGGTGACGGCAGAGATCGGGATTTATTCACTTCTGATCACCTCCTCTTCTCGCACACTCGCCCACCAAAATTCTTTCAGATTTGGATCACTTTCCCCAACTTTGACTTTCAATCCACCCAAACGTATCAATGCTGTGCAGTATTTACAATTTACACCGGGAGAATAGCGTAACTTGCATATGTGTACGTACGTTTATTCTACGTATGTGTGCACATTATGCAACTACAAAATAGCATGTTATGTACATGGCTGTGTTGACGGCAATACATTTGAGGTCCATACATAGCTTGTTAGCGTATTAAAATGGGAACGTAAAGAAGAAAGTTGAAGCTTGTGACTCAGTATAGCTCATCTCCTTAAGCCATTGGATTCCTTTGGTATTCTGAGTGGGGAAGCAGTCATGAATGCGTAATGGAGAAAGGCAGCTCTCCTCAGCAATCTTAACCCAAAAGGGTGCGAGAACTTTGCGAATTTCACTGACTGCATGTACGGGCAGCAGCACAATATACGTGCCTGCCTACGTATAACATACCAACCGAACTATGTATAGGTACGTATCAACGATAGAAAACCACACGACACCAGGAGCGAGAAGAAAGCCAACAACAAGCACCTTTCTTATCGTGGCCACCTCGCCAGACAGGCAGGAGAGCAAACATCCATATCATTACGCCTGTAATGATAACACGCATGAGGAGATTATGCCATTTGCGCGTACAAAGGGAAGACCTTTGACTTTGGAAGAGCAGGTGGTGATGGGTTTGGTGTGGAGCCATATCGCGAATTCTATGCCCTCCTCACAATGTACGAGCTCCAATTGTACGATATGATTTCTTCTCCTTATTTTGAATTCTCCAAGCGAGCAAACAAGGTCGCAGCGCAATTGACAGTCCTCCTCAATTTCTTATCCATTTTTTACCACCATTGGCACCGCCACCACCACCAGCGACGATTTCTTTATACTTTACTTGTACTGGTGGGTGGGTGGCTAGGTGAGCTACCTGCAGCCTCCTTTCTTCTCCGTCTCCTTCAGGATGGGATTGAGGAGAGAAAGTGGCTTGATTTAAGTTCATGATCCACATCACAAATATCCCGGTTTTTTGCTTGCTTTCTCTTCGACCCTATTTATATGGAAAATTTACACTCGGTGGAATTCTCCAAGATGGGACTTAGCGATTCAACACTCGGCAGCATGGAATCAACACAGCTATTCACTTTATGTCACCACAGTGAGGAATATCAGAACGGGAATTGGAGAGCATTAGAATTTTTTGGAGCAGCCACCACGAGATCCGATATTATGGGATTAGAGCCTCCCGGATTCCGATCTGAATGGCATTAAAACCTACGGAGCTGCTCCACATTTATTTGGATATGAAGTGAAGAAGACACGCAACTTTTTTGTGCGACGTGTTTTAAGCATGAAATAAATCTGAATTGCTGAAAATGTGGAATTGATGTACTCATTCAGTGCGAGAGAGAGGGAGAAATGGGGAAAAGGATCAAGTAGCTGGACGGGTTGCGTGATGTGACATTCGTCCCAAGGAAAGTTGACATTTGACTTGACACGGATTTATCCCGAACTGTTGAGGCCCTGCGAGAAGTGCTGGGTGCGATATATTGGCAACATTTGAATCTGTATCCCCTTGTAACTTACTTCCTCTAAGCTGCTGCTCGTGCAAGCATGAACTGATTTGGGATCACATTTCGCCTCGGATTCCAGGCCAAATGGGGAGAAAGCACTCGAGTGCATTTCACTTTTCCGTGGGTGGTGCGGTGTGAGTGAGGCGGATTCTTCCACAAACGCTGACAAATGTTTCTGCTATCATTTCCACATTTTTGCATAGTCGAGACTTTATTCCGATTCAACTTGCCGTGTCGATCTATCAGCGAATAAAACACACGGTTTCCAGTCCAGTTGGCTTTATTCAAATAATGACACTGCGCACAGGCCTCATGCACGCTTTTCCACCATGATGACTTGTGACCTAGTGGAGCATCATCATCATAAGTACATGGCAGATATGAACATACAGAAAGAGTTGACAGAGTCGGCAGTCATTGCAACACCCTCCTTCCGCCTGGAAATATGTGGATGTGAGCATCGGCTGTGCATAAATGAAAGGGTAAAACAGCATAAAATAAAAGGTTGGATGAATCTTGTCAATTTTTGCAATTCACTCGTCCGTGCTGACTTGACTTGATGTTTTTGAACTGAGGATATGCACCAACTCCCGTCCGTGCTCAACCAAATTTTGAGTAGAATTCCTCCAACAAAGAACTTGCACCCAAAAGATTGTTGAATTTTGAATGGTATCCTTCCCCTTTTGTCTTCCTAACACGCTTTTGAGCTCAATTTGAAATTTGACTAGGAAAACATTCCCAGTTCTGACACCCCAGCCTTCTTGCAAAATCACACATCTAACAATTGCCAAGTACATGCATAGGTAGGTAGATACACATGTGGATACATATACTTACTGTTTCCAGACAGACTCCAGTCGATAGGCGACTAAGGAATAAAAAGAAGTTGGGAAAAAGAAAGAAGCCTGAGTGACTTGCTTCGTCTTCATTTTCGACTCAACTTTTTCTGACAGATGAAAACAGAAACAAGGGAACAAACGTGTCTACAAATTTAAGTTTTGCACCTCCGTCAGTCAGCCAGTTGTTTATGCGCTATAGGAATAAACCGTTTTCATCCGCATAAAATGAGTCTGCACACGTGAATTTATTCGACATTCAGCATAGTCCTCAGTTTAGCTCAAACTCGGGATTTACACCCGATAAGAAAGAAACCAAGGCCATTGTGTTCCGAGTTTGAGAAGGACACTCGCTCTGTTTATATTTCGCAAGATTGTCTCATTTTCCGTGAGTGCCTACTTTTCATAAATCAAAATTGTAATGTTGCCAGATTAAAACAAATTGCACTGATTTCGAGTAATGGTCCTAAAGTGCTGGTGCTGTTAGAATTTCGCAAAATATCAGAGCCATTGTTAGCTCATAAAGGGGAGTCTCATGGAGTGCTTTATAAACACACCTTTTGCTTTCTCTCTCTCTCTAGTATTTATCAGGACCTTCTTCTAGCCAAATAAATAGCAAGACGAGTCCTCGTAAATATTTCGTCGCAAGATCTCACTTATTTGCCAAAGAAAAGGCTGATTACACGTCCCTGAAATATGTGTCTCGTGCTCATTATTAATGTCCTCGAGGTAAATAAAAGGGCAAATAAAAATATAAAACATTAGAACTTATCTTTGCTGAAAACTTGGGAATTCCAGCCCAGTTTTATGTATCATAGAAAACAAGGGCAGAAATAAAATTACAATGCGAGGCAATTAATTAATTTCGCTGAAACAAGAGCACGGCCGGCTTTTTATGATTCGCTCGTGGGCAAATTACACAGATCTCGAAAAGATGTTTGAATAGACGTTAATATTAGAAACACAAATGTAATTGGATGCGAAGTTGCATAAGATATTGAGCGAATAAGTAGTATAGATATGTATATGTATGTATTACACAAGCTTATCCTGACTGATGGAGGCAAATATGTGAGAAAAATCACGTAAGAGGACCTTCCTACGCGTATGTGCATGTATTCCTTTGGTCTCCGTCTGACCTCTCTGGGCCGGAAGCCTGCTGAGATGATCCTGCAGCTGATTGCTCGTCATTTAAGTAGAATTGCGAAAACCGCACCAAAGGATTATCGTAGTAACAAATGTTTTCTGACAGGAATCCTTTTGAACTACATGGCGATGAGTGCTGCTGCTGCTGCTGCCACGGCAGACGGCCAGCACTTGCAATGAATTTCGTTGTCGGAATTTGCAATGCAATTTGTTACAATCGTATAATGTCCCACTTTCTTTCGGTGCAGATTTGAAGTTGCTTTCTCAACGATCAAAGTCTTAAAGTTTGTGGCCTGGCGGGGAGGATGTGAGAGGGCAAAAAAGGAAAAACAGAGAAAAGCGACGCCACAATTGCTCCGGTGCAAAAGCACGTTTGATCAATTTGGAAACCTGCTCACTCTCAAATCCAAATTCACACCTGCCACATGTCAGCATCTGCACTTTGATGCCCAAAATGCTCAGAATACATTGATCAGATGCAAAAAGAGAATTCGACTCTTTGATAAGTACGAATGACGAAGGGGGAAGGGAAGCGTGGAGATCAAGCAGCACTCCTCATAAGAAACCTTTGATGGCGTGTGTGTACATGTGTGCATATGGGTGATAATGCAAGCCTTTCACTCTGTTGTGGCTTAGCGGAGGAAAGAAAGAATGCCAGTCAGTGTGCCCAACTTTATACTACGATAGGTTTGGTAAACTGTTTTTGACATTTTTTTAATAGCAGAACAGGTACAAATGTTGAGATTCTATTATTAAACGAGGCGAACTGGAATCTCGAAACAAAAAATCTCCCTTCCATCGTCTCCCTTTATCAACCATCGCAGTGTGGCCTCCACCTGTGACAATCAAACCCAAGTTGAATTGACACAAACAATTATGGCGGAAAGTAGGCTAGTGCATAAATGTGCTTACAGGAGGCAACAAGGTGTCCACAGGCATGGCCATCCCGTACGTGACATAGTCCCCCACATGCATCGGGCACCCTCTGGAATTGTTTGATTAATCAAGTGTTATCAGTCTGTTTTATGAGCCAGTTAACTCTGACCCACAAACGTCTTCTTACTTACCCAATAATCATGTGATTACACCCGTCACGGTCAAGACCAGGCCAAGGGACCGGAATGCCCAGAATAATCCCGTACACTTCGGCGGTCAAAATCTCTGTTCCTCGGTCTATTACAAAGCAAAAATGCTCATTGACAGAATACTATACAGACAGATTCTGGTACAACTTACTGTTTTCAAAGTCAATCTCAATGCTGTAGTTTTGTCCTCTTCGAAAGGTGCATGGCAAAGATGCGCATTCAGAAACGAAGACGTTGGACACGATTCCGGTGGGCACGACATCTGCAAAGATTGCAAAGAAATGTTATGATTACCTCAAAGTAAAATAGTATCTAATTTCAAACATTACCATCACACAGTTTAAAATCTACAGCATTGCGAAGGGAAATACAGTCCGTGGAAGCAATGAATATTGCGATTAGAATGGTTTTCATATACATGATTCTCAGGAAAATAATTGCTAACGGTATAAATCTCAGTTTAACTGAACTGGACAACGGTTCACGCAGAACACTGGAAATTGATGTGAGCCTCAACCGTTTTTATAGTCATCGCTCAATCGTTTTATGATCCTCTTGACATTGCGGCTGATGAAAGGGCAGTCGTACTCGAGAATGGGATTGATTTTTTTCACCGGCTATCACAAAACATCATGTTTTGATCAATCAATGTGCAGCAAGTTGCCATGAAGCATGGCAAAAAATAGTTGTATTGGTCTTGTCACCTACCTAACATGTCATGGGGTTCGGCTACGATAGACTCGTCTGCCATGATTGGGTACGTTTCCTGTTCAAGCTGGTTAAGTTTGCGCAAGTAGTGTTCACTTGAAAATAATCATCGCCAATCAATCTCTCCGACGCGAAGCCTTCTCCTGTTTGTTTTCACTGCGGAGTGCATTTGTCGAAAATCAGAGCACAATAAGTCGTAGTGCAACTATTTGAGTATGGCACATTCTTCGTCATTATCAGTTCTTCGACATTTGTCCCGTCATCGTGTTATTGGAACATAGCTGACCTAGCCATTCACTCAAAGCAACTTCAAAACAATCACGTCAGGTGACAAGATGGAGATGAGATATTTTTTACCACATTGCATATGTATCTATGTGTGATGCATGTTATGAGTACGTGTCCAGATTCGACTTTGTACATAATTATTAATTAATGTTTAATGTTTATTTCACGCTGAATACAACACCTTTCCGCATATACAGCTAGGTACATAGGTATTTGTCGTATGACTTATCAAGGAGCCAAAAAACCCATCAGTTTCAGTACATGTTGATGCAATAACCCAAAAGTGTAGATAAATACCTTGACGTTGGTGCAAGGTTCGTGTACGATACATTTTGCACACGACGTGCACGTTTCATAAGCGCTCGTAACAAAGCAAGCAACCAATTGTGTCCGAGTGTATGTGTACGCACGTAAGTGTATTATCAGGTTGTAAATGGATGCATTCCTTGGGATTAAGTAATCTCTGTAACACAACATGTTAGGTAACTGTACCTAAAATAACTAAATATAGAGTATTGCCAACAGATTCACCTTGATCCCTCCAAGTAAATCGTATTGCTTAGATGACGCAGTAATCACAACGAGAGATCTTAACTGTCAGTATGAAAAAGATATGTATCTGATCGTCGTTTGTGATTAATTTCAGGTGAGAAACAGGCGGCCATGCACTCGGCCTCGTCGACCTCGAAGCGAGCTTACGTAATCACGATGGCACTTCTGCTCCACTTTCTTCTCGCCAATGCATTTCACCACCAAGTCTTCGCTCACCTTTCCCCCCGGCTCACTCGAACTGCAACTGATGCACCCTCCACAACCACGTCAACTCAACAATCCAACCTTCAAGAACTAAGCAGGGAACGTCAACCCATGTCAAAATCATGCCGTGCAGGCCGTCGCGAAATGTTAGCTCATCAAAAATTGTCAGCCCGTGCAGAGCCCTGCCTTTGAGCGGGGTGTCCATTGCACGCAAACTGCTTTCTCCTCCTTAATGCTACTCGAAAAAAGAGCAATCTCAAGAATTGCGACTTTATTTACACACTTTTACTTAATCCCTCTATCTTAATTGGATATAAATACATAATCTGACTGGAGCAGTGGCTCCGTACGTACGTACATTAAATGTGGATCGGATTTGGTGTGCGTGCTCGTGACTTATCGCAATGTAATAAGTGTCTCACAAACACACAGTGACTGATGAAGAAGAAAGATTAAACTCGTGAATTAAACAAAGAGAGCTAAGCCCTATGTACATACATAAACTGCACGAAAATAGCAAAGAAAATTAAACCAGGATTTTCAATATCTTTGTGAAAATCATCATCAACCGCAACGGATATGACAGGATAAACAGAACAAGGTAATTTAATACGCCATTGATTGAGGCATAATTGCAGTGCATCAAGTGGGGAGTGCAGTTTAGCATAAAGTGAAGAGTGCGATTACGTCAACTGTCTGACAATGCGAGCTCACTGAAAATGTGCTAAATATACCCGTACATTTAATCAATGTCATTATGACGATCAATTCTGCTTGATAAACTTTTTTAAGAAATAAAAATTTATCAGGCAATTTTGGCAAAATTTTCCTACGAGTAATATCGAAACATTTTGAACTAATGAATTGTTTGGCATTGAACAAACGAATTGAAAATGTATGAATTTGGAAATGCACAATTTCACAATACTCGAAGTAACAAAGGAAATTGTAATGAGACATGAAATCTATTATTCTCCGCAGGAATTGTACGAGTCGTGTGCGTGGTCCCCTCCGTGAATGTGGCAAGAGTGGATTGGGCGTGGAAGGGTGATTACAATAACTTTCGTCGGCCTCTGGACCTCTGGACTTTCACCAGAGGAACCCTCAGTGAGTTGGATCAATGTAATTTGTGTGGCATTGTATGTAGCGTTTTCGTTTAGCGTGAACGAAAAACGGAATTGAAAGTGGATCTTAAAAACGATATTTGATTAATATTTTTTTAGTATCACGACTGAAAGCGGCTTTAAAAATAGGAATAGAAATAAGTGAAAGCGCAAAGAATCCAATGCCACCACAAACTTGTTCCGTGACTCCTTTCACCACCGCCAAGAGAACAAACATGGATCGGGGACATGAAGAACAGGGCGAGGACTGCGAACGATCGCTCCGATCGGATTACCCATTTCCAAGTTGAGACTTTGATTCTTTTGATGCGATCAAGGATAGAACACAGCACAAAAATTGATATTCAATCTCGACTGATTTCTGCAAATCCGTCGGATTTCCCCCATGCTGGGCCTCATGCATGCAGTCACTCATGTGTGAGTGGGTTGAAACCAAAGGCAGGCAGGGAGACGATTGAGTAAGATCCCGAAATTTATGTGCAAGCCAATGTAATCAATATTTGTGCCGTACCAATTCCCCTCCAAAGGCTGTTCTCCAAAGGAGTGGGAAGGGTTTGGCCATGTGTACAGGTCATGTGTGAGTGGATGGACCACTTTTCGAGATTTCCTCGGCTCACATAAGCACACAGAACCCACAACAACGGTTGCCTGCTCCTTTGATTTTTCTGAATTATCAATGCAACAACCTTCGTCTAATGAATACATATGTACTTCCATACCTTGATCAAATCAAAGGAAAAACTAATCAGGCTCACTTTTTACTAGTTACTACTACACATTCCAATTCCGCCAGTTGCATAATACAGCCTTCCTTTAAGGTTGGGAAAATTTCTACGAGAATCCGTCACTGTTTCATGAAGGTACTCATCCTCAGATGGAAGGGAAAGGAAAAGGAAGCCGTTTCCAGAAAAGAAACGCTACACAGAAATCCTTCGTATTTTTCTTGAATATTTTTTTATAAGGAATTTTCCGTTACATGTAAATTTTTCATCCATGTACTCCTGATACTTGTATATATCTATTTTACTAGTTATGTAAGTAATAAGTCGTTTCCTGCCCTATTATCATAATATTTGACATGCATATTTTATTGGGATAAGATTTACTTAACTACCACTATTAGTCTTGTAGTTAGTTAGTAATTAGCAAACTGCCAATGTTGACTACCTCAGCAGCATCACACACACGGAAAACGAGGTACTAATGATTTTGTTTCGAGAGTAATTGAAGCGTGCTCCCATTTGATAAATAAAGTTATACAAGGATGATTTTCACGATATTCAGACAACATTTAGTTTATGCCTACTCACATCGAAATTCCTTTGAAAGAAACTTCTCCGTGGGAAGTGTTTACGTCAGGCGGACTTGTTATTTCAAAAATTTACAAATTTCTGCTGATTTTGCGAGTTCTGGGAGATCGAGAAAGGATACATTTCACAAATGTCAGACTTATTAAAGTGTTTGTTCAGACGAGGCGAGGCTGACAATCACAACTAAAAATGTGTAAGTGGTTTATACTTGTTTACTCGAAGGATCCTTTTCCTCCCCCATTTATTCCCCGGACTTGGCTCCTCGTCCTCGTGTACTTGGTCGTTCCTTTGAGCGGAAGTTCAAAGGAAGAATTTCCTTAATGTTAGATAACGTGTAGCTACATGCGTACATATTTAGAGGCTCGGTTTTATTGACGTAAAATAAATAAGGAATTCATTTCATGTCTGGCTCATTGACTTTGAAAAGTTATCATTCCTCCTACTTCGAGAATCCCAACTATGTAATTGTAGAACCTCTATAAATATTGTGTCTCCATATAAATATGTATGTACCCATTACATGTACCCTAATCTTTAATTAATATAGCATTAACTAATAAAGTTAATAATAAATATATATCCAACAATTAACTAACAATACGTAAGTACCACCAAACATTGTCAGTTATACAAATATAACACCTCGTCAATCGCAAATCTTACTTACTGATCATTTTTATAAGAAAGAAAAATTGCCATAAAAAGTATAATGGTTATGCAATCCATGCTACCGTAAATAAATGTTAGGATTACCTCGTGTATAATAAATCAGGCATGATATTCTATTATGCAAGTTAACCGAGTTGTATCACAAAACAAACCCTTAGGATAAAAACGACTGGGTAATATTCAATTGTATAAGTATTTATGTATAAATAAGTATCATGTTAATACATAAATAGATTTACCCATGATTGTGCTGCAAGGACGTTACTAATCTAAGTATGTTTAGCAAAGTATATATGCGTAATTAAGGCGTGGAGTGTGAGACGACGGGTGCAATCTTATTTCGGAATTAGCACGTAAGACCCAATGATATATTGCGTGTAGAAGAAAGTTCTCAGAATAAATCTGCCATGCTAAAGCGGATCCCTATCGAATGAAAACTAAATAAATCTTGATTGAATATTCCTTCGTATCACTACAAAGTATAATAAAAAACAATAAATCATTCAACTTTTACGAGGAGCGTGTGTGTCTATGCTTTTGCTGAAAACTCATTTTCATACAAGTATCCATTCAGTGTTGCTTAATCATTCATTTTACAAAGGTTCAGTTCATACGGAGGAATATGCATACAAAATGGTGTATCATTGGATTTGAATAGTAAAAAAGTTCATCATCTTCCGTAGTCAACGTGGAATTGATGAAAACAAAGGTGGCCTTGAGTGAGAGATACAGTAAATGGAGCGTCGTAGGGTACAAAATTATTATTGTGCAGCATTACAACTTTTTTGTCAGAGAAAGCAGACATTGTAGAGCAGAGGAGACTGACATTTCAGTTCAGTTTGCACTTATGTAAGTATTAGAGCTTTCGAGGTTTATTAAATTCCAAGCGCCAGGCACTAGCTGCCAGTGAAAGCGATCTATTTCATTTATTTACTAGTTACATATTTATATTAGCATATTTTTTCTCCTCGCGAGCTTCCCTTTTGCTTATTTAAAAGAGACCAGACCAAGGGCATCGACGTCTTGTGAAATTCACGAGTTGTGATCTTTTTGGATGTTGATGTATTGGCTGTTGGGGTCGTTATACTTTTGAGGATAAGGGGGACATGTAGGAGCAACAACTATCCGGATTATATGGCACAAATCCTGGGCAGAATTTTATTTTTGTGCCAGAGTCAAAGTATGGTTGATAAATTACCGGATATCGGCCTCAGACTGGATTCGTTTACTGGATGCCCAATCATGGGAGCAATCTTCCACCCAACTTTCTCCACATTATGAAAACTGTTTTCCAAATTGTGGCCATAAATTCAGAATTCTTGGATCCACTCATCATTTCCAAATGGAAATTTGAGCCTGGAAAAATATTACCTGGCCTTCCACTTCCTGGTAATCCAAATCCAGGTCCTGTGGAAGTATGCGTATGTGCTGGTGCAGCATCTGGGGATGGAGTTATTTAAAGGCCCTGCCTGCACCTGCCCCCAAATGAAAAGAGAAAATATAGCTCACATCCATTCCCTTTTATACGAGTGACTGAATGAACTGGGTGAATATTGACTTCTCGCAATTTTTATTTATGAACCAATTTCGCAAAGAAATATTTTCCTAAACAAGAAATGAGAGGTACGAAGTAAACGATGGCAGCCTCTTATTTTACTACGTTCATACATTCCAAAGGCAGCTTCAGCAGCAGAGCCCTAACTAACGGAAGCCCAATATGTACTTGTAGGTTTACAGACCAGATCTCTGGTTGGCAGTGTCTGTACTGCGTGGTTTGTTCTGTGAATAATAAGCCTGCTGCCCTCCTGGAGAAAGTAAGTGAAGGGATCGAGGGAGAGAGTTGATATTCATTCAGTCTGCGATATTGGAGGGTGTTTGAAAGTTGAAACTGTTTATTAGTTCGTTAGTTGGCTGGCTCAGGGTGAAAATATTGAGGCAATTCTTCCGAATGAAATGGCAAATGGAATGTGATGCCGATATGAATGAAGGAATAGGACGACTGTTACTTATACTTGGTAAGGGAAGCTTTCTCTCGCATTCTGGCAGCCAGGCACACATGGAGATGCTCGTTCGTTGTACTTCTTGTGTGTGTGTGTGTACCATACAATGGAATCTCAAGAAGTATGCATTCATGTTGAGAGAGCGTGTGCCAGAATTGTGAGAGATATCGCATTAGAATTCGAAAATGACTCCTTCCCGTGAACATGATACACGAAGGAATTGCCATTTTACTGCAATGAACACCCATCATGCAGCCTGCCAACTTTGGAACTACCGATTCCTTGAGATTCTTGCGATCCTTTTGGCCAAATGGTTTCCAATGCGAAGTAATAAACCCGCATGGTTGCAATTGCAAATATTGCAATCGTACATTTCAGGAATTTAGGAAACTCATTTCGTGTTTCCCGAATTAAGTCAGAGTTATGTAACAACACGTATGGATTGTCAGTAACATTTCCTTAATTCCTATTCAGCACTTTCCGCGCTTTAATTTAGCCTAGTTTGGCCTTATGTGTACACATATATACCATCCAATGCCGACTAAATATACGCATTTACGTAGGTGGTGCTTGTCAAAAGTGGTACACAAAATTGCCTCGTGTGTACATACACGACGTGCTGGTGTTGTATGGCTCCTATAAATTATTGTTTTAACGCGTGAATATCCTCAGTTCTGCTGACTTGCCAAAATATATCGCTTATCTTGAACAAACACTGAAACACTACCCACCGCCGTTCATTCCTGAACAATTTGCAATTTTCTCTTTGCAGATTTACTTGGCTTCCTGCTTATTCTGCGAATTTCTGGCCCAGGTGGCATTACTTAAATACAGGAGATGTTTACGGGAAATATATTTGGTTACTACAAAAGTGAATTTCCTATACTGCATTTTCCAGTCCGAGAGAGAAATCATGACAGACTTGCAAATTTCAATTTTTCGCATGCCAAGAAAACGCTGACGAAAAGCCATTTAGAGTTGACGCAGTTCAAAATTCTGCGATGGAATGCAAGCACATTTTTATGACGACAATTTAAATTCTTTACAGGACGAGAATGGTAAATTGTGGATGCCGCTCAACCTCAACCAAGCGTCATTTATCACTCACCCCAAGACCAACATACGTCCCCTGCATTATCCACACAGTGAAAGTTTTTCTTGTCTATGGCCCATCGAAATCCGATGCAGTGGTGGTTTCGCTTCCGGAGAAAGGTGACCCAATTTATTCCCATGCAAAGTTGGATTTTAAATATGGAACGAGCCACTCACCCGCACCCTTACTCAGCCAGTTTCCTTTCCTCCTGCCCAAAGTGTCCCAAGTCCCGTTTGACCTGGCGGATACAAATTGCTGGTCTGAGCTTGAAGGTCGCACGGCTCTATTTCATTTTATTTCGACCATCTCACTCCCTCATCTTCTTCTGCTAGCACATGTGCGTTCCTACATTCTTTGAGTCGCGAATGATGGAGATGATACGTACGTACGTATTTATGCAAAGTCTCTGAATAGAAGAATGCATGTACATATTTTATTCAATTGCGGAAATATTGCTACCCGTCGTCCGAGGGCAAATGCAGAGTGTCACCCACCACATTACACATACATAATTCTATGATCCTCCAAATCATAAAACACACTTTTTCCCCTTCAACGTACGTAAAACTAAGGACGAAGAAAGGGGCAAATGTGGGTCTGTGCCGGGAGAAAGGAGAAATCGAAGAAAGGGTAGCCGTTTGATTGCTTGTAGTGACAGGAAAGAGCAGCACGAGTCCCCTGAGGACTAATAATAATAAATTTCTAAATGTCATGCAACAGCGAATATCTTTATCATCATTGACACAGAGTGGGACAGGAAACTTATTTTTCCACCAGTCTTTCAGCATATTGCATTATCTCGTCATGTCCAAATGTTTGAATCGGTGGGTGAGCAGGACCGAGGCTCCAGCCAAACTCCTCGGCGAGAGCTCAGATGTAATCAAAAAAGCTTTCAAAGCCTCCACATATTTTCATGTACGAGAAAATGAAATGGTATCTCACTCCCTCCGCCGCCGATGATGACGACGATGAGAGAGGCACCAAAGAGATGTCCAAATGTCTCCCGTCGACTTGACATCCACATAATTTATGACCCTCCCAACCATATCACATCAAATAGCATTTACCAATATCATTGTCCCGCCAGACAACGTGCTTCAGATCCCCTGAGCCAATCTTTTAGGCAATAATCGCGAAAAAAATGAAGCCTCGCTGTGCCAAGAAATGAAAGTGACACTCCCGTTGTGCAACCAGCAAATACAAATATTGTGCCATTCCGACCTGATGACCCTTTTCATCCTCTGAGTCTGATTTTCAAAGTATGAATGTTGCGATTTTATGAATACCATTGATTTGGGTTAACTAAACCATTAATTTGATTCTTTGTTCGCAGACGGTTAGCAGCTAGCTTATCAGGAGTGTTATCTCCTTATCAGAATAATGAACATGACCATTCGGCATTGTAAATGAACGGTACACTCTGATTCAGGCTCTTATCTTATTGTGCAAGAACACACAGACACACACACTTAAAGGGGTTTCTGTGCACAGCAGCTGGTTATCGTTAAAATTAAATGGGTAATAAAATAGTCAGATGCAAACATCAATCAAGAGGCAGGACGGACACCTCTCTGAGCAGCACCCATCTAACGACCTTCACCAGTAGTTCAGTCCCTCAAGAAGAAGAAGATGGCTGCTGAAGGGGCGTCAGAATCTCAAAGTGAAAGCATGAGACAACGGCGGCGGGGGCGAGGAAGCGGCACCCTTGCAGAAGACATCAACCGCAATGTGACCCTGGACATGGAGCCTGTGTCCTCGATGTCCAGTGAGGACGATGATGACGATGACGACGACAAAGATTCTCTCTACCTCCGCAAAAAGAACAAAGTTTCCGGTTCATTTGCCCTCATTTCCGTCACAATTTTAATCACGTTGACGCTTCTGTTTGTGAAGTATATGGACAAGCGACTGCCAGAACCATTGATGGAAGCGGATATTGCAGCCCACCCCACGAGGCGAGTATGCATCCATTTATTGCTCCAGCCGCATACATATTTGTGTTTGTTTGTGCACGTAGCTGTGACTTTTTGCTTGCTCTATTCATTAAACGTCCTCTTTGAAAAGGAGGGCAAAGTTTAAACAGGAATTATTACGGTGTTGCTGGTGCTTTGTTCTCTGGCAGGTTTATCGAGGAGAGAGCTCGGAGGGACTTGCATGATCTGACAGTCGTTGGAATTCGAGTATCAGGAAGTATTGCAACTGACGTGGTTACCGTCGACAAATTTAGGGACGTTCTCATTGAGATCAAACAGAACTCGAGTGAGGTTTACAACGTGGAGTGGGACGTGCAAAGGCCGACGGGAAGTTTTTGGTTGGAGGACGACGAGGGAAGCACCAGCTCCTACTCTGGCGTACGTTCCTCAGGGGTTCTGACCCAAAAATCCTACTCCAAAATTTTGCATTTTTAAAACCACTCAGGAACATATGTAGAACATACATACACAAATGCTTTATGACGCCACACACTTTGATGCAGTGCACTGCTGCTGATTCCGACCGCCACAGGGGCGTTTAGGGAACAGCCTCATGTATTATTAGCATTGTTATCAAATACAATAAAGTGTGTTGCACAATAAAGCAGCAGTGGTGATCCCATCTCAATTTCTCAGAATATCCACATACACATATTTTATACGTAACCTTACTTTTTACACAGATTGCAAACGTGGTGGCGAAACTGGAACCTCGAGACCCTGCCCAGCGGACTAATTCAGGAATCCTTTTGAATTGTCATTTCGACTCAAAACCTGGAAGTCCTGGCGCAACTGACAATATGATCAGTTGTTCCGTCATGTTAGAGATTTTGCGAGTGCTTGCCTATCAACCGACCCTTGTGATTCGCAACCCAATAGTTTTTTTGTTCAACGGTGCCGAAGAGCTGGGGCTGCAAGGTGCGCATGGTTTCGTGCGTGGGAAAACTGACCATTTGCGAGAAGAGTGGGGACACGAGTGGGCACAAAACCTGAGCGTTTTTCTCAACCTGGAAGGTGCTGGGGGCGGAGGTCGCGAAATCCTATTTCAGGCGACTGGAGGTTCTAAACATATTCACGTTTTATTTGCTTGTGGTGATATTTCCTTTGAATGCATGGACACAATGCTAATCAGTCTTATTACCGCGACGTTAAAGGCAACACTCATGAGACGGGTTGGCTTTTGAAAGCGTACAAAGAGAGTCCTCACCCCTACGGCAACGTGTTGGCCGAAGAAGCCTTTCAGTTTGGTCTGATACCTTCAGACACAGACTTTCGCATATTCCGCGACTTCAAAGGCCTGGCTGGCCTTGACATTGCATTCATTAAGAATGGCTGGGTGTATCACACCAAATGGGACAAACTCTCGGAAATCCCCCCGGGCAGCCTGCAACACATGGGAGATAATGCTCTCGCCATGGTGAAGTATTTGGGCAACCTGGACTTGACGGAACACAGTTCTGCTGAACAAATGGTCTTCTACGATGTCTTGGGCGCTTTCATGATCACCTACTCAAAAACTGTGGGGATCGTGATCAATGTGGCAATTTCGCTTGTCGCTGTAGGCGTCATAATCTTCTTTGGTGAGTGATTACGGATACAATCTCGTTTTGCATATATTTGTATCTTCCGTGGTCTCACATTCGTCTGTTTCCCTTCATTATGCACAAAGGAGGCTGGAAGCCCAAGTCATTTCTAACTTACGCCTTGTATTTGGGGTAAGTGACACAGAATGTGCATACCTATAGCTCAGATGGCAGTACTCTTTACAATCCCACATTGTTAGGTCCACCATCCTCGTGTGGGGAGTAGCGGTCGGAGTTTCGGCCTTGGTGGCAGTAATTCTCAACGGATCTGGATATCCGAAACCTTTCTACACTTATCCAAGTCTTGCTCTCGTTCTGTTTGGTCTGCCAGCAATGATTGCACAAATTTTGGTTTACTCTGTATGCCTCAAGTCCTCCCCGAAAGATGCCTGGTTGGCAGGCAAGCTGACCACGGCCATTCTTCTCTTCGTGACTACGTTCATCACCAGAGGAGCGTACATTTTTCTGCCTCAGCTCATTTTCGGGATTGTGGGATGGTTTGGTGCCAGATATTTGATGCGAGGTGCCACATTTTACGTCAATCCTGTTCTCTTTGACGTTACAGTACCTTTCTAGTTATGCTAATGATATGCGTTCTCTATCAGGGTGGCCAAAGTCAATAATGGTGACGTACATAGTGATTGGGGAAATTATTCCGCTGATCATGTCGTCATACTTGATCTTCACATTGTCCGACGTTTTCGTCCCCATCTTGGGACGAGCGGGGAGCGAAATGAATGGAAACATATTTTTTGGCTTGATCATTGCGGCGATCGTCTCAATCATCGTGGTCCCAGGCCTCGCCTCCTTCTTCGTCAACTACGACAAGCGGGTTTTGTTGACCTGTTTGCTAATGAGCGTGTTCCTCCTCAACCCCATGATCGTGTTTGGCTTCCTTGGGAAAATCCCGTACCAGGAAAAGACTCCGATGAGACTGACCATTTGTGTAAGACTATAGTTGACCACTCGTAGCGAAACGACATAGACGTGAATAAATAGTAAATGCCAAATTGCACAAAATAACTGATTTTTCAGGATGTTGACAGAACATACTACAACTCGGATGGGATGGTACGGAAGTCGGAGCACGGGTATTGGTGGTGGCCAATTGATGCTGACACGGATAACATGTTCCCAGAATTCTCCAAAACCATCAAAGAAGTAGTCGATGTCCGGGATGAGATTTTAGAGTATGAAAATTGCGAAGAGTTGTACTGCTCGCAACCTTTCATCTGGCCCACGACCAAAAGAATAAAGTATTTTAAATATCGCACTGACTGTAATGTGACAATATGCTAAATAATATTGTCACTAATTATGCAAATTGTGTCAAGGAAAGTCCACTGGATCACGCAGCCTGGGTCACTGCCATACGCGCTCAAAGATGCCGTGAACATGACCGTTCTTCAGGACACGTCTCCATCGTCCACCTTTCGCCGCCTGACCCTCGAGTTCCACGGCCCCGCTCAAACGACGGTCGTCCTCAGCCCTCGACCCAATTGGGAGGCGAACATTACAATCCAGGTGTCGATGGAGAACATTCCCGTGGAACGCGAAGGCAGCAACCGATGGAAGGGGAGGAAGGTTTACTACATTTACCACGGACGAGGCTACATCGTGGAGCCAATTAGAATCAACGTGGACCTGACACAAACTGCTCCGGGGGATGAGAACGGCTCATTGTTGGAGATCCAGCTCTCCGGACTGTTTCTCGACATGACTCCGGAAACTGCGACTCCTGAATACACCGACTTTCTGAACAGGTTTCCCTCTTGGACCTACACAGGAATGAGCTGGTCATCCGTCATGAAAATGTACAGAATAGAATAACAAGCCCAATATGCATAACATGAATAAAAGATTTTAACACACATCTCTTATTGTCTTGCTATTTAATTGATTCGTTAGCAATTTAATGTCCATTTTTGTCCAATCAATTAAACCCTCCACGTTTCAGAGAGTGGATAAAAAATGAGGAAGCGAGCTAATAAAATTTTCGGAATCTGGGTCTGGAAATAAAAGGAAGCCGAAATCGGATTTGAGTCCATGCCATGGATGTCACTTTCATTACTCGGCGCATGAAGTTGTATACTGTGTCTGGGTTTGAGATGAGAATACATTTGGACGATTTATTTCTCACGCTCTGGCAAACATCAAGCAATGTCAAGACTGAATAATACGCACAAATACATTTCATCTGAAATTAGAATGGGCTGATGAAACCACTTTTACTTTCACCGGACTGACTGCTCCCTCCTCCACGAGACCACCGCCATACATACACACGAGAAATGATAAATGCACAAACTACCAGCCAGCAAACCAGCCAACGTATGTATCTTGATGCTGCAAATCCCATGCCTCCGCTGTGCTGGGGTTGTCCACTAACTGACTTTCTCTTCGCCAGCCTCTGCTGAGTTCCACCGACCTCCTTTCTCCGTCCATATATTTAACATTTCCAGTACATGCTTTATTTGCTTCGCTGGACGCAGACAGATGTTGCATTGCCAAAATAAAATTCAAATTCAACGGTCCAGAACAATAATAATGCCGCACAGCTTCATGCTTTGTGCACGACTTGAACAAAAAACAATGATTTTTGTACACTGAATATAAATGAATGGTTTTTCTCATTTGTTTCGAGTGATAAATTGCAAAGCTGGGGAAAAGTCAGTTAGCATCATCCTTCCCTTTTTTGTATTTACTAAATAAGTACGCATACAAGTTTAATGTGCGTGTCTGTCTGTCCATGAAATCGAGACGATCTTTTGATCAGCATGAATATGTAAATACCAAGAAATTATTAATGGACAATTTTACTCGAAAATTTGCAAGTTTGACATTTTTATTATTAACAAATCAAACCCAAGTCTTAAAGGTACAAATTACGTACGTCGTTGTTAAATGATTGATACATTTGAGGAGCGTTTCTTAATACCAAATCAATTTCAAACAATAATAGCACTTACTTTTAGCAACTACGTACAATCAATGTTTTCAAATTACGTATGCGGAATGGAAGCAATGCACTAATCATACGAATAAATTATGTCTTAAAAAACAAATAATTAACATTAATGTTCAGACTAGAAGCTTCATACGTTTTGTGTTTGTTGTGTCTATTTACAATGAAAGTGTACACTGCAATCTGTCATAGAGCTAATTTAATCCAGAAATATCTAGTAATTTACGTGTTAAGTAGTAAGATATTCTTAAAGCATTTCGCGTGTGCGATCAGAAATACTGTAATTAACAAGCGTCGAGATATTAATTAAATGCAGAATTTTGTCTTACAAGTGACACTATTTAATCTCGCAAAGCAAAACTATTTGTTCAGAAAATGCTTAGTGAACCAAAATGAAAACTTGCAAAAACTGAGAGCTAAATTGTAAATACTTTTGTGCTATCGAGTGCAGAATAAGAATTACGTTAGTTTAATGACTATTATTTACAATCCAGATGCCACAAAATCACAACCCCTTGTCGAGTAGAGTCTTTGATTTGTAGGACAATTCGGATCTATTATGTTTTGCCTGCAATGTGGGTGGTGTGAAACCATCTCATCTTTCGATAAGTGGTAAATCACCAAACTATCCTAACTAACATATCGTAATTATCGTAACTGTAGCTCTACGTTCTCTACTCGCTGATTTCTAAAAGCAGATTTGGAATTAAATATGTAGCCATTTATAACAACAAATACCTTATCAAACTACACTTATATTTACGTCTGTTATGTGCGATGGTATGAATGTAAATTATGTATCTGAACTAGAATAACTCTACGTTAAATATATACAAGCTGGACCAGTGGAATTTGAAGATCTCTTGAAGATGTCTACCTTTCTGCTGCGCTGTGCTGGGATGGTGGAAGCCCTTTAAGCAGAAACAAAAAACATCCAAAAAATTCTATCAAATTCACTTCTGGGAGCTATTTTTTTCATCATTTTCAACATTTGGGAAGTGATGTGGGCTTGAGAAGCAATATTCCCTCGTACATATATTTATTAGAGTAGTGAAAACATAGGAATTCAATAATTACGTACTGATAAGGATTAATTATGTAAGATGAGAGAAGAGGAATCTTAATTAATTTACATATTTTGTGACAACGACAACTTCTGCCAATGGCCACTTATATTTAGATCGGTCAATTCGTCGGTATTACCGGAAACGGTATTATGAGTAAGAATGACTATACTAATGATAGAGAGTGCCTACAATTATATCATCTCCACATAAATTATTAGCATAAATAAAATAAGAGTGAACAAAAGCTCTGCGTGACAATTAAGATATTCGTGATTTAACAGTTAACTCAACTAATTAACTAATATAATTATAATTATAATTTGCAATACTCTTTGGATTTAACTTGTTCCACAATATTTCGTACAAGTAGTAAAAGTAAATGACTGAGAATACTTTTGTTGCCGGAGAAAAGCTTAGTTTAAGTGAGAAGGTGGTTGCTGTACATTGGATTTAAAGGATGGTCGCGATCTGCAGCCGTCATTCGCAATCTTCGAAAGCTTGGGTGCTGTGAGTTGAGATACTGCGCAGCATTCATGGGTTGACCAGACGTCGCATACTCGTAGGCGCTCATGGGATACGACGGCGCTAGGATGGCGTGGTCGTATGCAGGCGAATTGATGAAACCTATGCAAATAAATAGAACAATTCAATTAGTCGACTTAATCAAATATAGTGATTGTTGTGAATAAATATAATAATGATAATAACTTCGTACTCGTGATGGAGTGTGGCCCAATTCCAGAATCGAAGGAGCTGCTTTCTCCCGGGTTAACTCTCGCCGAGCTGGAACTACTGCCCCCTTCGCCGTAACTGCTTCCGCTGCTCCTTGAACTGGGATAAATTCCTGTCCCATTGACTCCTCCATTGACCAGAACACCGTTGCCGACCACCAAACCCGACGGATTGGACATGACATGCCCTCCACTGAGACTCGTCGGAATAACCTCGTACGGACGCCCACTCCCGTTGCAAGATTCCGTCAACACGGCGACCAAGTGTGGAGGAATCTTCATGGTCATTCCATTATTTGGGTTGGAGAGGATAAGCATGTTGTTATCATCCATTCCCACGTGCTTGGAATATCCTCTGGGATTCGTGCCATTGTTGTACTTTCCCAGACTAGAATTTGCCAAGTTGTTGCGCGATCTTCGGTCAAGACTTCGTTGTGACTTAAATGCCGAGCTGCCGGATCCACCACCAGCGTTCCCATTCCCACCGGAACCAGAACTGGATCGTGGAGGGCGCTTTCTTGTGAGGGACTGGGCCCTTTTGGTGGAGTTTCGCCCTCCCTGATGTTGCTGTTGCTGCTGCTGATTAGAGTATTGCTGACTCTGCTGGTACCGCATAGTTGCCATTGCCACCGGGTCAGTTCCGTCGTGAGAGACAGGAACGTCGATAACGCTCAGCTCGTCCTCCGCAAACTCGTCTTCCGACGGCCCATTGTTCCTGTCCGAGTGGTGGTCTGGAAGTTCCTCGTAAATTGGAGGAGGGTTGAGAAAGTAGGAGAAATCCATCTTGGGATTTGTCATCATCCCATTCGAACCGATGCTTTGGTGTGCAACGTCCATCATCTGTAAGTCCAAAGAAGCCTGCTTATTAATTCAGACTCTACAACGGAGCAGATTTGAACTATGGCAAAGAATGCCGGAGGATTGGGAGTGAGATATTAAATAAGATGCTTATGCGCTCACCTCTATGGAAGGAGGTGCAATGGGCGGTCGTGGTCGAGCGTGAGTCAGGTTGAGATCTTCATAGAGAACGCCATTGCCATTCATCATCGTTGGTCCGTGGTGGTGATGGTCGAAATCCTTGGAGGACTGTGTCACTCCCTTCCTCTTCTTCCTACGGCACACCAAACCAGACATGACTTTATTTCAAATTCACAAAAGACGTTCGGAGCAAATAACATTAATCATGCTGTCATCCACGTCATGTCCAACACAGCTTAATTAACCCATTATTAATTATTCATCAACAATTAGCTCAGACTCACTTCATTCTCACATATTTCCAAACAATGGCAGCCAGGACCAGTAAAATCACAAAGGACAGCAGGGTACAACACACGATCTGCATGTAGTCAACACCAAAAAAATGTCATCACCAAATTCAGATACGAAACCCTGATTATCTTTTACAACTTACCACAGTGACCGAAGGAAAAGAGCCGATTCGCTTGAATTCTGCGTCAGATACCTGAAAAATAAATCACAAAAAATTATTCAAGTAAAAAATACCGAGTAAAATTAATCCATTCATCATCATCATTTTTCACGTCTTCGTACACGAAACCACCAGCCAACCAAGTGCACAAGAGACGATTTTTTTGAGGAATTATAATATTTAGCCTTTCCCCAAATCTTTAGCTCTTGCTCCTCCTCATCATCATCATCATCGTATGTACTGATCACATGTAATCTCCACTAATTGACCATGCAAAATTGAGTCATGATTGTGCTCTGGGTTTTGTTTAGCAATCGTGCCATGTTTCTTTAAGAAACGTTACTTACTCATCGTGTATTTACTGTGCCGTGAAATGTTGAAAACTGATGACTGAAATAATGTCCCTGGGCCAAGCAATTATCGCCATTCTCATAAAGCATGCAACGCAAGGAATCAGTAGTGGTCACCTTTTAACAACTCTCGCTTTTATTTTCTCGTTAACTTCTGCTCCTTTTGATGCTCAAGACATACTCGGAGCGTTTTTACATGTTTTGTGTTCATACGTACACCAGATGAATACACGTCCGTACGAGTAATCATAATATGTATTCATGTAGTCCTATCTGCGTATCTTTTATATTTAAAAAAGCCCAATCATTGTATAACGAGCTCGTTTCATTGTGTGAAATAATTTACAAAACGTGACACGGTGTTGCCAAATGCTCTAAAACATCCAATAAATGCTGATAATTTGACGAATTTACATCCACAGAGCCTAACCGACGGATGATAACTTTATTGCCGTGCATGCTCCGGGCGACTCATTCCAGTTTTGATTGAGATTATTAAGAGTTTAAAGTTGCTTCATTTCAACTCCTCGGCCGGCACAAATAAATCTCTGATCAACTGCTCTCGAAGAGTGAGATTGAGCAACATCCAGCCATAATTTCAGACTCACTCACAGGATTGTATTTTCTGACCATGACGTAATTTTATTGCCCTTAATTTGAGACTTACAGATCAGTTTTAAACTTATCGGAATGAAATCTTTATTTGCTTAAACCACGCCAACGAAAACAAACACGTAATCTCAAGCGGTTTGACAACTCATCTCTTCCCAACGGACTCATGGGAATCTGTCAGATTTCCACGTTACGAGAAGCACTCAAGAGCAATTAAAAGGTGTAATTTGAAGAGCAATTTTACTACTGCAGCGAAAGAAAGACGATATTAATTCAAATGACTTGTACCCCTCCGAATAATAATGATACCCTTTATGTATAGTGGACATGCATATTCGCCTGCTTGCTATGCATCTTGTAAGTACGTACGTACGTAGTACAATTACCAGTTTCTAGAATTATGAATATTTAAAAAAATGCTATAATAGTACGCCGGCTTTTCGCTTCCAATCAAGTGTTTGTTGGTCCAATTTCTTCCTTCCAAATCACCACCGGCAATCAACAGCCAATACAAAATTATTATTATAAATATATGAATAAACTACGCAGTAAAGCCGTTCCTCTCGGTAATAAGAAGACAGGTCAAAAACTTTCGACCGATTTTTGTAGCGTGGTCAACATTCCTTCGTTTCCGACCAACCAATCGATCGATCGTTCTGATCTTGAGTCATAACCGCTTCAGGAATTTCATGGGTGTCTTCGTCGTTGTATTTTTTCAGTCATGCATCTCAGTAAACGCCGTCGTACAAGTACCTCGTTCCTATCCATCCCGACTCTTGAGGAATAATCACCACCAACACAATTTAGAGAGATGCAATGCTGAGATACGATATCGGTTTGGGTGATCACTCTTTTAAACGTTCGCTGTGGGACTGATGTGCGGAGACAGGTGTGAATAACATGAAAATCTAAAGTCAACAAAAAGCGCTGCTGGACGGTTCTCCACTTCACACCTCATTTAATAAACGTCGTATTGTGGAGCAGCACCACTAACGCGTCGCTGAATTGAATTGCATGTCACTTCCTCCACCTTAAACTCTTAAATTTGAGTAGAATAAACAACTCACATTGAGAATAGGACATGTCATGTCCATGTCGCACGGAAGGTCCGGTGGGATTGGGGGTGGGGGGAGGTGGAAGAGAGGCGGTGGGCCCCCGCAGTCACTGCAATCGTCATCCATCAACATCCAGGCTGAGGAGGACATCTGCAGCATAGACAAAATCACAAAATTATTAAAAAATTCTCGCTTTTCTTCATTATTATTGCATAATAATTGGTCGGTGATTGTTGTAGACAACTTTTTAACTTTTTAGGAAACCAACAAACAGCAGAGGACTCAACAGCCAAAACGCAATAAATCAAAAAGTCAGTCGTCTACAATATTACATTGCTTTCTGCTGACATTTAAGGCATCTTTGCAATAAAAATTTCTCGGATGGCCAACCGCATAAAAGACATTAAAGTTGAAGCAGCATGATATTCTCACAGGTTTTTAACATGTCCTTTTCATTCATGTAACTAAAATTGTGCTTGGTTGGTTGTCATTGTTAGTGCAAGCTGAACACAAGCTGACTCCAGCCAGACATCTTGGACGACCGACTCCTCTCGAGAAAGAGAGAGATTCCATAGTGCTTCTCTTCTTTATGCTGACTTCAACAAGGAAATCAACATGGAATTCCAACAGATATCAACATGATTTACAACGTGTTTAACAACATCCATGTTTTATTAAGTTGCTACAGTCAGGCTGAGTCGCCCAGTCTCTAAATCTATTCAACTTGCTCGGTTCATCTTCACTTTTTTGCTTTCTTTCCCCTCACTTATAATACATGCTGCTCAAGAATACGTGCATGCACATCCGTACTTGTAATATCACAAGTACGTATTCATGCTAGTACAAATCTCTGCCTTTACTTTTATGAAACTCACGGAAATTGCGAAATTGGTTTTTTAGACGAAAGGTATTTTTTAATTTTCTATTTTATGATACACAAACGGCTGTAAAAATTCCTCATTATTTCATAAAAACAATGCCAAATTATCCTCCCACACAATACCGAATAAGTGACATTAATTGAAAAAGTGACATTTTTATCTCCCTCGATAAATTTACCGAGACCAACTTTGCCCTCGCCTGAATCTTTCTCATACAGCACAAAAGTACGCGTTTTACGGAGAAACCTGTTGAGAAGCCCGTGTGTCTTGTTTGTTTATTCTTATTTTCATGCTACCCTGCAGTTTCACTTTGGATGAAACACAACAAAAACTCGGAAACAATGTGACGAGCACCACGTCGACTCGTCCTTTTTCTTACAATTAGACATTTGATTAAATAAGTGGATTCAGCATAACACAATATGTACGTATGTATATAGAAACGAAGAATAGCAAGAGAAAAACCTATGTACAGTTCAGACTTCATTTAGTCAGGACCAGAGTCCCATTTTTAATTTGTGCCCGATGACCCAACAACTATCAAATTGTAATGCAAAGTTTTTCGGCACAAGTTGGCATAATACGTCATCAATTGTCATACTTATCCAGGGTGACCATTGAGTCCCTCTCTCACAGACAGACATTTCGATTCCATAGGTCCTAACTCGGCCTAAAAATGCGTTTGCATGCTAAAACAAATCCAACTTTTAGAAAACTAAGACCACATACAACATAATGCACAGCATAACTTTTAGCCTTTCCTTTTAAACTTAAGATGAGCAGAATTTTGCTGGCTCGTCAGACGACAAGACCAATCAAGGCAACATAAAGTCAACATTAACATCCAAGCCAGGCCGAGTGTCATCAATGGGCTTGTGGACAATCCTACTTGATAAGAAACACGCATTTGGCATTTATACTCGAGTACAAATATCCTGACGAGAAAAAGAACCAGTAAGTAACCACCACGTTTGGCCATCATTTGGCATTAAAACATACTTTTCCAAAGACTTACTCAAATGCGAAGAGAGCATTTACGGCAGAACTTTTAAAAAATATTTGTGTAAAATAATGCAGAGATAATTCAGCGCAGTGCTTGTTGGCCTGCACATTGCCACCACGACACGCAAAATGCCCATCAACCTCTCTCAAAGCGAGTAAAAAATTATATTCGTCTAATATTTATGACTTTTGGTCGTCTTCTGAGATACAGGAGGCAATGAAATCGAGGAAACTACAGTTTTCTTTCTCTCCCTGAGATCAAGTCAGAGATAGCAATATTGCTTTTTTTGTGAAACGTTGCAGTTGCAGTAGCAGCGTCGTGTTCGTTAACTTACTTCTCATCAATGCATGCATACGTAGGTATACTTACACAAGCCTGCATGAATAATAACTGTGGGTGACCGGGACAGAAATTTTATTGGCGAAACTCGTCCCATCGTCGTCCTATGCATGCACTTCCATTGTCGAGAACTCGACGATTCCCATTGCATCGTAGGTACTTTTACATTCTTGGTTAATTATTAAATCGCATTCTCTGTCATAATCGTAAACATTTCAAAATAAATTTGAAAAGTGACAAAGCACTTGAAATTTGTAAAGCAGGTGGCAAACTTGTTGCAAAAGTGGTCATTTCACATCGAGCTGATTGTTGTTATTGCCATCCAGCCTGATTATTGCTGTCTCTCTCTCTCTCTTCTCAACCACTTGTTACGCCCTTTTGTTCTGTTTTGTTCAAATGTCAAATCATCTTCTGCTTTCAGCTCGACATCCACACAACACGGCTCGAATGTGAAGTTTCTTGTCGAAAAACCTCGAAAAATCTCCAAATCAAAGCCACTCGAACCTGTTTCTCTTGCTGAACAACAGCACTACGTTATTAGTTGGATATAAACCATTCTAGGCTTGGAACAACAATCAAAAGCCCTTCATACATAAAATGAGTAAGATAATGGAGCAAACGGATTGTTGACTCTTCTCAAGACTGGAACTGCAAGGTCAAACAATTGTTCAAAAGTTGAATTGTTCATCCTTCTCGTGGACCAGTTTCGTGCCTTCATTGAGTCCTGTTGTTATTGCTTCTGAAAAGGAGATTAAAGGAGCTGGATACAAGTCATTAGCCATGAGAACCAGTGCCCTTAACTTCTCTGTGCAACACGAACATTTGCATGCTCACGGTCCGACCCTTGGGATTTCAACAATTAGTAAATAATAAAAGCAGTTGATGATGCAGTTTATGCAGAATTCTCAAGAGGCAGCAGACGAATTTATAAAGCCTTTCATGCCAACACTCTACAAATCATAGTTCCTGTCATCATACGCAACACAACCATGTAACAACCTATACACAACTTATTTGTTCAAGAATTTAAACCGGTGTATTTTGACACGAACGAATTTGATCATCACGACGCCTTACCCTTACATAAGTTTTTCTTTTTTATACACCGGCTTATTGTTAACGCGCATTTCAAACGAGCAAGTGGACGACGTGTCCAAGACATGATGTATTTTAAAAGGAAAACAAATTGCAAACTAATACGGCGATTTGTAGGAATTCCGTAGTATGCACATTAGCACAAAGAAAGGTGGATGCACATTTCCCATGAAATATTCGGTATCAAAATCTAATTAATTCAAAAACTTGCAACCAGCCACAAACAACCCCCCATTGAGCAGAGTCGGGAGTGCATAACAATAACGGGTGCCTGTCAAATGATGAAAAGGTTTTGCCAACTAAAAAGTCAAGCACTCTGAGTTTACATCATCATCTCTTCTTCTTTTTCCTCTTTGAAATTTGAAAGGAAGACATTTTTCGTATTCGGGTTTTCGATTTGGTTTGGTTTTGCTCAAGTCAGAGGGAGAATAATGAATTGCATTTGCATACAAATCACAATCACAACTTGAGAATTATCTCAATATACTAATTGACAAATGAACTCAGTCAATGCATAATCTCCAAAGAATTGTTTTGAAATGTTGGCAAGTCACGTTTCAAATTAATTGGAGTGATCTATATGTCCGACAGTCACACACAATTGAGAATCTTCGTTCGACACACCAAAAAATCAAATGCACCAACCAACACGAATGACAATCTCCAAAGAAAACAAAGGTTGTTCCTTGCTCCATAATAATACGAGATTATTGTGAGCAAGTAAGAGCAAAAAATGCAAACAACGGCCAGAAAACAAGACTGGGCTCCACACAAAACACGATTATTTAGGCTTTTGCCCATATAAAACTAACCCTTGAGGGAATTAAACAAAGCTGAACCAATTTCCATCCGATTTTAGTTATAATTTGACATGTTTTGACTTTGAGAAACAATAGGATTTGGTGTTGAAACTATTTTAGCCTTCAGGTAGGTAGAAAAGCAAGTGGTGATTAAGACGATGATTAGAACGACAACATGAACGACAAGGACTGGACAATTGGGCAATGAAATAAATAAATGAAGTTGTCTTTTAATCTTGTGTGGCAGTAGTTGGTTGGTTGGCTGGTGGAGGTGGAAATGACCACAGCAAGAACAAGCAAGTCAGGAAGAACAAGGTGGCATTGTAATGGTAACAACGTCCCAATTTAAGATATCTGACACTGACAAACGCACCCCACTCTCTCTCCCCGTCCACTTATAATGACAACAACGACGGAGAAAAGGAATCTAGCCTTGTTTGTCGTGGGGTCCAACACAATAAGCACCGATGAGAGACGTTCTTCTGGTGGAGGAAGAGGCTGAGTGACGAGATCATTAATTTACTTGAGAGACCTGTTGTGGGACAAGGCTCGTATTTTGGGTCGTCGTCGTGTACTTTGGAATGTAAAATCATTGTCTCAGAGACATGCAACTGCTATTATTATTATTATTGTCACTGCTGCGGGACCAACCGCTTGGTAAATTACAAATGCCAAATACTCAGACAAAAAGGCTCAATCAAACAATCCTCTCATTGTCATGTCGCATGTATTGACTTTTTAAAACCAATTCGTACAAAGTAGAGTGCATGGAGTACACATCTGTATGTGCATGCGTACGGGTATGTATCTCATTAGCAGCATGCGCATACTCTTGGCAAATACAAACTGCATAATTAAATCCTCACTGCAAGTGATTGGTTGGAGATGATGAATCAGATAGCGATTGAATCCATGAATGTCTCTGATGGCCAGAGAAGGAATGACCAACAATCGACCATCAAGCACCGGTTTCTCATAAATTCCTTATGGTCCTCGTGAATGAAAGAATCGCCCATCAATGTCAAAATTGACAGATTCAGTTGGGCAGGTTTGTCCATAAGCGAACCACATATTTTATGTGCCTCGTGGTGGACATTCCTCATCCACGAAAAGGAGCTCATCACGGCTTAAATCTCGCATTAAGCAATAATGCGTCCGCCTAAGAAAGCAGAGCGTGGATAACGTGTAAGCATGTATGTAAATAAAAAAAAGGTGCACGAGAGGATAAAGTGGATCAGGATTTCCAGTTGTTGACGAGAAGGGAGTGCGAGGGCCCGGAAGTATCAAATTATAAGCCCCCTCAAGTATCTATCAAGTTTGAGTGAATTGAGTCGTTGGATATAAACTTCTCTCCACCGTTTCTTCAACCACAAGTAAATGTCTTTATTAGAAGAGCGAGGCAGGAGGAAGTTTTTTGAGGGGAAGGAAAAAAAGGCTTATCAGGAGAGTAAATTCATGCATGATGAAGTTGTTTGCTGGGAGATCAGCACACAGAAGCAAAATAAATGCTCGGAGGAAAACCCTTGATTAAGATTTAATGATGGGCCATACTAATAACCACGGCTGTTCATAAGACGATAATTTTTGTTTTAAATACTTGGCAGCCACCTCCACATCATCACCACCACCACAAGGCTTCTGAGTATGATGAGTAATTGTAATAATTGTGGGCACTTTATTTCACCACTTGGCTCCCTAACCTGCAATTAGCTCACAAACCAAAGTTCGGTGAGAAAATCATTGTGATACCAACGAACGGACGCTCAATGGTTGCTCACCACCACCGTCTCTCTCTTTTTACAGGGTCGTGCAGGGCGTGTACCCAAAGGGAGAGGTCTTTATTATTATGGCGTGCTAAAAACACTGCAAATTTCTTCCATCCCTTGCCTGTGGCTAAATCCTACTTGGCAAATATTGCTCGCCAAGTGAAGCCAGTGGAGGCGGATCTTCTAATAGGACGCGAGCAGGCGACCGGATATGAATCATTTCAATTAGTTTGCTTAAGAGAAAAAAATGATCCCAAGACCTGTTCTAAAAATATTTGCAGCAAGACGTCATCGCTGATCAATATGCACAGATGAGTTTGCTTTGTCTGGGTGTAACTTATTCAACACAAAATTTGTACCGTCATTTGGACAAATTCATCGTCTCATTTAAGCCCAACAGCTTATTCCTTCCAATAAAATCCAAAGAAAGAACGGGCTCCTAATAAAAAAGGCTTGAAATGAAAGGGACCTTTTTTCTTAAAAGGCTCAATTCAAGCCTTGTCACAAAGTATAATCCTTCCTAGTTCAACTAATGATAAAAAAGAAGCCCTGATAAAAATAGGATTTGTGTGACAGTCCTTTAACGCAAACAGTGAAACCCGACTGATTGATGGTGAGCTGCTGATCACAAGAAATCTCACTTTTAAATCGTTGGGAAATTATGTCAGCCCCGAAAAATTAAATCACGTTCGAAATCCCTTCCCTCGTCCTTCGTTGAGCTTATGTAATCACCTTCTACGTAAACCATGCTAATTCAAGGAGCCGGCCGACTGACCGGAGCAGGAACCATGCATGTTATAAAATCCACTCTTCTTATTTAATACATAATGTTTCATCGTCTTCCTCCAATTTTACCTCGTCTTTTTTTTTGCTTGAAGATTCTACAACAGCGTATGTCTGTCGCTGATACGTGTGTATGTACTGCGCTCAAGTCTGCGTAATAATAAGCCTGTTGAAATAACGAGAAGAATTCCAACCCCAAAATTATGTATCGGAGGACGGAGCAGCCTCAACAATATTTTATTTTATGACTTGTACATACTCGTCGGCGTGCAACATTTCATTGTTTATTGATCGGTGTAATGGGCGAGTCCCAAAAAGGTATCGCAGGGACGATGAGTAAAGGTGTAAGTGGAAGATGAGGTGAAATATCCAACAACATTTATTAGTATTTCCCCTTCTGCCGGTAAGCATCAGAGCACCCCACTTGCGTTGCTATTATGGTTAACGAGGAGAGTTGTGATGATCCCAAAGTCCAAACTGACACTGGAGGCTAATAACAATAATTCCAATAAATAATAATGCAACGTAACAAATGAGCTTTTCAACAATCACCAAACCATAACCCATATTGTGAAAGCCTAATCTTTCAGAGTTTAGAGGGAGAAGAGGAACCATTCTCTCCTCAAACGGCTACATCCACATTATTATTACTCCCAAATGGAGTGGTGTTGTAAAATTGTTAGCTTGTAAAAATGTAAAATTAATGAAGTAACAGAGTCGGACCTTCAACTCCAATTTGTAAGATACGAAATTACTTTATTGCTCTGGTGCTGGTCCAACATTTCGTAAAATATCTACGAACACACCACTGCTCGTTTGACGAGCCATAGCCAATGAGCAGTCAAATTAGCTGTAAATGTTTTTGGTGAGGTGAAATTGGTTTTCTGTTCACCACACCTACAACGCCTTTAACTGACTGACTGACAACTTGACAATAGTTTCAGAGGAATATTGTTCGCCTTATTCTCAAGTGTGTAGTGGGATTCAAGAGGACGCTGAAATCCTTCGAGCGTCAGTCATCCCTTCAATAACATAATGGATTGGCTCATCAAATCAAAGATCCATTTTCGTCGTCGTCATATTTAATCTGCTTGCCAAAGGTGCGTACGAGGTTTCGTATTGATTTTTATTCACACAACGAGTAATATTCTAATTCGACTCGTGGGGCTGGGACACGCTGAGATCTGCTAATATTGAAACAATTATGATGAATTCAGTTTCATCGTGATTTGATTGCCCCACAATGAACAACATGCTGTCGTACGTAGTCCATAAGACCGAAGAACTGTGTTATCTAGTGTTATCACATTTTATCCAACCTCATTGCCAGCTCGACAATGCAAATATGATTCTTCTTCTGCCTGCGAGGAAAGTGTTGGGCCCAAGTTTTGACTTTGGGAACAAGGAACCCCGTCCAGATCATTAATTCCGACCGTGGCAGGAGAGTGAGACCCACCCCGTACAGGAGAGAGAGCGAGGGGACAAAGGGAAGAGAGCATGCGGGATTAGGAGAGATTCTGAGATTAGGTCGTCAGATACGGAGTGAATGAAAGGCCAATAAATCAAAGTTCTATTGGGCCTCGGCTGGAGGTCATGTTAAAAAACACGAGTTTCTCAGTCCCCAACTCCAAAAAAGAGACAAGACAATATAAATCCACGACCTGGAAAAATGAAGTCGCGATTAACCAGGGATTTCTTCGTTGTCGGTTACCTCCAGTGATACCCAGCCAGAGGGAAACCAAGTTGCATGTAGTTGCATCTAGTTGCGTACGCATGGAGGAACTTGATCAAGTGCTATAAATAAGAGAGGAAGCTTCATCTGTTGAATTCCCTGATGGGACGTGTCCATGTTGTAGAATAAAATTGGCATGTTCGGAGATTATACATTTCCCAACTGACCAAGTATTACTTGCATTTTTTAAACATGCAGACAGGAACACTGGAACATTCGAACATGTAGCGAGGGAATAATTCTGACAAGATTTGAAACCAGCGATTTTCTCACAAAAATACATGAAAAGAAGTAAAAATGAATAAGGGCCGACAATAAATCGAAGCCAAATCGTGATCCATCTGCTTTCCGTTTGATATTCAGTACGCGAGGATCGGTTTGTGAATAAAACGCATCGACACTCCCACTCCCATTGTTCGCAACCACGCCGAAATGGATACTCCATTTTACACGATGACGACGACACGACTCGAAGAAAAGACTACCACAACCAAAACGGAATGGTTTACTTAAACCACAATTGATGCGTAACCGAATATTAGGACGATAGCACAAATCCAGTACCAGCATAAATACTGGATTGTCAGTTGTTGGTATGAATGGCATAATGGCTGTTGAAAATTGAGACTTTATAAAAGATTTGGAAGAAACCCATTAATTTCCCACTTCCCTTTTACACGATTCCTCCAGCAGCACCTTGTTATTATCGAGAGGCACACAATTACAAGTGCACCTCAACATTCGACACCACGTCTTCCGTACGGGAGCTGACGCGTTCGTTAAAACTGGTACGAACGAAGATAGAGAGACAAGACCTGACCCTTCATATGATGGCACCGCTTGGCACATGTTCCCCTTCAAAAACCATTCATTTTCACTTATAGAAAAATATATTTCTACTTCAGCTCGAAGGAAAATGAGAAATAAATAGACAAAGCCTGCCTGCCTCTGGGTAACAGCCAGCGACACGACATTTTCAAAAAGAGCCCTGAGTAGTGAGCCTTAAAAACCACACGGCCAAAATGTGGTTGGACCACAACTCCCTTCATCTGCAGCTCATATTCATTTGCCACATGCCATCCCTTAACTTACTTCGTCTGTCTGTCCGTGCTTGCACAATCCCCTCAAAAAAATCTCAAGATTGAGATTAAGGTTGGAATATATACCTTTCTGCGTGTAATGCTCATGTCTTGCTCTGACTGGAGTAATCATGTTATCTCGAAGCTGTGAGCTGAAAATCTCTCTCCATCCTAAAATACTGCACTACTCTTTTTGTGATGGGAAGGATTTCGTATTCATCTTTGCATTCACTTTTCAGCAATCTTGTACTTTGGGATGTTTGTATGCGGTGTGTCGTACTTGTGATGGTGTAATACGAGCAGACAGCTCCAGAGGTCTTTAAAAACTTATAAATGGTGAGCATGTGTACCCATTATTTGGAAGGACAAAGGAGACATGCATTATTGTGCTCGGCGGAGCAGCAACCAACCTCTTCAACCAAAGTAAACCACATCAAGACGTTCTAAATCGCTTCATTTCCAGCACCGCGTCAACACGTCCGCTTCACCAACCAAAGAACTCGGAACGAAGAAGCGAAACTGATCTTGTCCATGTATTGTAGTACATGTAAATACTAAAGTAATATGACCGAGCCAAAATCTGAAATGTGTAGGCAGATCTATGCATGCAATCGTCCAGAAGTCTGAATAATGGTCGATCGGTGGTTGGGATTACGAGCAATAAATAATTTAGTTGGCCACAAAGGGGACAATTAGAACAGAGGTCTATTCTCCATCACTTTACTTGGGTCCAGCCACTATGTACGTTCGCTGTCCTGTCGTCACTTTTGGCTCGCAATTCACTCAACTGTGAATTCCCTCTGAATGACAGAAACCTTAAACGAAAGCGATTTCATACGACGAGTAGTACAAACTTTGAACCAAATGTTCTTTCACAAGGTCTTTTCTTCTGCGGTCTGGAGCTCCAGCATGCAACTCATGCCCAAGAAGACCGTGGTTGAAAAGGTGAGGAATCTCGCCGCAAAGTGAAAAATATGCTTTGTTGAGTTTTGTCAGGAAGCAAGTTAATGATGTAAATCTTTTTGAGCATAGACAGCAGAAGAAGAAGAGCACAAGCAGCCACGGTAGCCAAGCTATTATGACGCTTTTCTTTTCAACAGCTCCATTATGGTAATCCAATACCATTGCAAAATGCATGTATCTATATGAAAGAAAGGTCTCCAACTAATTCACAAATAGTTATTTCCGAATTGTCCTCTGCCAGACAATAGAAAAGATACAATGCAGCACGCAATTCCTTAAACGTAAAACCGACTATGTGCCACCACGAGTAAAGGTACTATGTTGAATCCCATGTCATGATGCCACCAGGAAGAAGGTCTGGGTCGTCGGAAAATTGTAATGGAAGAAAGTGACAAAGTACACATGTCCTGGTCAAGTACTTCATTCACTAGTTAAGTTATTTCAACGTCAACTTTTGAATTTGAAACGAGAACAAGCAAGGTAAACTGAGACGACGACGACGATGGCCTTTATTTGTACCGATAACTGCTCAAGACTAAGAAATACCTACATACGCACCTTCCCTACACCGTCCGAAGAAGTAATAAAGAGAGGAAGAGCATTGTTTAGAAATAGGAGCTGAGCTGAGTTAAGATGACAATAATATTTTGTAACCACTATATTTCCAACAAAGGCCGTCGTCGGTGTCGGTCGGTGTCGGCAGAGTGCTAACGAAAGCTCAAGAGGAACAATGGGACTGTTACAGTGATATCACAATAGTGTGAAACGACACCGGCTTAAATTCTTTCACTCTTTTTTGTCCGATGATGCAAAACTCGAGGCCAGAATATTCTACTTATTTATAAGCGTTCTTCTTCTCCAGCCAGACCGCAGAGACGAATAAAGCCGCGATCTCACTTATCATTCTGCACCCGACTATGGACAACGTAGTAATTTTTCCTTTTGGAAATTAAGTAATAAATAAATGCCTTCTTGATTGCATGATTACATGTCTCCTTTGAGTCAGATGACGGGATGGATTTCTTGAAATTCTTGGTTTTGTGTTCACGTAGTACACACACACAAAGAGAAACATTTGCTAATAGGGACGAATGGGAACCTTTTAAGAAGGAATTTTTTGGTCGCTGTTCGTGATTCATCAAGAATTTTTTCAGGTGGAATTCCATTGCATGCCATGCACATACATACGTCTGATATTTTTAAATATGTATTAAAATACTTATTATTCTGCGTTGTGAGAAATGTGTCTGAATGGATTGTGTGAGGATGAGGATACTTAATAACAAAACAATTTCGTCTCAATTTGAGTATGAATTATCTAAAAAACAATTATTCTTTCAAATTACTCAAGTTAAAATGCATTCCTTTTATGAATAATCCGCCTAAAAAATTATTTCCATCCGGTCGCAAAAATTGTAATACGAATTATATTTTAAATGCTGATTAAACGTCAACGGCACGCAGAAAAAGGAGACTTTGTGCTACGTAGCTGTTGGCAAACTAAAAGTTATAAATCTGTCAAAAAAGTGCAGAGTAATGCCAAAATGTATAGAATTCGAAGTGAAACTCGTCGAATTACCAATTGCAAATGTGCGATGTTGATTAAACATCGCATAATTCACGAGTCTTTAGAGATTTTTCTTTTGTTCGTCGTTACAACAATCCCAAGTTATGCTCGTATTTGCACATACAACAAGAATAATATTCTACGCGTGTAATGACTAAAATGCATAAGTTTGGCTCACCTCTTCAGCCATAAGTTGTGACTGATTTAAACTCACTCAATCCTGCTCCTGAGTGAATTTCTTTATTCCTTTTTCAGTGATTTATGAAGAGGTTGGCAAGAATTCTGTCATTTTCTCAATTCGTGGGCAAATTCCCACGGTCCAATTTCACTCTGCCAACCAAGATTTGTATAGTTTCTAATGGCACTTGGGATAAAACGAGTTTCTCCTGCCTGGCTATATCTGAAATATGTAATGAAGACACGTTACATAAATATTTGTCTGTTTTGATCGTTTACATTATTTATTACTGTAATATGAAAACTTGAAATTCGAATGGAATCTAGATTTACAATTTAGGAAAAATTGAAATACTGAACGAACTGAACTGAACAACTCAAATTTGACGTGCCAGGCTGTTTTTAGGCAGAAAAACAGGCCACCGAACCGAATTCCCGAGTCGGAAATTTTCGGGGAAATGGGGTTGCTCTTTTCTACCCGTATCGATTACAACTGCTGTACTACAAATTGTGCCTCGCTTCGTTCTGGGTAAAATTTCGAGTCTATTTGTAAATTACTATTCCGCTGTAATTAGCGAAACCAATGCAATCGAAGTCAAATTACAAGATGCATCAATGAGGTTAAAATCTTGCCCTGATATGGAAATGGGAAATTCTAAAACATGTCAATGCCACAGGAACTGTTTTTTCTTATCTCCGTCGTATAAATAGTCCTTGAAAAGATCAACACACTCACCTATTTAATCCCTATCTTCTAAATACACAAATAGTTATAAACATTCACAAGGTTCTAAAAAGCACTGCAACTGATAATTAACAAGTCACTGAAATAAACGCGAGTTTAACAAGTCACACTCACTGCTCATTCAGAAATTCACTCTGAAATTGTAATATTTCTCATGGAAGTACAACTGATTCCTATTCCGGAGACTCAGTTTTCAGGACTTCCGTTCCAGGAGCAAAGTCAATTCGTCAACTGCCCAAAGTTTTGAACATGTTTGTAGCTTGGACTAAAATAACACGTTGAGTGGGACACAGCACATCTGCGACTGCGAGGATTTTCCGATCGGGAAGGAAGACCAGATGTCAGAATGGCTATCTCATTCCTCTGCATTCGCTTTTAAAACGATGTTGTCCTGAACGAACATGTATACAGAAATGAAGAAGGGAAGTAACCGGTTATGCATTAGGTTCACATATATCCATCCCCAAGCAATAGTGGGATTACTTTGTGGTGGTGAGGAAAGGGAGGATGACGACGAGGGGTGAAAAATATCCACTGTGGGTTTGCTTTGCTGTTGAAGAAGAGGATCTCATTCAATCCAATGTGTACAAGCCATTGCATTGTTCGTACAATAAAAGTAAAAGCTAAATTCATTCGGCTTTATATGCATCTTGTTCTCTGGAGGATGAAAAGCTCAAACTTGCTTCAATTCGACCATGGAGTACACGCTGTAACTTGGTCCAGAACATTATTCAGGCTAAGATTATTTAACACTTTATCATTCTATGAGGGACCTAACGTCCGTGTTAGATGCAAAATGTCAAGTAATCGCGATGTATCCCTTTGTACGAGACATACGTATCTTTTAAACACTGCAAAATGATGCGTATATCTAGATTCCTAAGAAACCAGGCCAAAGCCATACAATTTGTTGAGGTTAATTTCCCTGACATGCGAATTTTTGGTCTCGCAAGTCAAAAGACTCATTACCGACTTTTGACAACCCAATCTTTTTCTCTCTCCCTCAACTTTTTGAACCATGTCGATATTATTTTCCGACCCTGTGACTGCCTACTACATTCCAACTGCCCAAGGCACTGACAGTCTCACAAATGACAATCGTTTAGCTGTCCAACCCAAATCCTCCCAGAATGTCGCCCAATCCGAATTTCCAAGCATGGAAATATGCGGAGAAAGTGCTCATGAGGCGACCAGACGGATAATTGAACTCCGATATCACGACTCGGACGTGAAGCCGTCCGTCAGCCAGCAGACTTTGGAGGATTTTGTGACCGTCCAGAAAGTGGAGACGCATCCTGTTCCTGGAGTTGAGGGCATGACGTGGTGCATCCTCTCCTGCCAGTCCCCCCCAGACCAGGACAGCCAATCCAGATACATTGCAGCCTTGGACTATGCCATGCTCGAAGGGTTCGATGCCGTCGTTATTGAGCCGTTTGACCTCACTCAAAGGACACATCAGGCAATTGAGGAATAGTATTCCAGTATTTCTCAATTTCCCCAAAAACACCATCCTTACTTATGTCCATTTACTAATTCGCAGTGGATCAACATCATGACCCTGGTTTGGAACGTGTTTGGCTGCTATCTTTCCGTTTCTGTTGCTGCAACCTTGTCGTCCCGAATGTCGGACCCTGCCATGACATTTGCCGGGATCGTCAACGTGGTCCTACTCCAGAAATATGTCAAGTTTGTAATGGGCGATCCCATTTCGCAATATCGAAACCTGGACTTTCTGAGCGATGAGGACATGGACCGTGTGTTCCACATGAGCGAATTGCTCGCCGTGAGGGGTGCCTTCACCAACGTTATCATCAAGGACACACGGCGTGAACGATATCGCTACAATATTTTGAAGTATATGACTGCTTTTCAGTTGGCGTTGTGCGCCTACAAATATTTCTTTGGAATGGCCCTCTCCACCTTTTTTCCAAACCGACCATTGTAAAATTAGTCGGGTGGAATAAGAAATAAGTACGGTTTTTACTGAATGCATGATTTTAGCGTTTCATTAAAATTAGCAAAACACATGAGTTGACTTTTGTATTTATTTATATTCCCTTCTGTATATTCTCACACGATATTCATCATACATAGTTGGTTGCGAGTAAAACGTGCGAAACTCGGGTATCAGAAAGCGTTTTGTTGTTGCAGTCCTAGCGTTTCATATGTAAATCTCACTCAACTTGTTACTCGCTAAACTGCCAGAAATGCATAAATAGTGCTGCACTACTGCTATTAAAAGTTGCTCTAAATTCATGTTGACATCTCTGCAAACTTTCTCCACCTTGGGATCAGTGTGTGTTCAGACTTGAGACCACAAGGCTGCTGCTCGTGTTGACTTCTGTTGTGCTTTCTCTTTGATTAGGAGCAACGGTGCCCACTTACCTGATGGAAAGGGGCAACAGATTATTGATATGTGCCCCCTGCAGGATCACATAGTTCTTCTATGCAGGGGAAAGCGAAAGGGTATTTTTTTTACTTGTAACTTTGATTGACATATATTTACTTGTATCAGGCAAATAATTTTCATCTCGTGTTACAATTTCAGAATGATTTTTGGCATCCAAACGGGCCTGGTCGTATTTTTTGTTGCTGTCGTTGCAAGCGTCTTCATCAGTGTTGGAGTTTGCATGTACTTTTACATGCAAGAACGTGAGGGTCAATTTCAATTATACAGCTAAATTCGAAATTAAATCACTATGAAATGGTTGACAGAGGCCAAAAAGCGACGGGTGGTTCCACTGCCTGTCCCCGTGATGAAACTGGACAAACCATTCAACACCAAAGATTTTTGGGGATTACGAACGCTCAAAATCACGCCGACCCCGTCACCCGTCACCGTGACCAGCACCACACCCACCCACACCGTCCAAATGGTTGCGGAGACCCGACCTTCACGGCAGGCCGACCTTCAGCTTCCCTTGACAGATGACCCATATACATAGATTCCAGAGGCCAACTTTGTACTTAACGTGCACAACACTGAACAAATAAAATGCGACAATGCAGTATCGCCACGTTTGGAACACTAGTAGAAATACAGCGCTGTGTGGTGGGATACTTTTTTGTACGCCAAAAGTTACTACTCTTAATGAGCCAACTTATTGAGTTATGTGGAGATATGTATGTCAACCAAATCCGAAAGCTGCGTCGCCCGACGTAGCAACGTGTACTCATAACATTTAAAAGAGCATTTCAACCGAGGAAATGAGTTAATTGCGTGCAAGTTTCATATTAACACAATGTGTATCAACAGACCTGCCAAGCGCTTGGCAATAGTCATAAAAGGTATAACCTGAGCACTATCACGAGCCTGCCGTATAGCGATTGGATTTTTAATTCTCTCGCCGGTATGTCAATTTATGTAATAGTCCGTCTGATCCATGTTTCAAGTTTATGATCTGGCAAGTGCACATATTTAAGCGATTCAAACCTGTTTCCTGCAAATAGGTGTCAAATTAAAGATATTCTTGTGCAAACCCAATTTGGTCATCAATGTATCGGTGCAAAATCATCAATTGGAAAAATATTCAAACACACGAGGCATCTCTTTCTTTCTGATTCGACAAATGTCAAATCAGGAAGAAAGATTCACTCACCGTGTGAATTATGTACATACCTACATAAATATTTTGGACATGTTGTAGTATCCCATCATGAATGAGTGCATAAAACCCCAAATGGGTTTGATTCCATGGTCCATTTGCGCCCGCCACACCCACGCAAACGGAGCAAAAACATATGTAAACATATCCGCATAATGCATAATATGGAACGAAGTGCGAACAAAGAAAGTCGGGTGGAGAAAGTCAGTCACCACCGGCATCGGGTGAATTTCATAAGCAATGGGGGTGAGCTAAACCCTGCGCTTCATCTCCTCTGGCCGGGAAGGTTTGAAGGAAAAAGCTTCCGCACTCACTCACCTTCACCGCAGCAGACGAGACGAGGACTAGTTCCCACCAGACACAAAAAGAGACCACTGCCTCTCCTCCTCTTCGCCTCCCCTTATCAAAGCACGACGATAAGCCCACCACCATTTACTGGACTGGACTTTACAAAGGGACAGGTAAAATTTCCCTCCATTTAATAATAACGATAAATAATATTCCATCTTATCGCATCCCGCGACCCGTGGGCGGGAAGACGTGGTTGAACCCTTGGTTGACCTCGTTAACCAAGGTCGATTAGAAAATGGTAAAAAATATGCCGTTTTTCGATTATTATTTTCTCTGAGGTTCTTATGATGTGTTATCAATTAAATGAGCAAAATGAATAAGAATAAGTCACTAAAGATTGCATAATATATGGAATTGATGATATTTCCTTTAACAGATATGTCCATTGGATTTGATATCCTGTCACGCCGCGACCTTTTCCCAACGATTTCCTCCATGGGATCAAGAATAGACTGACAAACTATCTACCTGCCCTTGAGCAGGAATTAAAGCAACAAAAGTATTTGCGATTAAGTTGTTGCTAGTGTGGTGGGAGTTTTCAAGGGTCGAGTGCAGGGTTGACTGACCTGAGAAGAGAACATATTAGATCGGAACTGGGAACCATGAAATGCGACCAGAACCCGGAGTTAGTTTAGTGAGTGGAGCCCTTCAGTCCTCCTTGGCTAAGGCGCAACGTAACTACCAATTTCACGGAAGTGAAAGTCTACACAACTCGGAAGAACGTAAAGAAGCTCGGAATAAAAAGGCGTCTGCTGTGGATAAAAACTTAACAGCGTATTGCAACTCAATTGGGAGTTGTTTTGCCTCCTACTCGGCTGAACAGTTTTTGCAACTTGGGAACTCGCTCAGTTTTGACGACGGGGGATTTCTTGAACACACCATTCCAGAGGTTAGAAACGAGTGTGTCATTCTGAAGCAAACTCGAAAAAATGAACTTGCTCCTGTTGGAGGATCTAATCGGAAAAAGAAGAAGGTGATCTCTACAATTGGTCACAATAAAGGATCGAAACCATCATCATCACTAACTTCTAGTCCTCTTTGTAACGGGGTAATTGCTCCGACCTGTAAAAAAGTGAATAACGTAGCTGTAACCGAGTCCCAATCGAAAGGAACACCATCTAAAAATCTACAGCCTAAAAAACCTGGGAAGTTTGATAATCTCATCCAAAAATTATCTAAACTCTTGAAGGATACGACAATTGGCAAGAATAAACGGAGACGCTTAACACGAAAATTGCGTCAATTAGAGAAACAGAAAAGCGAAGAGACGCCGACGCTTCAAAAAATTCAAATTGATATTAAAACAAATTCAAAACTGACTGAATCGCCGACTAAATCTCCATCATCACCAAGCAAATTGTCAATTCAAAAGTCTGTATCTGCAACTGCCAACAACGGTCTCGGGGTACAACAAACCAAAGGAATCAATCTCCTCAAGACAAAGATGGGCCCTGAAAATGGGTTAAAAAATGACGTTGCGTTGACAAATGGCACATCTTTAAGTTTGCAACTACGGCTTCCAGAACCAAAACGCATTTTATATCCCAAGGAGAAAATTCTCCTTGGCTGGCGAAGCAAGCGCGGTCCTGGCGCTGGATTCCACAACTTTGGCAACACGTGCTATTTAAACTCGTCCCTCCAGGCATTGTTTCACATACCTGCGTTCGTAAATTGGATTCAGAATGATGAAGAGCATCGCAAAATGTGCAAAGGGATATGTAAGTCAAAAGTTTTATTAATAAAATCACAAGCTGCGAGAAAATTAATTAACTAATTTGGCATTTACTTAATATTTTCACGGATTTATTTGTTGCGTTTTGCTTTTTTCAGTACCAAACCAAACCACTTGCATCATTTGTGTCGTGTATCTGACCTTGCAAGAGCACAGCCGAACATCATCTTGCATTAGGCCTCGAGTGCTGGATAAACTTAAGGGTAACATTAAACACTGATAATTGAGTTTATATTTCTGGTAGCAATCTCGTCTTCGTAGATAAATCACAAATTATTATCTTGTTTGTAGCAATATGCAAGCACTTCAGCTACGGTCGACAGGAAGACGCTCACGAATTTCTCCGATATTTACTTGAAGGGATGGAGCGGTCATATCTAACTCTGATTAATGGTCTTCGACTTGATAATCGGACAAAAGAAACCAACCCCCTTGGTCAGATATTTGGTGGTTACATCCGAACAGAAGGTCTGTATTTTGTACACTTGAATTTTCTTAACCTATACGTTTATCCCAGCTGGGTAATAAGTTTATCACCGACTTATCTTGTTTTTTGTTTAATTATTTAGTCACATGTCTTCAGTGTAGCTTTGTTTCAACAACATTCCAACCGTCTGCTGAACTACAATTAGATATTCGGCATTCGACGACTCTAGAAGATGCTTTGCAACTTCATTTCAGAAGAGAAAGGTACCTATTTACATATTATAAATTATCAACAATTGTCCGATCTGTAAACAAGGACAAAAAATTTATTGGATGCTGATTATTCTTATTTCTGCTTCAAGATTGGATAATAACGATTATAAATGTGAAAAGTGTCGGAAAATCAGCCAAGCGACAAAACAATTTTCATTGGAACTGCCTCCTCTTGTCCTCTGTCTTCAGCTAAAGCGATTCACCCTTTATGGAAACAAAATTGGTAAACGAATTCATTGCAACAAACTGTTAAACATGTCACGATATTTGCACAAGTCGCAAAAAGCTTCAGGATTTTATCAGGATAATGTAAGTTATATTATTCAGCTTCAATCAGCAATTAAGCGTTATGTGGGTTAATTATTTTTTGTTATATTTTACTAATTTCCGACTGATTTCAGGAACTCAAGTACCGCTTAGTTGCATTGGTCACTCACTTGGGACAATCTCCAAATTGCGGTCATTACACTGCAATTGCTGAAGGCTCGAATGGTTCTTATTATCAGTTTGACGACCAGTTTGTGCACGAAGTTACTGGTCAAACAGCACTGAACAATGATGCCTACTTGCTAATTTACGAGATGGACCGCAACTCTCAACCTACAGGTGGACTTCATTATTCAATTCCCAACAGTCCAAATATTCTGTCCAAACCTGCTGCTGCTACTACGTCCGGAACGTTGATCACAAATGGAAACTCAGATACGCCGAAAAAGTTTGCAATTCCTTTTGCTAAGAAGAATGGAATTCCAAATTCACCTGCACTGAATAAACCCACTGTCCTGAGCAACACTGATTCGTCAAAAGCTAATGGTAATAGTGGTCCTGATTCCAGCGGCGACCGACGAGTAATTAGATTTGGGATTCCTCCAAATTCACTCATCAAGTCAACGGCACAGAATAAAATTAATGTCCTGCAACCTGGGATCGCGGTGACGAACTCAGCCCGTGTCTATTCCTCGTCATTATCAACAATGGTTGTTCCTAAAGCCAACTGTGTCCCGTTGGTTCCCTACGGCGATATTGATAACGATGAAGCCACTGAACAAGAACCCAAAGAAGAAACTAGGAAAACCTCGCCAAAACAAGAAAGAATTATTGGACCGTTGTTAGAGGTTAATAATAAGAATCATCATCAGCGCAGCCCATCACCAGCCGCAAGGGTTGTAATTCCATATAAGCTGCCTTCTTCACCTCCCTTGTCGCCAAAAGCTAACAATCCTGAATATAAATTCGGGATTAAAAGAAAATCGGAAGCAATGTTAGGGTCGACTTCCGACCTTACTAAATCTGACATGCCCACTTCGAAAAAATCACCTATAAATGCTACGAGTAAATGGACCATTGTTAGTTTAAAAAATGGTAACTTATCCGATCCTGAAAAGAATTCTTCAGAAAGTTCCAAAATCAAATCAAAAGAACTGATACGGGCTAAAAGTGCCGAAAGGACAACCCAAAAAAGCCAGCAAACTTCTCGACTCGCACTTCCTCCACCGCCTCCACTAATTCCCAATGCCAAAAGAAAACTCAACGATTCGACCAAGATTAACCTATCGATAGATAGCACTACTAAATCCAATGGATCATCATTTCCAAGTCAAAGTACACCTAAAGAGTTGTCGCTACAAACTGCCGTTCAAAACGGTCATCATGAGAAAAAGAAGAAAAGGAAACGATCAAGGTCGTCATCTTCTTCTAGCGACAGTTCTTCCACTGATAGGGATCGAAACAAACAGAAGAAAGAGGGCAATGGGAAACTTGACAAAAAGAAAAAGCTGAAAAAGAAGGGACGGGAAACCCCCAGTAAAAGATCTTCGAGTTCAGACGATAGTTCCGATAGTGAAAGCGACTCCTCTTCTGGAGGAAGGCGTCATGGACACAAGCGGCGGCACAAGAATAAGAAGAGAAGGCATTCAAAGCACCGCGATGAATCTAAAGAGAAAATTAAGGTGTCCAGCGGCAAGGGTGAAATGAATGGTTGGTTGCCCACTACTGAGCGTGATGCTTCCAGCGTTGAAAGGGAGCAGATTTTGAGGCAAGCACGCAATCCTAGCCGCAGTCCATCAAAGTCCATCAGCTCCAAATCCAGTGACAGATTTAATCCAAGTAGAATAGAAGGCAGAGAGAAGTCGAGTAAGTTCCAATTCCAGTACTGTTCTTATTAAAATCCACACGCAAAATTTATGTATATACTTCAAATATAATATGTTAATCGATAAAATGAGATGATAACAAGGCTTATTTGTTTCTTAGTTATTGGATGGAACGGTGAGCAAAGTTTACTGTCAAAATCAATCGATGACGAGAGGAAGGAACTGAGCAGAAAATCAAGAGAAGGATATGACGACGAATTAGATCAGGGTCGAGTAAGTATATAAAATATGAGTACTTAGTACTAATACTTAAATTCTGAAGAAATACAGTGCAAAACGGATAATTAGAAACTTTTAATTAAAAATTTGTTTTATGTTTTCAGATTAAAAAACCGCATTCGTCCCGTTCACCATCCCGAGAAACACCTGATGGTAACAAGTTCCAGTCTCTGCAGGACAAAAAGAAGCTGGTTGCAAAGTGGAGCAACATTCTAGACGGTTATGGTGATGGATTTAAAGATCACGCAAACATGAAATCGCCCCCGAGTGACAAGAAGAAGCCTTGGGTAGCGAAAAAGTTTGATAATTACTCAGACCGTCCCTACCCTCCAAGCCGTGGTCCACGACAAAATGGTTCTGGATTTGGAGGGCACAACAGACCGTTCGGTTCTTACTCTTCTGGATACCGAAGTAATACTGGTAGTAATTCGCGACCCGGTTACAATGGAAGTAATAATCGTTCCCGATATTACGATAATGGTAAACATTGGAACAGTCGGCAGAATCATTACTGAACTGAATGTATTACTATTAGTTAGCCCTCTTCATGTTTATGTAAGGGTGAATATTTTTTGTTGTATTTACGTTAACATGCTTGGCCGAAATAGTTAAAAAAAGAGAGGTCAAAAAAATTCCTACATATGATTTAATATTTAATTTAATTAGCAATACTACAGAAATACGTTCTCTACTGAATGTGTTATTGTCGTCTTTATAAGATCCGGATGTACTCGACGATCTTTAAGTTTAATAATTTCCATTCAGATGTGCTCAATTAGCTCCTTCAATTTTTATGTAATTTCGTTACTTGTGATAAGTGATACCACATCATTTTATGTACTTCACTATTGATGTAAAAGATTTAAAAAACAAAAGAAAAACACTTGCCCACAACATATTCAGACACGTGTTGACTATGTAGTTGTATCTTTTCATTCTTTTATGTATATTTGAGGAAAATGTAAATGACTGAATCAAATATCTGATGAAAGCTTGCAAAATGAACTGCCTATATTAACTATAACGTAATTAAAAAGGTGTAATGAATGCCTATATATCATGTTACTAATATTTGTACGTAGTCTAATCAAGTTATATACAGTTTAAACACACTTATTAGACGATAAGCCAAGAATATTCATAAACCTCTATTTTATACGATGACAATGGATATATAATGAATTCATGGAACACAGCGGTAAATTATAATAGATTAGCTAAATATTTTACTGGTAAAATCGTAATTACTGTGTAGTATTTACCAGTCTAATAATTTATCATTAACTTTGTTTGCATCGTGAAGAGTCAGATTGAAGCAATACGGATTAAAATATTATGCTCTAGATACCTTTGTGTCTATCAATATTACTCTAGAACCTGATTGTCAAGGAGTATGTGTGTAAAACAAGACGAAAAAATTAATAAAGAACAGCAAATTGCTGCATCTCAATAACGTAACATTTTTTTCAATTATTTTGCAAATTAAAGGCATAAGGTAGTGAAAATTATTTGTTGATGCTACAGGCACTTGGACGCAAATCACCATTCGTTCACCAGCAGTGCATTAAAGAAAGTTGCACGACGTTGCTTACTTTCTCCCAATCTCACAATTCCCCAGTCCAACTTGCTTTCTCCGTCCCATCTGCTCCAGTAATCGATCGATGGTTTTAGAATTGGGTGAACAAAATCAGTACCACGGACACCACATGTACATTGATTACTGTGTAGATGTAGCTTTATTTACGTGTTTCTACTTTTGTACAGACTATGGTCGATTGGCAGATTGCATGCAAATGGCTCTCATCGAGCCTCGTCTCATTGTGCTGCACACATTACCCTCATTATTCCCTAGTTTACTATCCCCATGCGTGGATGGATGGGTACCTGGTGCGAGCTTGTCTCAATTTCCCATCCTTCGTGACAAAAATGAATGGGCTGTGTGATTTTGTGGGTGTTCATCCAATCGCCCGGAGCAGGACAATTTCATCAATGATTGCCCATCAATAAAATCACATTCTGTAGAAGTCGACCAATTTTGGCGATTTTCCGGTGGTGTCACAATGTTGAAGGAATATGAAATCAAACTTATCGGCGGACCGCGGACGTGTACGAGCAGTGGAGTCGACCTCTGTATTTACCACAATATGAAGCTTCCTTACTTACTTATTATGCTTCCCTATGTCCTCACTTTCAATTTAGATGGAAATTTAAACACTTTTTACGATACGATAACCAAGAAATTGCAGCATTGCAACCAAGCAGTTTATTAAAAAAGGAATTAAAGGTTTTAACTGGTAATGTCCGTCTGATCGTGACCTCATCGCATTGGTGGGTCACGACTTCAGGTGAGAAGCAATGCAATTTGAAGGCAAGTCGTTTAAGAATTTTGCACTCTGGAGGATCTAGCCAAGCAACTTATTGTAAATGCATGCTCAACGCTCAAACTTCAATCCAATCCCTTTAATCGCATTTCATCGGATCAGAAGCAGAAGCCGAAGTTGGCATTGTTAAATTTAGAACATTTTTTTTAGCTCCGTCCGTCATATTGTAAAGCGATCTGATTCTCGTGACAACACAATGCCCCATTCCAATAGAAGACGAAACGTTTGTTCATTGTTTTAGATCGTCATATTTTTTGCTCCTACTCAAAATCATGAGATGAAGAATTGAAGATCTGCAACGGCTTTCTTTCGGCTTGGTGAGAACTCTGAAAAATTGTATTATGATAATAATTCGACTCTTTATGACTGACGATGTAAAATTATTTTCATGGTTCTTCATGATAGACATAACATCGTTTAATTTAACTGTGTAATTTTAATTCGTCGTGAAACCAATATAAATGGCGACAGTAAGTTAAACGGGATCGTTTTCTAGTTATAATTCATCATGCAACTTTAACGGAAATAAACAAGCACGTGGACATTTCGTGGTCATTATTTCTTTCCAGAATCCCTCAAGCTCTGAGATCTGGGCACAAATCAGCCAATCTGTAGGCTGCATATATATCAGTTTTCGCCATCAACTCTGCACTTGAGGGCTATCACTTTTATTGTTATTGCTGCACAGAGTCTGCAGTAATCTTTTATGTTGTCGAGACGTTTATTTGGAAATGTGACATCCGACGGAACAACAACAGTTGTCGGGTTTCAGGAACAAATTAGATTTAATTTGTTTTGCTGAAAGAAATTCTTGGAGGATAAAAACCTGCGTTTGGTGGTTCGTTCGTGTTCATGATTTGAGACGACCATTTATCATCGGCCAGTTTTTCCTTAATGCATTTCTCCTCCTCGTTCCCTATTCCTCATCATGCTTAAATTGCCCCAAGACAATTCATTTATCTTTAACAATGTCACGACGAAATAGTGATAATGGTCACGTTGTAGATGGTTTACGAGTGTTTTACCAATGTTTCTAGAAAATTGTGTTTCCTCCACTAACAAAGCCAAATTATATGGCTATGTGCTTACTTGCTTTATTAGGACTTTAGTCAATTGCATGAAAACTACATAAGTAACAGAGCTGCTCATCTATGTATTTACATATGTAGAAATTACAGCAGCCAAACTCCTGATTAACCAACCGGATTCTCATGATCATGCAAAACAAAGAAAAATGTTGATTTAAAAACGAATTTTGGTTTTTTATGACGCTGTTAATTTGTCAAGATAATCGTTAATTCGTTTCGGTAGGAATAATTTGTGCCTTTTAAAATGCTGATACTGCCCTTTGCTTCTCATGCATGGGTATTTACATTTTTATCAGAAAGATATCTTATCGAATTGTACAATACCCTTTTGAACCCAAGTTCAGATAATTCAGGCTACTGCCATCCACTCTTGTCAGTCGTCCACCAATAAAAATAGTGTATTCTTGAAGAATCGTCATAACCCTCAGTCCACTAAATCTTATCAATTTCAAAGATAAAGTCGTATTTCTGGTGAAAAAAATGTGTGACCAATTCTGACTCAGCGATATGATCAAGATAATAAAATCTTACTTTGTCTGGTTCTCTGAGTATGAAGATTACTTAGAAATTTCATCAGTAATCAAACTAATCAAGCACTACTCGTCGCTATCACTTGTTAGCCCGAGTCAGGGCTTATGGAACTGGTAAGTTTGTGTGTCTGTCTGTCCGTTGTGTCTGCTGAACCACTGAATCGATTTTAACCAACTTAGAACTAGTGTTAAAAGCCGGGGTGATAAAGTCAGGTCAATTCAGGTAAAAAATTTAGAATTGACTCTGCCCCTGACTCGGGCTGAATGAAGTCTGAACGCAAACAAATCCTGCAGTGGTAGGTTTTGTTCTTGAATACATAATAATTTCAAACTTTTCTCCTGTCTCAAAGACATTCAAATCAATAATTATCATAAAATGACATGACGAACAACATTCCGATGGGATTCTCTCCTCACTAACAAAAACACAGCATCGCATTTATCAATTCATCCCACGGTTAATTCTTAACCTGCGTCCTCTATCATCGTAAATAAATATATGCCAGATATTTAGCATTCACCCCAAGTTTACTTAGCTTCACGTGTCGGCATAATAAACGCTGAGAAAATTCACGATTGCTAATTGAACAAAGTGCGAACCGACTCCGCGTCCTCCAAATAAGGGGTTCGCTCTATTGCTGCGAAAAGACCATTCGCGTTTGTGAAATTAACAGCAGCCAGCTCTCATTTTTTCACCACTTTTCCATTGCAACCACTCATCTCCTCCTCTTGTCCGAGCGAGGAAAAAGTAATAAATGTACGTTTTTGGTGAGCATTATTCATCCCACCAGCCCAAAGCAATACGATGAGATGGAGCCTTTTGTATGCGAGAATGTACCCAATTTCATACTGCATACCAGAATAATGCGAGAATATCGTATAATATCGCGCACATTAGCCCATATTACGACGCATAACATGTTCAGTGTCGTCAGGAGTGGTGGAAAAGTGCGTGGACGAGTTGAAGGTGCAATGACAGGGTGGGATTTGGGATGCGATTGTGAGTGAAGATGCGATTATTATTATGGGAGTTGTAGCAAAAAGCGCCGTGCTGGCTGGCTGGACAGTCCAATACGGTTTTGAATCATGAGAAACACCTGAACGAAGCCTTTTTTGATGGGAAGTGGGCGACAGAATTTGCCATTATGCTCATTATCCTATTATAATCTGCTGCAGTGCTTATTGTGCATGGATGAGTAGGCTCAATTTGGATCTGCTCTAAAAGGCTAAAAGGAAATGGTCAAATCCTCATGTGAATGCACACCCAGGATTCAAAGTGCACTTTACTTGGATTTTGTGGAAGTGTACATTTTTATAGTAACTCCATGTGTATGCAAATATCTATCTTTCCAATCTGCAAACATACTTTTGCTGTGGATGCTGTAATAACCGGGATGTCTGCTTTTAGTCTGTTTATTCAAATGTTTGGCGATCTGGATTGGGTTTGGTTGTGCTCAACTAGGGCAGAATAGCATAATGTACATAGGTTCCTGGCATGAGTAATATTTATTAAGCCCAGCTATCACAATCATAAAATTCCTCCTTCATATTTATCTGGGAAGTTGAACTTGCTGCAGTTTGAAGAGAACTGATAAGCTCAACTACAAACCAACCTTTTAATTTCATTTTCATACACTTTTCCTGGAGATTGTTGTGTGTGACGAAATGCAGCACAATTTATCACATGCATGCTTTACTCCGTACGTGATGCTGGAGTTTATTTGGAGGCCCATAGCGTTCCGTTGTCGCCTTTATGACATCATATTGCATCCGTTTGTACACAGATATGGGTAAATGTCAGCTCCTTTTAATGTATACGCAGTCCGTGCGTGGCTTGGTGTCAGGGGCCAACTAATAATACAAACTCAGTCACATTCAGCCTGGATTTGGTACGATATTAGTACGCATATGCATCGGACTGCTAATGTCAGCGCCTACATTGGACTGAATTGATGGCATGAACCAAGAGTCATCAGAGCTATAAAATGCATGCTTGTACTAGGCTCGCATAAAAAAAAGATTTTGAAAGCTGGCCAGCAATGGACGACGACGACGATCCACGAATGGAATGAAAACTAAGGCAAATTCTCAGCTCGCAGCTCTGGTCTCAGTTCATCTGTGGAGTTCATGAGTTTACCAACTCAACCACAACCAACGCTTACTTCCGTCCGAGATCGGATTGGACACTTCCAACTCACTGCTTAACTGGGTGGTAGTAGAAAGTGATAGTTGAGAAAAAAAGTTCCCACAGACCACTAACTTGCATTTCTGAGCGTAGCATATCAACCAATTTAGTTCACGTAGAGGAAGTTGCAAACAATAGCAGTTTGTGAAGAGGTGAAGGGCGTGCGAATCGGATTTGTGCATGGGATTAACCTTTGTCTAAAACTGAATTCACTTCCAATTTTTATGTCAGATAGTCAAAACCTGCAGTCAGTCTCGGAATATGCTTAAATAAATTATTAAATTGGCAGCCCCTAATTTGAATAAGTGGACAAGTTACTATTGCAGCTAAAGGAGTGTGTCGTAGTAAAGTTTCCAGTGGAGGTTGGTGATTGAAATTTAATAATTCATCATTCCATTAACGATTAGGAGAAGGACTTTGTTGAAAATTGAGAATCATTTTCTCCGATATTTTCCATTTCGTCCTTTATTTCTGTCTGATGCACAAGAGTTACTCATTTCTGACTTATTTTCACAGTTGATTTACTATACTCATTTCCGACTCCATTCAACATCGATTAATAATAAATTTTTGATCATTTCATTTCTTAAAGGATAGAGGATGGAGGACTATTTGACACTAATCAAAATCCCCCTCCTCTTCCTCCTCTTACGTGCATTTCCCCTACAGCATATCCCACCAAACTAAATGCAATGTAAATTCCTGTCTATTAGATAAAATCCGACTTTTCCCAATTCTGAAATATATTTACATACTTGTCCATACGTTTTTTGATAGTTAAGTAAATGCTTTCATCCTTTCGAATTAGGATCTTGTCCAATATGATGTAACTCAAAAATTTATTTAAAGTGAAAGTGAAAGTTATATCGGATTTAGTTACCAGCCAAGTCAGTGCCAAGTTGCACATATGCATGTTCATCCATATATATAGAGCCAGGGCTAGTTTGCGAATTGTGTGCAAAAAGCCTTCTTATAGCTGATTCACTCTACGCACCTTTCCCCTTTTTGTGCTCTGCCATCTTGAATTTGGTCAATTTTCAGATTAAGTCACTACAAACTTGTGCAAACTATTACACAAAATCGTATATTTTTCTTTCCATTTGTGCATCGAAATATTGAGATTTTGCAAATTGTTGAAAAATTATAACTACAAGTTTCATCTCATAATTTAGTGAACCCGAAAATGGGACAAAACCAAGTGAAAGAAAAATCTCGAGAAGAGGACGACACGTCCACGCCCATTTTAATGTCAAACCTAAATTCCGACGATTCTGGGGAGAAAAACCAAGTCAGCTTTCACCAGTTGGCATATCGCGGATACATTGATGAAATTAAATTAATCTTGACAAAAGATGATTTTAGTGGAGAATCCATCGTGAGAAAGTTGGATTCACTGAATAAAACACCAGTTCACAATGCTGCGCTGGGTGGTAAGTTGTAGCATTATTGCAAGTTACTTAATTGTTTTAGCGAATTGAATCAAAAGTTACACTATTTATTTCAGGTGGACGATCGAAAACGGAGCTGGTGACGATGCTCTTGAAACATGACCAGGACGATGTCCGTTCCAACAATTTAGAAAAACTCGTCAACTTGAGGGACACCAAGGGGAGAACAGCTCTCCATTACGCCGCCGCCTCTAGACGCCCTGATCTCATTGCAAAACTGCTCAACGATTTTGAAGCCGACCCCAACATTGTGGATGCTGAAGGCTGCACCCCTCTGCACATTTGTTCTTTACAAGGTCAGTGTCCCAACCTAAACTATACAAGTCATGAATAAGTTGGTGGTGGGGATTGAATAGGGTAGACGTAAGATATGTGTATCTAAAGCCTACTTTCACTTATTTGGCCCGTGTTAAGGATACTCTGAGGAGGACGTGACGTGTTTGGAAGTTCTTCTCAAGTGTCCTCAAGTAAATCGTTATCAGCTCTGTGGACCAGCCAGGCATGAGCAATCGGCCGTTCATCTCGCAGCAAATGCAATGGCGGACAAAGTACTAAAGCACTTACTCAACAGTGGGTTTGACCACAGCAAGCAGGACAGTCGAGGACTTTCCCCCTTACACCTTGCCGTAAATGCTGGTAGGAAATCATAATCTAGACAAATTTCATAAATGTTTTCATTCTTATTTTACATCCGTTGTTCACAATGTGCAGGTGACACTCCAGAAGCAGTGGCATGCGTCAAGGAACTGTTGAGGGCGTGCAATATAAAGGAGGTGAACGCAAAATCTGCGGAAAACGGTCAGACTGCTTTGCACATGGCGGCGTACAAGTGTCATTTCAACGTTCTCCGAGCCCTCTTGGACGAAACTAACACGGACATTTGGGTGCTGGACGATCAGAAAAGAACAGCCCTCCATTGGGCAACGGAAGCATGTATGTACACAGATAGATACAATTACCATTTACTAATACTCTAACTGTATGCTGATACCGTAATTACGTGTGCTATTGGAGGAGTACATTTATGTACATGGACTAATAATTGTGTGATTATGAAACTCGCAGGGTTCAGAAATCAGAGTTTGGCATGCATCAAGTTGCTGGTTGAGAGCAACAAGGTGGCGGATTGGCAGGACAAGGCCAACTTTCTCTACGGAGACAACACTGGGGATCCGAGAAGCAAATATAAGAACGAGACGGCGATGGAAATTGCTCTAAAACATAAGGCCATTCGCATTACGGAATATCTCATCCAGGCGCACCCCTCTCCGGAAGCATGGTATGTGCAGCCACAGGGTAGAAAATTATTATGAATCACTGGGTGCGTGGCGAAAATAAAAGTTTTCCCGTCTAATGGGATTTTCAGGTTGGATGACCAAATGATGGACAAGATTTACAGAACGCTGCCCGAAGCCATGATTCCTTTGATGAACAGCAAAGGGCTGACTTACAACCCTGCCAAGTTTCATGAACGGAACGAGTCGATTGATGCAAGTTTTGGTTGTCTGACTGGCTACGCAGATCTCGAGGAAGACGATCCCGGATATCCGGTCAAGCACGAGACGAAATACTTGCACTCCATTCTCCACGCTCCCAAAGAGATTCAGCAGAGTTTGCTCTTACACCCGCTCATTCAAATATTCATTGACATCAAGTGGAAAAAAATTCAGCAACTCACGTGGATCACCATAATCTTCCAGGTATCACTTGCATGTAGCTTAAGATTAGCTTCACTACCTTATTTTGAGCTGCTGCCCACTTTTAGCCAGACCCAACCACACCTACACATTATGCATTTAACAGCTCTCTCTGCCTGCCTGATAATACCTCAAAATTGACATGATTGGTCGTACCGTTCAGGTTAATGTTTTTTTACAAAGTTTTCAAAATGACCATGTAAAATATGAAAGTTCCTGAGATCGGGGATTGAAAATGACTCACATGAGATGAAAATCCAGTCAAATTATAAAATTGTGCATCCTATGAAAGAACCCGATGAAGTAACCCCCACTGATTTCTAGAAATAACCCGTTCAGTACATTATTAGATAGTAATAAATTACGGTATTGAGTTATATCACCTAGTTCGTCCTACATATGCACATATGTAAAGTTGCTGAGAGATTTTTAGAGTGAAAATATTTACTTAATTAAATATATCCAATTTATAGTTCATCTGGCTACTGCTCTACACCGTCCTGGTCTTCGAAGTCTATGTGCCTGATTGTAAGGAAGAAGTGAATCCTGGAATTGATAGCATGACGAACGGAGAAACGCCTAAAAACAAGACGAGAAGTCTGAAATTTCTGCTCAGTCTTGGATTCTACTCATCGGAAGACTCTAGTAAGTTAATTTATGGGCTTACTTGAAGTACTTATGCACAGTTTGATAATCGATCTTTCTTTCACCCTTTCATAATTTCTTGTGCGTAGACATTAACGACTGCGTTTTTAACACGGGAGCCGCCATCTCCATCGTGGTTGTGCTCTACGTAATGAGTGCCTTCGTCGTCATGAAGGAGATTTTCCAAATGCTGAACAATCGCAAGTACTTTCGAAGCTATGCAAACTGGGCCCAATGGACTTTGCTGATTGTCTTCTTCATCAACTCGATCCCCGCGTTTTACTCATCACCGGAAATTGAAAAATGGCAGATATACTTGGCAGCAGTATGATATGATATGTTTTATTCACCATTCTTATCAATAATTAGCATCATATAAACGTTAAATATGCATAACTGTAATTCTTCTCAGGCTGGAATGTTCATCGGCTGGGTTCTTAGTCTTCGCGAAATTGCAAAGTTTCCGAATTGCGGTATCTATTCCGCCATCCTGAAAAAGGTACTAAACGAAAGGGTCTGAAGTACTTAAGAGAAAATAATAACCAATCTTTTAACACGCAGGTATTTTGGCACTGTCTGAAAATGTTGGGGTTTTACGTCCCTCTTCTCGTCGCGTTTGCATTGACCCTTCGGCTTCTGCTTCCAGGCGTAAGTCATACATACATATGCACTGAATAAGCACGTTTACTTGTAAAATATACAAATTAAGAATACATGGTCTCATATTTTTTTAATTAGAAAGGACAGTACAACTACCTATTTTTCGGAATTGTGAAGGTATACATACATGAAAATTACAATTAAATAAAAATTAATCCAGTCAGTTAACACTGGATTACGTAGGTATTGATCTTGATGACGGGGGAGCTTGACTTTGACGACTCTTTCTACAAAGACGAAGGACCCCAACTCGCCCTTAACTTCATTTACGGGCAATTCGTGTTCCTTCTTCTCGTTTTCGTCACCACCATCGTCCTACTAAATCTCCTCACCGGGTTGGCCGTCAACGACGTGCAGGTACATATGCACACATCTATAAACACTCAATTATTAAATATTTTCCTAGCCGAAGAAGTCCAGGCAGGAGAAGTAAATTAATGCTTAAAACGAATCATTGCATGAAACAGAGCTTGATCGAGGAGGCAGAAATAAATCGGCTGAGCAACGAATTGGAACAGATTTTCCTCTTGGAGTCGCTCTTGCTCTTCATTCGAGACAAACTTGGAAAAGGCTCTTTAGCCGAATTTTTCCACAAATTCAATGTTACATCAGTGGCGTAAGTTAACCGCATATGTTACTCACAGACCAAAAAATACTTATTTTGTACTCTTATTTACTAAATGATGCAAATAATATCTTTAGGACACCACTCTACTACTACGTCACGTCTAAAATTTCTGGGATCGAGACTCGATCGTATTCTCCGGACTTGAAGAAGAGGATCAAAATGGTCATGACTGCGGACGAATCTTCGGATTGATCTCAAAATTAGCTACAATAATGCTAGACTAGAACTATTCACTTCTTTACATAAGTACGGATCTACATTACGTTTATAGTAATGCAATTTGTATAGTGAGAGAATCTCTTTCCGTCCATGGGTTTTGTTTTGCGGTTTCCAACAATCCCACTTCAGTATTGCAGACACCTTTTGATCTTTTTTGAGACTTGTTTTTTAGCAGTGTGTGCATGCACATACGAAATACTCTCGTGTTCAACTGAGGATGCATTTTATTTTATTCGTAGTCCGAGCCAGGGCTTGATTGGGTAAAGCCATAAGCCAGGTCTTGGACCCAGTTGAAAAATGATCTAAATTCAGATAACTGTAAACGCTAGGGTTAAATGGAAACTGTCCATAATTTACATAATTTCCGTTAATGATTAACCAACCTAATCAATATTTTATCTATGCAGATTTACGTAACTCTAGTGTATGTACGTTTTATATTTTAATTTGACAATAATATACAATTTTGCTTGCATAAAGAATGTTTCAAAGAATGTTAAAACTGTTTTCTCTGAAAAAACTTTGAATTACCGTTAAAACGTCAATGATACGCACCATTTATTTGATCCTATCCCATATCACACATATTCTACCCATTCTTCTTCTGTAACTATACCAGATTTTTGGATCTGTGTATTCTGTGAGTTTCACAGTTTTTTTGCATCCACCAACCCAACCTGATTTAAGTAGTCTGTTACAATACTAAGGTGCGTACATAATAATCCCAAGCAAATCCACCATCCACCCTCAACAACAATTTGATTGTTTTTCACAGAAAGGATTTTTATTGTATCACCAATTTTCTGCATTTTACAAGTTGAGGCTGCATCAAATATAATGACATATTGTTCCCTTTTCTTCTTACATGCAAATTGTGTGGCGAGTTCTTGAATGACTTTGTCCACCACTCAACACCTCAACTGCTCTTTCTTTCTCACTCACCACCCGTAATTTACATCAATCTCGGGAACTGCTTTAGTCGTCCGTTGCTGTCACAAAAGTGCATTTTGCAATTAATTAGTGTTTCATGTTACGTAATATTTTTACCATTTCATTCTTAAACTAACGGTTATCCAATCTACTGATGCACATATCTAGGGATGGTAATCCGTATCCTAAATTAACCGATCCGTAGGATAGGATCGGATAAATACAGGATCGGATCGGATCGGCTCCCGGTTCTACTCGAAATCCGATGCGATCCGATCCTAGGATCGGATCGATCGTAGGATATCCGCGGATGATATGTGTGAGACACCTTGTGTCTAACTATGGAAATACTTTACCAGCTGCTTTTCTTTATTTATTGGAACGGTTTTTGGTGAGTTCATCACATGGCGTACATTACCCGAATGAGCCGAATTATCCTATTATTTTACACCAGTTATTTTTATTTTGGCGTTCAAATTATTCAATTTAGTATGATTTCAACGCCAAAATAAAAATAACTGGTGTAGAATAATAACATAATTCGGCTCGTTCGGGTAATGTACGCCATGTGATGAACTCACCAAATGTGAAACGAGTTTACATCGGATGATCCGAGGATCCTGTGTGATCCTAGGATCTCATCGGTTAGGATCGGATCGGATTGTCTGATCCTCGGATCCTCTATCCGATCCGTGTGAAAATCCGATCCTATCCGAGTTTTTACGATCCTAGGATAGGATCGGTTACGGATTACCATCACTATCTGTTCTTACGTGCATATAAATATTTACTGCTACCATTCGCATTATCCTCATGCTAATAAATAGCGTCACACATTTTCAAAGTGAGAGATTTATGGTTGACATGTTCAGGTGTAAACGACCTTCATTTTCATTTCCACATATGAAATGAGATATGAGCGTGAAATTAATATGATGCGAATTCATTCGGAGTCTTGTACAACAATGCCGAATTATGTGCTGGGGAACAAAGAGAGGGGTCCACAACTCATCTGAACGAAATCTCCTGCAAGTGATCTCCTCATTTCTGCCTCTTGTGAGACAATGCATGGTTCACCTCACCTTAAAACTCTCCTTGGTCGTTATACCTACATACGAATGCATCATCATAAGTACGAAATATGCCATGCAAAGGCTGCCTCTGAAGAAAAAGTGCGACCACGTCATGATGGGCTTCACTCAAAGTCATCTCCTCTTAAGTATTTGCAGGTGCGTTGGTGGAGTTGTTGTTGTAATGCAAGGAACAGGTAATTCAGTGCCGTATACGTTAATTGCCTCGCTTGCATCTTGAAGATACATATTCTTACGTAGAGTATAGTATTGAAAGTGTGTGTAAGAAGTCGCAGGTTGCTGCTTCGAACAAAGGCTACGCCAACGCAGTGATCATCAGGAAAACCTCAAGTGAAAATTCAGTTGGATGATGATGTGATTATGATGTGATCTCAGGTTAGGTACGGACTTCGTGACTTGTTTCCACTCACTTGATTCTGAGCAGTGGTGATCAAAGCTGTGAAGCAGCACAAATACAACGAAAATAGAATCTCATCGCTTCAAAGTTCATCCCTTGAAATAAATTTGTGGAATGAGGAGTAGCATGAAATTTCGTGGTTGAGCCAAAATACCTCCAATTCATCTTGCCCAAGCAGAAGAAGAAGTACTTGCGAGCAATAGTGTTTGTTTAGTGGTGGGTGGTGGAAGACGTTGAAGGTGGCTGACGGAATTGCAGGTAAACGATTAAACCCATATCTCGCTAATTTCCTTCAGGAGACGACATAAAAGAATCAACTTATAGCATCAGCCAGCTCAAGTTTTGCAAGAAACAGACGAGCAGTATATTTGCCAAAGTTGTTGTAACGTTTGCGTGTGCTGGTTGGGTTGAGTAGTTGCGTGGGTTGATTTTTATTGGAATAGTTCAGTGAACGAGATTTTGATATGTGCATAATGAATTAAATACAAGGAGAGAAAATTTCCTGAAAAGAAGCTTAAAATCCTTGTTGCAAGAGTTTGCCACCGCTAAAATTTTCCTTAAAACGGTGATCAATGGTGCATATATAAATAATTCTTCGTGGAAATATTTCTAAACTTGCAGTGAAGGAATTAAAGGTAGAAATTTCTTGTGAAGATTTGGAGTTTTCTATAAAATTTACAAACAAGTTGTGAATATTCTCTTCCAACATCATTTCGTATTCCTTTACTCCTCCAACGCACGCAGCCACCGACCAACGTCCTTCCTAAAAAGGATTCTTGTAGTTGCTTGCAATTTCAATTCGCAAGTGCAGAAATGAATTATTAAGCAAGATAAATAAGTCTGCACTTGCTTTGTTTCACATTCTCTTTTCCATTTGCATCCCATTTATGCACGCTGTATTTGCTCATTGGTGTACTTCAGCAACCTTTAGGTCTTGAGCCCCGTTGAGCTCAACCTTTTAATAAAATAGGTTGAACCCCGAAACATATTTAGAATATCCTGAACTCGTTGTGACATCGAAAATTGTACACAGAAAAAATATTTGTTGGACACGCATTTTTATTTTAATGGTCGTCGACAAGGACAAACCAAGAATTGAAAGTGCTGCCTGTGAATTTTCTTCGTTTTTGTCTGCTGCAAAAGTGCACGACTAGCCGTACAAAAGTTGAGCTTGTGTCTGCGGGTGGTGTGAATTTCGCATTGTATTTTATTGTACGTACATTTCCTAATTCACACGGTACACTTTTTCGCGACGTAAATCTAGGTACGAGATTTTTCATTGAATGGAAAACGCGCGTGGCAGCGTGTTTATATTTTCAGTTTCTTACCATGATAAATAGGACGCTATTTGAAGAGTAGGTATTTATATTGACACCGCAAAATTACGCTAGACTGACAAGTCGTATCAAGGCGTTGTAAATATAAAACAGGATTTGATTTGTGGTTTGTCATTGTCCGATTACATAGTTCATTATGTATTACATAGTAATTATATTACGTAGTTTATAACCTATTGCATCCGTCGGTTCTGATTGAATTTAAAAGTCTTTTCTACAGTCATTCATTATTTATTACGCACTAGTTCAATAGCAAGTCACACATCGCTGCACTATTTGTTTGTTCTTGATTGTACTCTTCTTCTTCGGCGTATTTTAACCTTTACATTTTTTGTGCTCAGTGTTTCTCGGAAATTTACCAAAATCCGTCAGGATGAAGTCCCATTCAGTCATTATCTTACTCATCAGCATATATTTGGTAAGGATCCTGCTTCGGTGTGGCACTGCTACCGCTAGATACCCAATAATTTGATTGGGCTTGGTTCTATCTTGATCTTCCAGAGCATTCACAGCGCCACTTCCGTCTTCGTAGAGCATGATGAAGACATTATTAAGCGGTCAATCATCTACGACAAGAAAACGCCGGATGTTTTCTACTGTCCACAGGAGAAGCCTGATGGTAATCGAAACACATTTCGTGGAAAAAGAGGGGGAAATAACATGTATAAAAATGATAATTGCTGAATTATGGGCAGGAATGAATAACATGTTGGTGAAGTCCAAGCCTTTGTCCAAGCTGTGCGAATACCAGGGCCAAGAACTTCCAGACCGGTATTTGTCCGACTGCTACGGAAATGTGGATGAGACGGTGTGGGCGTGCAAAGAGAAGAAGCGAATCATGGTAAGCGAAACCTTATTTTTTACCTCAACAATATCCTCAGAAACAATTATGCAAACCCAACTACCGACGGTGGCTTTCTCACATTTGGCGATTTTTACTAATTGAAATTAATTTAACAATCTGTGAACAGAAACGCCGCGAGAAACTGGAAACATAGTGGTCACCAAGTCACAAACAAATAACAACAAACACATTATTGTCAGACAACAATGCCACACCATCATCCCCCAAAAAAACAGACACGCTCTCCACATCAATTTATCTAATACAATTGTAACGAGCAACCGTAACCTTCTTCGCATTTACATTTTTTGTTAACACGTCTTCATGCTACTTTTTTAAACGTTTGTATTAATAAATTTAACAGTTTACTAAAAAAAGCGGCACTCACAGCTTCAATTTGAACCAATTATTAAATCATTGAACTAAATTTATAATCCAATGTCATCTGCCACGTAATTAAATTGCACGGGGATAAGTAAACCGCGAGAGAGAAACAAGCCTGCGAAACTACCGTTGCGAATGTAACGTCAGAAAAGAAGACATGCGTTGAGCTGCAAGTTAAATAATTTAATAGACACCTGTCAACCAGTTTCCTACATACGCCAACCAACCCACCAGCCCAGTTCTAGAGGGCAAAATGCCCTCTAATTGTGCCTTACTGTTCCGATGAAACATTTTTCAACGCCATCCATTCCTTTCTAATAGAGCCATACTCCACTAATGAGGTGCAAATGTAACGGAAATTCGTTTGTGAGGTAATAATACCACAAACTAACTCGAGGAGGCAACTACTGCGCTTTGTTGTTGCTACTTTTTGCCTCAAAGATTTTTTGTGTCAAGCAAATCTAAAGAGCAGCTCAAAATGTGCCAACTAGTATTTCACGCTTCTGTAACTCTACTCACCTTCTGCCTCAATCCGAACAATCGGTTCACCCAGTCTGAATTGCGTAAGTAGAAATAAATGGCTAGGTGCGAAGTAATAAATATGACCGCATAAATACATCCCTGCAGCATCTAAACTGAACCAATTTCTTTAAGACGAGTACACAAAACTGAGTGGTACATAATCGTAATAATAGCAGCATCGCGATATGTTCGTGTGATTATAATTCTTCAGCAGATTGTGACGAATGAATGGTAAGGAAACAAATAAATAATAACCATTTCACCGCTTCTGGCTTCTTTTTGTTTACTTACGGAACTTAATCCCTCACCGGTAGCGCTATTAGTGGCAGACGAGTTCTGAAACACAATTGAAGGTTCTTTTACGTCGTTCAATACTTGCTTTTTAATTTGTGAAGAAACGGAAGTATCCGCCTGGGATGGACGCCCTGGAAAAGTACGAACCCTTGTCACGATCCAAACGGGCCGAGTATTACGAGATGTCTTTGCCACGAAAAAAAACACGCGTTGAAACCAGCGTTTCTCACAGCTCGTCACGATCCTCAACTTTCTCCAACCCGAAACAGGGCTGAGAGAAAGCTGCTCAACTCCTCTTTTTGACAGCAAATAACAATTTAGCCCCTGGAAATATAAATAAACTTGTGATGACCTCGACTAAACAATATCTTCTAATCTGTGTACAATCTGTGCTAATTCACTCGCACACAAATCTATCAAATGAGTCTCTCACTTTCACAACTAGCACAAAACTCACAACTCTTCTCATGCAAAAAAAATATATTAAAAATAACCACGCAAAGGAGCTGGGGAGCTCTCCAATCAGAGTGCTTTATTGTAAATTGTAACCCATAAAATACGTGCATTTAGACACTATTAACAAGAAAAACATATTTGTTTGTACCTGTATTTATTGTGATTTTGCTCGTCGGTATAATGTGATTATGTTGGTGACTATGAACGCAATGTGATTTGCATATGCAATTACTAAATAAGTACTGTACCAAATAAAACACTTGAAAGAATTGGAGTAAGTATTTATTGCATGGCATTATTTTTGTAAAAAACCATTCTCACATGCCTTGGTTGGGGGGGAAGCGGAGATGGGATGCATTAGTCAAATGAAAACAACGATTTCAATTCAAATGAGTAATTTCTCATGTGGAAATCTCATCCAGCACTTTCTCTCCACCAACATCAATCAAACCTTTTCACCACCACCACCAACCAGACTGCACACATTCCCTCGCACAACGCCAACGACTCTGCTGGCGTAACAAATGATTGGTGCCATTATTCCCATTTCCCTCGCCCTCCACCAAAAGCTTAGTCCTAATGACGTTCCAGGCATTCAAACAATATGCTCTTATCATTCCTATTTTTGTGATGTGCAATTTTTTGCTTTCTCTTCATATGCAAAGTTTTTTTTATAGGTGTAACTGTGAAGCAGTGCCAATAGCACATGTGCACAGACGCTAGACAAATAAATGTGTCTATTCCCAGAAGAGAGCCCACAGGGCATTTCGGGAGCAGTGTCTCTCTACGAGGAGCAAGATTAGATCTCGTGTTGTTATTAAAAATACAAATGCAAGTTGTGTATCAAAGGAGAACATGAATATGAGTCGTTGGGAAGGCTCCGAAGACGAAGTGGATGGAGAGCATTGTGAGTTAAACAGAGATAAATATGTGGGACTGTAAGCACATTTCTCATCCTTCTCTCTCTGATGGGATGTTTGTCATGTTTTCTCCTCCGCCCAAGACACAGGAACAGCCTCAAAGCCCAAAACCCTTGAGCTACTCTACACACAGCCGGGTGAAAGCAAGAGAGTGAAAGCAGGCAGGTGAACCCAGATTCTAGACCATCCCATTTGTATTCTGCTGGCATTTCTCTCCGCCAGCATTCTCCATCCTCCGCTTAACACCGCAACACACAAGGAAAGCGTTGCGATGCAATATTTCCTGCTCCCACTAAACGACCAAGTTCTCATTTATTCCCATTTCGCATCCACAATGCACCCATTACAGTCACTAAATGGTAATAATTGTGTATCATGCTAACTGCAGCTACACGTTCAAATAAATGAAGAAAATCACACATATAATTCGCTAAAAAATTATATCGCCACTATAAGGAGGTATTTTATTTTTTTTTGCGGAAAGCGAATTGCTCTTGTGTGGCGTATGAAATAATAGCGCCGTGGGGAGCGGGTTTGCTACCAAGAATGAAAAGTAGTAGGTATCAGAGTTGGCATTTTTCTGAAAACTTGCTTACTTTCCAACGGCACTTTGTATGAAAAGAAGGTGCAGGATTACTAGGAAGGAGCATATCGAGCAATTATAAGGGGCTATAGCTAGTACCACTCCTAAGGTGGTGGTCGTATAAGTGAGAGATTTGAGGAATCCCACGTCCATCCATAATATAAGGGATGAACTAAACTACCAGTGGTTTAAATCTTGCCAGTCGCAGAAGTGGTTTTACCTTAGTTTATTACCCGGCTTAAACGAAGTGCGAAACTCGAGAGGACAGCAATAAAGTTGATTATTAGTCCGAGAACGCAGAGACATTCAAAGTCCTTCCGAGACTGAGGGGTAAGTTTCAACCGGTTATTTGCTATTTTATTTAGTGGCACATATGCAGATTCAGCAAGAGCATCACAAGTGAGAACAACTCTGTCACTCCAAGCAGGAGAAAAAAAAGTGAGGAGAAAGTTCACTTCATTTCCGATTTTTATTCAGCCATGTATGTATGTGAAGTTGGTTAATGTTTTTAAATTGGCCATATTTTACATGATTTAGAGTTGGGTTTATCAAAGCGGAGTGGGGGAGAAGGCCTGGTCCGTGGAGGATAGGAGAGGCTGTCAAGAGACCAATGCAAAGTCCACCCGAGGAGAAAACTCTAAGCCTAAAAGTTTTTATTAACTTTCTCGTCCTCGCTCTCTCCTTCGTAGCGAGTTGCACTTGGCCTTTCTTTTTCTGAGCTGGGTGCTCGCCTTGCTGTGTGGGCTGAGAATCCTTCCATGAGGATCTCGCACTTATCTCCAACTTCTACACTGACCCAAACTTATTCCATGCTTCGAATGCAGGGATCTGCACAAGTCAAAGCTACCAAACGATGCATGGATTCACACTCAAACGGAAAACGGACTTGCAGAATTTTTATACCGTCGACAATGAAGGACAAAAAGTCAAGAAGAATTGTTACTGATTAGTAATTGCGATTTCCGTCATCTATTCCGTTGTCCATCAACATCCCGGTGTAAGTGTGACAACTGTTCGGTTCAGAAATATGTATGCACTCAAAATAAAGAAATGAAGTTGCAGATTTGATAACGTGATTTTAACTCGAGTTGTGCAAGTGGTTACTTTCTTGGCTAATGGCTTTTTCGACTGAAATAAGATTTCATGCATACTTGCTCATACTCTCAGAAAGTCAGAGTCAAGTCAAAAATTAGTTTGAATTGGACATCCCGCAGTCAATTTTCAAGATTACAAGTAGAGAAAACTCCTTTTGAGCTCGAGGCAAGTCTTATGAGTCCGCTTTGCCTGTCTGTCTGTCTGTCGAGCTAGCGGACGAAGTGATATTTGTCAACTTACCTACTTTCAGTCTTAAAATGCGTATCTCGACAGGACCTTGGATTAGCTTGAAGATGTGCAAAATCGGTCCAGTGGATGACCTCCAAAAGAAGTTTCACAAAATAGTGTCACGGGGAAATGTGTGAGTAAGTATGAAATGACTCACCCTGGATTTCGGTGAGGTGAAGCAAATGCTGTTTCGGGCTAAATGAAGGCTTCTTCCCTGGCCAAGTTTATTTACAAACACACTCATTGACCTCATACTCTGCTAAATTGGATACGTTATTGAACATGAGTGCTCTTGATTCCGAACTTTCCGCGTTTCTTTAAGAAAGTGCTAACCATCAGAATTAAGTGATAAAGTTGGAATTTGAAGTTTTTTGCAATCCAGTGATTTCACCCTCGGCTCACCTTGGGTGGCCCATAATGCCGCACCTATTTTGCAAACCTTGAGAGAAAATTTAGAGGAGTCTAGGATCCTAAACCCATTCACATCTTTCACCGTCCTGTCCCTCTCTCTACAGTTTCCACCATTAACACCACCACCACGACGCCCTGGACTGGAGATTCAGGAGTAAAGCAACGTGTGATGTTGCAAAGCAACCACACGAGTAACTAATGCTTGGTTTTGGGCTGTATTTTAGTCTCCGAGACCCATACAAAATTCAGCAGATCTCCGCTCCCGTACCCCAAAGCACCTCCATTATCCCATCCACTGCAGTGAAAGTGAAATCTATTGAAAAATGATACCAGCAGCACCACCACAACTGCCACCCACTTCACCTCCACCACGAGTGCTCACTTACTCTTCAATAATTCCCACACATCTCCCCCACTCCGTCCCGTGGTCCCACACAGACATCCCGCTGGATGCATGGCACAAGTGCTTTCTCCCAAACAAAAAATCCATTGAACATGGATCCACTTGTAATCTGCATATGATTTCGACTCCAAAGCATCCGTCACGTACCGAGATGTTGGACAAATTAACGTTATTTTCCTTACTGAACGGTGGACATGAGGTATTCATTTGTAATCCACCAATTCAACACGTATTACGCCAACAGACGTGTGTAATCATTGTACGTTCGTTAGGGTTTGTTTTTAGAGTCGTACTCGTAGAAGGAGGACAAGGGAGATTCCTTGGCTGCGTGAACAATAATGAGAGCGAACGGCCGTCATCTCCTCGTTCCGTTCTTGTTCTTGAGAGAAGGGAGACGACGAATCTAAGCATTTTGCTGTTGTTTCTTCCTCCACGACCAGCTTCCAATTTTCTCTTCCCGTGACAATGAGTGTCTCTCTGTGCGGACCAATTCCCACCCAAGTCGACTCAGCCAAATTTGACATCAGCTTTCACCAGCAGCTCTGTCAACACAATTCCCACTGAAAGTACAAGAAATGTGTGTTTCTTGTCGAAATGAACGCAGCCGGACATGTCGCCACGTGATATAAACCAGTTCTCCTCGTTTTATACACTCTCATTCCGAGCCATACAAAGGAAAAAATCATTGTCATGAGACACAACAAACGGAGGATGAGAACGAGCTGCATTGTTGTCGTCGTCGTCGTAGTGGTTGCGGGTAGTCCAAGAGACGTGATTTTTCATTGCTCTCTAAAAACTAGCTTCTCCCTGCAAACATAGCTTTACTTTTAGGCCACATGAACAACAACTCGCATGGTTTTCTGCCTGCTCAAGTTCTCTGCCAATTCCAGACCTAGACCAAAACCTGATCCGGGTAAGTCCAACTTGCGGGCGGGTCGATAAGTAGTGAGAGCCATGCTCACGAGAGCCTTATTTCTCCAGTCCGCCCATGTAGCAAGGCACGCTCATTCTCCACTCGAGGCACTTTCTCCTCAAGCATAATAGCACGACGGAGAATGCCTTTCTCCTCAGTCCGCTTCCTGCATCTCATTAAACAAGACGGAGCTCCATTGTCTCAGCACCCACGGCGAGGTGGTCCGATACAGACTGCACTCCGATCTCAGGACAAATACGACACAGCACTGCTCTCATCCACTTTATTCTGCGTGGGTCGTCCTGGGCTGGGTAAGCACTTAAGTATTTTTGAGATATTAATAGATATGAAATCCCACCGACATACATTTGCAAAAGTGCTGACTTGCGAACCTGTCATGAAATCCCTGTGGGAAGACAAAACAGTTCGAAATAAGCTGTCGAGGGTAAAAGTCGCCTTTCAATAATAAGCTCTCGACGTTTGGTTTTTGAATCCTCTCTGCTCCTCCACGACCCACCAACCACCACCAACGCCAACGACGTGCATGTGTGCCCACGTCGTTCTAAGCCGCGTCCTTTGTGATGTGCAAACTCTTGATGAAAGGAAACCTATTTCCATACTTTCCAGTCTTCCCCTGATTTATCAGAGCACAAAAGAAGTGGAGACACACAGTTTACACATTTACACTCGTAAGTTTTAAGGGGACAAAAACGGTCGTTTGAATTCACTTATACTTTTTGAATAAAGTTGACGTAATTGGATAATCCTTGGAGCGATGGTATCATGCAAAGTTTAGTTTTCTTACAATGCACAACATCCAAAGTACAGGCTTCCTATCGTTAGTTCTTCCCACTAAATACGTACATATTATTAGGCGGCATATACATATCTATATTTAGAACTCGGAGGAGAAAGTTTGCATTCAATTGGAGTAAGAAAGGTCTGGATTCGGGTTGAGGGAAAACATGAACCGCTTGTTCAATTCAATCCTCGTTTATCTGCTTTTGAGCAAAACACTCAACTAAGAGTTACATTTACATGGAATTTCCTTTGTGTTCCCATCCCGTCGTCACAATGAGAAAGTCATCTTGACTGGCGGCTGGTGAGCTGGAGCAGAATGATTCATTCAGTTGGTGAGTTATGATTGTCTGCTCCTCCTCATCAGCCTGTCAGGACGGAGATGAAATATCATTTCGCCAAACATAATGTGGCAGATCGTCCGCGACAGAGTCAGGCCAAAGACGCAGCCTTAGCCGTAATTAATTCAGATCCAGCCAGACTCTGTCTCCACTCATCTTTCGGAAAATGTGCCAGGCATTCAAATTGGAAAGATGAGGAGGCGAGGCGGAGGAGGAAGCAGGAAACTGCTCCTCAGAAGCTGAGGAAAGATGAGGAAAAGAGAGAATTATTTAAACCACTCGGATCTCACTGGGATACTTCATGCACAAGTCGAGATCGAATCTGGCTCAACATTGGATTTCTTCACTTTATTTATACATACGCTATTTGCATTCTTTCCCTCCGCTCCGTCGTCGTACTTATTACTTACCTTCGTCGTATTATATGCACACAGAATAAATAAAAAAATCCACCAAAGAGGCAGCAGAAATTAATCAATTCGAAGAAAAAACTTGCGGATTTTGCCATTTTCAGCGAAATGGACACTAGCCAAAAGGAAGAGAAAGTATAGTGCAAGCCCACGCATTTGTTTGTAGTAGTAGAAGCACATATCCGTAGTAATCAGTCTCGTTCACAATTTCTTGGGAATCCTGAGCTGTCTGTCCAACACATTGGATTGGAGGACGAGCAAAATCATTGGGGATCGAACATAGCTTCCCAAAGCAACACCGTCCCAATGTCGAGAAAGAACAAGCCACAATGCGAAGTGATCTGTGTGGACGGACGACGACGGGCTGGAGGAGTAACATGAAGGAGATGATCTTCTCCGAGACAGAAGGATCAAATCTTGAAAGAAAAATCCAAGTTGTGCGACTCACGAGAGAAAAAGTTTCACGAAGCGGGCGGGTGGGAGACTGAGATACCAGTTTTAGTTGGCATTTAGTTTGCTGACCCATCATCATCCCCATTTGCACGGTCATGTACACATATCGGTTATCCCATATTCTCTTTTACTAAATGCCATCGATGTAGTCCGGTGCCGTAATCGAGAATCGTAATTATTATAAGCAACCATCTCGTTATTACTGTGGGTTCAGATTACACACAGACAACAGAATGACCCGTAGCACATATGTACACAGAGAACATTCATGATCGTAAATAGATTTACGTAGTTATTTTGCCGGTGGGTGCAACTTGGAGCAATCTGTATGAACAGGAAGTAGATAAATGCTCAGGAAAACATGAGATGACTCGAATTGCAAGTGATTTTTGTCTGCTGATTGTGAAAGTTTGAGTCAAATGGGTGGTGCAGGGAGTGAGGCACGCTGATCAAAGCTATTCCATCAATAGTATGTAGTTTGCTGTCTATAATAAATAAATATGTGAGCCACATCCGCACATTTACCTAATAATTATCCTCATCCTTTGTTAGACGCTCTTGTTTGAATTTCCACTCCTTTTTCACTAATTGATTCTATTGATTTTTAACCACTAGAATTCCAGAATGGGCTTGCTTGGTTCAGGGTGAAACGAATGGAGTGATGAGAAATGAAGGGTTCTATTAAGAGAAATGCTTGTAACATAATTGGACATACCCAATTTTGTAGCGTAGCAGGTTTTTACAAGTATTAAAAATGGTTCACAGACGCTAAATATAGCCTGTGAAATTGGAAAGCTCAAGAGGAGAAGGGATGCACACGAGTATGTTTATAGGAGACAATGCGTGAGTGATAACAAGATGGGAACGGTGTGTATTCAATAATTGTATTGCAGGCAAATAAGGAACCAGGTGCCGGTCGTCTCTCGTAAATGCGAACTTTATGTAAAGCAAGTGCCTTAAAGCAGACAAACTTTCTTGCGGGTGACATTTTCCTTCTACACAAACGGTGCGACGACAGGCTCATTGAAGGCGTTGTAACACTCTCTGAACTCTCTCTGCGTAAGACACTGCTGCTGGACTATGGAGAACAATTTCCAGGAAAACAAAATGTTTTCTCCTCGTTTGTCGTCTTTGTCCTAGCCCCATCACCACCACAGTTCTCTCCACGTCTAGATCAACATTACGCTTTCTCTCTCCTCTCTGTTTACTTTCGCATTATTTGGCATGGTTTAAACATGTCTGGTCTCTTGAGATATGCCAAGAAAAGAAAATTAATTCACTCATTGCGTCACCTTCCACACGTTCGATCCTCAGCAGTACTGAGATTGGCATGGTTCATGGTTATTCGCAGTCGTGACGATTGCTCCATCCAAGCAGGTGAGCCAACCCGCTATTCCAACCACCAGTGCTGTACTATAAGTACGTATATTCGTGTGTGTACGTGTGGAATGTGGAGAAAGGAGCTCCACCATCGGCTTAAGAGATTTTCTGCTGTTTGAGATTTGAGGAAAGGAGATCCATATTCATGAATCTAAGGAATCTCGTCCAAAACCATTTCAAAATCCTCGTTCTGTTGGCATCTAGGATTTCTCTCTCCATTTCACAATTCATGTGCATCTACAAGCTCGCATTCCTACTGCTGCGGTGCATGGATATGAAAACTATGAAGCATTCTGAATGAAAAATGATGTGATCTGGTGCAGTAAACTATACAAATATTATTCACAGAAAGAAATCTCATATCTCTGCATACATATCTTCCTGTGTGTGCATATCTATTTGAGCAGGTAAATAGAATCACGTTGGCTTTGATGCCGCAATCACAATTTTTGGAATTCACCTGCAAGTGGAATCAGAATCAGTCGTTCGCATAAACTCTCTCCTCCTCACCTGCCTTCCAGGGTACATAATAATCTCCAACAATTCATACATACCTAGGCAGCGAAAGTGAGTGAGTTGGTGGTCTCGAGACATTTTCTCGTTAGGCTGATGGAGAAAAACGAAATGTCGCAGATTTATTGGCAGCCAGCAAGGAAATGGTCCGTGAATTTGTATTGTGTGCTGCTCATTCGTTGGGCTGTGTGAATTGTACACCAAGCTGAAATAAAAACCTCGGATCAGTCGGATCCTAGGCAAGGATTTCCTTCGTTGAAATTGAAAAAAATAAAATGTCGACACAAAATCTACCTTACGTAACAAGTCTGCTGCACAAACACGTATTTCACAATGGGAAAATGTGTATACATAGTTTTCATAAAGTTCAAGACATACAAAGTATTGTGTATTTCATGACCATCGGGTCCGTTGCAAGGAGGATGCTCTTCCAGGATATAAAGTCTGCACAAAAGCTGGTTGGTTTCAATCTGCAATAATTACATATCACGTGGTGCATGTGAGATCCATACATACATGAAGAAAAGAGGATTAAATACAGTTTTTTTAGTAATGTATGTAGCATTGAATTCATTTTACGGCCAGATTGCATAGAAAGTCTTCTGGTTGTCCATAAAAAGGCGGATGTCAATGCCAAAGTATCAAAGTCATCGGAGTAAAACACAGTGTTGAGCACGACAAGAGGACATAAAATCGTGGCTCCTCGCTTCTAAATCTCTTGTCCTGCGGTGTAATTACATGATATTCGCATCTCCATAAATCATGGCAGAATAGACGTGCCACGAGTGCTTCCAGGGAATTTTCTCTACTTCTTGACAGTCCTCGTTAGACTGCGAATCAGAAGAATGTTAAGAGATGGAAATTTTTGTGAGATTGGTTCGAGAGTTGAAGTCCTAGTTAATAAATCGAATCAAACTACACGATGACATCCTGTCGTGACTTTCTTTCACTGCAGGTGGTGGAATCACAAAAGTACTTTATTTTCACTCAACGCAGGTGCACCGTTTGAGTCTAGCTTGTCTCACAAATCACTAAATCCTTGTTCTTGACAAGTAATATAAATATCGTTCGCACCCTGAACTGAGATTAATTTTCTGATCGAATGCCCTCGTAATGCCGGGGTTGCAGTCGTATTCTTAGCAACTTATCTAGAAGAGATTTCTCATTTCTCATCCATTATGTATTACGAGTTTAATTTGAATTTCGGTACAACATAATTTATGCATGTCTCGAATAATATACAATTCCTATAAATGCATATTCGTAAGACGGAAAAAATTAAAATGTTTTCCACGTGTATCAATTACTTATTTCAAATTATGGCTCTTACTTATCTAGTCATATGGGGTCGTATTAAGGGTTAAAGCAGAAAATGCTGTATGTATGTCCGTAGATAAAAAGACTTGGTTGTCAGTGTCAGCGAATATGGTCACATTTCAAAATGACAATGTTTTCTCGTTTTAATTACCATTGTTGTGTGTGAAACTACTCATTAATGTCAGACAAACTCATTACGAATAGTAAATTAAAAGAACTGGGCAGGGCATGTAAGCGAGAATGATATATTGCATTTGTACATATATGTAACTATCTACACATGTACATTCAGTATACTGAATGCACTCATATAATCACACCAGGTATGCAGCCGTAATCCGTTTCCACTCTTTGCTGCTGACATACTCGTGCCATTTGAAGATATAATGCCCAGCTTTCTTGTGACTGATTTTGAAGTTGGTTGGTCAATGGCAGGGTTGTGGACCATCCTTAGTTGACGGTGCGCACAACAAAGGAGTTTGACGACGATTCAGTAAAACTACAGTGATCGCACACCTGAGTGAGTCATTCTTGCGAGCAATTTGGTCGTCTCTGCTGAATCATTTTCAGCCCCAACCTTTCACAAGGATAAATGTGCACTAATGATGATGATATAATTCTGCATCTCCCCACCTTCGTCCCCATTTCACTTCTGGCCTCACTTGCCTCCAGAGCACTGCCTCCACTAGAACGAAATGCTCCGCTGCTAGGATTAGCTTTAAAAGCCCATTCCACATTCAATTTTAGTCAGTAAGTGGCCGAGTGTTCTCTGGAGCTTGCAGTTTATTTGAAGTCTGAATATATATACCCACCCAACAGGCGAATAGCGTATTATTCGCAATTTGCAGATATATTTGATTGCAACAGAAAACCGCAGAGACTGGAATACAGACAATTTTACACAGGGTCGTGTGGCTGATGTATGTACATATATCGTCGGTTATTTATAAATCAAGCTGGATGCATACATATACGTCCATTCATTTACAATCAATGGATGGACATGTGTTTGCCTAGTTTATTTTTTAATTACCTTTGTCCACCCAACCACCTATTATTCGCAATTCCTCTTTACAATTGACGTAACATGGTTTCAAATAAGCATATGAATGATATGGACCAAATAAATTGTGAGGGTAGTGGCAATCTGATGCCGGAGACAGGTTAATTACCAAATCACCATCACGCGAAAGCCTTAAAATCATTTTAAGGGCTGTATTCAATTAAATATCAATTCCATTTGATTATAAAAAATTCCTATTCACTTCAACAAAAATTATGTTGCTTTTCAGGAGGTTTGTGCCAGAGTCGAATTACTGTTCCGTGCGACTGAATATTCTCTGGAGTCTCATTTCGGTAAGAAACCAGGTGGACAAAATAATTGAGGTGAGTTCATTCAGTCGAGTTGTGTGAGAAATTTCACGTTTCTCTCGGCTTTTAAAAAAAAACGTCTCATGTTTCTCCTGCAGGACGTCTCCAAAAAGAAAGCGAGGGCTGACTCTTTGGAGAAAGTTTAAGCTGCTGCTCTCTCGGTCGGAGTCAACTTCCAAGGTTTTGCAGAGGTAAAAGCCTAAATCAATAACATGATTTCCTCAGCATCGAAATGAGAGTTGTATCATTTCTTCTACGACCCAATTTCCCCAGATCTCCGTGTTTGTTTAGATTATGATTTTGGAACATCTTTTTAAATTACACTTTCACTGAGAAAGGTCCTTTCAATGTCGCATCGACACGCAGATTCTCATATTTTTAAGCTGGAATAGAAATAGTTCTGTAGTTTACATGTGTGTTCACTAACAAATTTCTTATTCAGCAAGAATTCAGTAGGGCGATCACAGTCATAAATTAACTCTACTAGCGAATAACTGAAGTCACTCTTTTCATTGGAACATATTATTTAAAATCAGGATATCAATTTACTCTTAATTCGTGTCAAGACCTTTGTAAAACTCGATCGATGAATATTCAAGCCCGTTCTGTCACGAACGGGTTTGAACGCTTTTCACTTTAGCGAATTAAAATGAATGTGAGTGACGCATAATCATAAAAACAATGTCACGTACACTCCAGAAATGGGTCTTGTTCCATGAAGGCTGTCGTAATCATTTCCTCAGCACGACGACCGACTAATACTTTTCCGTACTACATATAATGTCATCCGCTAATAATAGTATCCACTGCTGCGAGGGGCGAGATTGACGTGAAATCCAGATAAGTGCACAGGAGAGATGAGTGACGCTGAAAATGTCTCTGGGGTCGACTCTCGAGAGAAAACCAAGCTCTGGTTGGAGGACATTTTGCAGACGTACTACGCCAAGAAGAGCAAGTCGCCGCCACTCAGACCAGATCAAGTGCCCATCACGATCCTTGATTTCGACATTGGCCCAGGATTCACGGTGGGTGCGGGTGAGGGGCCTGTGTCCACCCTCTCCGATCTCCTCTCCCTTCACGTTCGCTACAAGGTTCGAACTCAAAGCATGCAAATTCCAAATACTCCTTTCCAAATGATGTGAATTTTGAAAACAAGTGGTGGATGAGTCATGGATGACTAAGGTCAGCATTCCGGAATTTTATTTTATTTTTCTAGATGACTCCAGACTCAAATGAGGAAAAGACTGAAAACTTACTCGTCAAGATCCCACCCAACGATCCCAATGACAGAGAAATGGCACAAATGGTATGCCGTATGCTATTTATTACTACTATTTATTTCTTCAAATAGTATGTCCATGAAACTTAATTCAACTGTTGTCACAAAGGCTCAAGTGGACAGGAGAGAAATTCATTTTTACACTGATGCCTTACCACAGCTGGAGGTATGAACTGCTCAGGTCATAAGTAAATATATCCATCCCAATTTCATGTGTATGTATATACGCAAACATTTATATATAATATGTTGTCTCATTTATTGTCGCATTTCTCTCTACACAATTTACTCTTTGTGCGTAACAGGAATGGTCAAAGACGCGTAATGCGGACATTAAGTTGGCCGTTCCTCGCTGTTATTTTGCCAAGTACCACACGCAACCAGCCGCAGACGGTCAGGGAGAGGATGATATGAGTCTCGTGAGTGACGCCGAGTCAGTCCTGGTTTTGGAAGATATGCGCCCTGTCGGGTTCTCCATGAGGGACTTCAATAATGGGCTTTCATTGGAAGAAGCCCACGCTGCCCTGGGTCGCATCGCAGTGGTCCACTCATTGTCATGGGCAATGCAAGAGGTGATCTTATCGCTGCACGATACCATACCTACTAAATCCACGTGTGAAGATAATAATTATTCATCTTGCGCATTTTTATGTAGGTGACTGGGATTCCGCTAGACGAGACATGGGAACTTACCTACCGACCCCACAAAGCTGCTTCCGCTTACAAGGTGAGACACAGTTTAACGCATAAAACGGCACTACTGTACCAAGGAGCTGAATCCAACAATGTTTCAATTCCTGTAACGAATACGTTTATTGACAGACAATGATTGAACATGGATTCCCGACCTTGTCCCATTTTCTGGAAAGGCAAGAACCAGATGGTAAAGAAATATTGGGTAAGCTTCAAGCCCTACACCCCAGAGCAACCGAACTCTTATACGAGCTGCTGAAACCCCCACCACCCCCGGCGCCCGCATGCTTGACCCACATGGACTTTTGGTGCAACAACCTCCTCTTCAAGAAGACGACTGGTGGGAAGAACTCGAAGGGGGCCATTTCCAATGGGAGTGCTAGCAGTGGTGCAGAGGAGGACCCCGAATGCCTCATTCTCGACTGGCAGATGATGGCGATTAGCAGACCCACCCACGACGTGGCCCTGCTTCTCTTCACGTCCCTCACGCCAGAAACGAGGTCAGCCCACACGGAGAGTCTTCTCAGCCACTACTGGAATGTTTTCCAAGACACCGCCTCCAAAGTGGGGGTTGAGCTACCCTTTGATTTCGGGGTCATCGAGAACGAATTTAAAAAGAGCCAACTTCTAGCCCTGTTGCTCGTCATCGGTTCCATCGACCTAGCACTGGACTCTGCGGGGACGGAGCAGCGCCTGATTCACGCCTTGAGGGACATGGCAAAGGGGGACTTGATTTAAAAAGATGCATAATAATGACAAACTGTTGTTGTTGTTGTTGTTGCTGCACTAAACTTTCTAATAATTTATACATATACGAATGCCATACAACAGCTGTTAATGGTATTTAGTTGGTTGGTAATACATGCATATATTTAAATCTATATTATTAAATTAGTGGATTGGACCTGAGCACAAGTGCAGATGAAATGATGACAACTCTGTATCATGAATCGGAATGTATGGTTAAACTTGACGTGCTAAGAATAAACTGATACGTTCACCTGAACAATATGGAAATGTGTAGCAATTTTTCACTGCAATCTGCTTTCTCTCGTGCCTCATCACGACGATGGAATGGGGAATGGAGGGTGAAAGCAAAGGAGCGAGTGGCGTTGGCGTCCCTGTCTGGAGAAAGTCAGGACTGCTCACATCACCCCGACTCTTGCCAAGCCAATTCAAACCAGTCCAACTTTTGGTCTACATGTGCAAAATTTTGCCGGATTCTCCGATTCTTTTTGCAATTTACACAATAATTTTGCTAATTAATTACAGTAATTACTAGTGGAAATTTGACATTGAATACAGATAAAGTAGTTTCTTAATTCTGTACTGGCAAGCTTGGGGAATTATACAATTTTTAAGTGTCATAATCTAATAAAATTTCCCAATCAGCTCTTCACATTTATAAAACCCATCCTATCAAATATTGTAGTTAATACGTAAACATACGCAGTCGGTCGGTTTCAGCATGGCGACTTTGGTTCGCGACCTCTTGACCAAGGGCCTGCTGGCTAGTCACCGATGCCCATGGTTGAGGACTACCAACCTTCAACTTCGTCCCTTCTCAATCCTCACGACACACAGTATGTTAAGACAAATACTTAATTAAACCTTGCAGATTATAACTTTAATGATTTAATTTAATGCATTGCTACTTGATTTTTTAGAAATGAGCGAAGACCGAATCGAAATGTTTGTCGAACCACAAATTCAAGCCATTCTCAAGCAAGTTACAGGAAAAAATTACCAGCGTGTTTTCCGGAAGAGGAAAATTGGTCAAAAGATAAGAGAACCAAAGTACACTTTTATGACACGAGAACAACTGGAACAAAGTTTGGAGGATGCGGATCAACGTGCCGACAAGTTGTTGCAAATGCCTCCAGTTTTGAGAGCAAGAAAACCAATTGAAAAGGAACTTTCATTCGACCCTCAGATTCAAGGAGTGGAAAAGTCTACCATCATCTTTACCGATATCACAATGAATATTTCTGATCGGGTAATCTGAGGAATTCAAGTTAATTAATATAGTTGAATTGACACATAATGAAGTACATAATTTACTGTCGCTATATATATTTTCAGGATCGTCTCATTGTTGCAAGGGATCCGGATGGAACTCTACGCCATGCAAGTTGGGAAGAGAGAGATAAAGTGAATTCAATCTACTATCCGAGGGAAGGGAAAGAATTTTACACACCAAAGATGTTCACAGACCCAGATCTATTAAGGAGTGTTTTAGATCGAGCTTCAGAACAGGACAACACCTACGAATTTGTTTTGGACAGAGCATGCCTTCAATTTGAACCCGATGACGCCTCCTTTATTTCCATCTGTGAGAAGACCTATCAAACCATTGACAGGCAGCAACATTACGATTTTCTCAAGTCTACAAGACATTTTGGACCCATGGTCTTTTATCTGACTAGAACGAGACAAATGGACAACCTTTTGTTGTACAGCATAAAACATGAAAGGTAACGCCATGCAGTTGGAACAAAATTATAATCCATAATAAATGATTTATTTCATAATTTGAAAATTATTTGCTATATTCAGAGTTTCGAGCGATGCAACATTATTAATTTCCTTATTCCATCTACTCTTCCCGGACAGCAAGTCTAATACAGTGGCTCAAAAGTTAACCAACGATGTCGACAAGGTCAGAGCATACATCGAGTTGGACGCTGTTAAACGAAGCGAATTAGAACTTCAACTTAATGCCTATGAAGAAATTATCAAGAGGCGGAACGAGTTGACGGAAGAACTAGAAAAATCGCATGGGATCGAGCAGAAAAATTAACTAGATGTATTTTGCATTATTAGTAATATTAGTTTACAAGTATTCATGAATATTAGTCATTTCATTTCCTTCTTACTGATTCTTGTCATACTTTATTTTTTAAGTGTACAAGAAATAAATTGACTCACAACTAATTATAAGAGTAATGCCAACTTATGTAATATAATTATTTTCCAGGCAGGGGTACAGGAAGTTAGCGAATGGCGAACGTACCATAACGTATGTGGGTGAAATTGAAGAAAAATATTGCCTAAATTGTAAAATATGAACGAAGTCCAAAGTTTGGTTTGTAATACCAAGATGGGAGTCGCGACAGCATATTTGCGGTTCAATTTTCTGGAATGCTTATTTGATGTATTTGATGCCCAATTTGCTGTCCAATTTCAAATTTCTGGTTGGATGAGTTATTTTATATTCTGAATGATATTGATAATAACTTTGTAAGGGCGTAATGGTGATGTCGGACACTTATCCGTTTTCGCAACCTACTAACAGCGGGGGTTTTCTATACTCTCAAGCCAACTTTTATTACTATTCTGTGGTTTGAATAAAATAATTTGTTAACTCCTAATTTCCTCGAAATTTCTACTCCTCCTACAGAGCTTCAATTGTTCTCTGGGTGCATTTTCAGTTTCGAAGAAGATTAATGTTTGTTCCTGATTGTTACAAAGTTTCAGGACTACCTACTATACTACTTCACAAAAGTTAGTCAACATTTTCCAAATTTATTCAAGCTCAAATTACGAAAGCAATAAAGAATTAAGAAAGTTTTTACACGACGCAGATGCACCATTTACATTTAGTATATGTACATGTATTTATATATGTGGGCATAAAACTTCAAAGCAAACCCGAAGCAATATATATGTATATGTACCTTTAGACAAAAACATTAGCTTTGAACGTATTGCCGGAATACAAACTTGTGCTTCTCCATTGGAAATTATAGATTAACTGTTTTGAATTTGTGATAAGTTTGCAGTGTAAGACTAGCAAGAGAGGACTTATTTAATGAGTCTGGGGGCTATCATATGCTGCCGTATTTTACTACCTCCTCTTTGACCACTATTGGTGTTGCTACTGTATTGTCTATCCTAAGCTATATGTCATGTATTTGGAGTGTCACATGCGCAAAGAATTTACGTATTATAGAAAATGTTATTCGGTGTTTGGCCAGACTAGTGCTAAAATTTAAAAAATTTGATCCAATTGCAGATTTGATCAAATGTGACCTGAAATGGCTGTTTCCTCGTGATATGGGTGACTTTAAGACGCTATGTATTATGTACAAATTGCTAAAATTTAATATGGTACCATTTTTTAACGATTATTTTGTACGTGCAAATTGTATTCATGAACATAACACTAGATTATGCAATAATTTTAGGAGCACTGTAAAGCCTAAGACGGAGTTTGTTAAAAAATCCTTCCACTTTAGGGCTATTGGTTTATGGAATGACTTACCGCAAAATCTTAAGGCTGAAGAATCTTATAAACTCCGTTTCACCTTACATGGTATTACCGCCACACGAAAATAACATGGGATTCTCATGTTCCTTGCCTGTGGCGGTAACACCATGTAAGGTGAAACGGAGTTTAATACGTTCAAAACTAAACTAAAAAACTATATGTTACTTAAAAGTATCTGAGTTACCCGTTTTACTGACTATATAGTTTCACCTAAATTTTCCTACAAACTTGTTTTATGAATTTTTATGTAATTGATTTTTTGATATGATTTTATGACTATAATTAAGACATTCATGTATTTCCTGAACTACAGGGTATGAATGATCTTCTTTAAAATGTTCTTTAAAATGTGATGTGAATAAACTATTATTATTATTATCATATTGCATAAATTTGGTGTAGGGGAGCGTGCTCTACTTGAAGTCTTCAACCAATGCACAATTAAATTTCGTATTTATATACACCGTATGGGTGCCACGAAAAATAGGTCCTATTTATACACAGTATAAATATGATAGCTGTATGTGTGTGTGATCAGTTACAGAGATTCAAGGTGAGCAGCATCTTATTTGTTCCGTAACACGCTTGCTGCATCCTTATGTATATCTCCCATGACATATCCTATCCATTTTTATGCTACTAAGGATGCTACTCCTATGCAAGTTCATAAGAAGACTGGTTCTGGTATACGCAAGTACTTGTAACACTTATGGCCGGATTGATATGCAACGTTAAACCCGGAAGCATGTCCATTTCCTAACAACAATGATGATTATTACGATGCATGCACGCGTGTTTATGGTAGATTTGGATGGATGGACTATGGAGAGGATTGTGGATTATTGCCACTAGTGCCATCGCAGGCTTCATCATCTACTTCATTCCGTGACAATATTCTTTGAAATCTTCAGAAATCTTAATCCAAAGTTATTTCCTGCAAAATTAAGTATAGAAATAAGTTGGAGTAAAATCTGGAGAAGAACAAAGACGAAATGTCCGGTGGTAGTGGCAAAGGTGAATCGAAGGGGAGGCTGCGTGGGAGTGACGTCGTGGAAGCGGTCAAAGCCATGCTGGAAGAAATCTTCATCTTATTCCTGGAAATTTTGGCCCTCGTCGTCCTCCCAGCCGTCTTCCTCATCAGCTCTCCTAAAAATTTCCCTCGATACTTGTGCACAATCTAGGAAAAAATGTTACCCGGTGAGTAAAAATAAATTGTCCAATCAAACCACTTTCATATCAATCTGATCACCATAATTGTCTCTTTTGTCATGGTATAGGATTTTACGCTGACATCTGATGTAGCTCATCATCAGTTGGTTCGTCAGACGTGAAGACGAAGTGCGATGGTGGGGGAGGGTTTCGAAAGTTGGAGATGGGACCATGAGCCGTGGAGTGGGACAGTCACACCCAAGTCCGCAGTAATTTCCAGCCCGTCAATCCAATTAATCAACCAGTCCTTCCATTCATTGTCCGAAGCTAATAAATCGAACTGTTATAACCATACCCCGGATATATATTTATTTATTTATGACTTTTTCATTTCAAGCACGTCGACCCCCATACTTTGTGGGGTTGTTTATCAACACTTGTGGTTATCAAAAATTCAAAAATGTTTTCAATTTTAAAAAATATTTTGGACTTTTCGCAAATATAAATATTTTCGTCAATATTTCTCCATATTTTAACAAAATATATTTTTTTTCGTGATATTTTAATTTTTTGCTGAATTTTTTCGGGTTTTTGATGTATTTGTTGGCATTTTGGGATTTTTTTTTACTTTTGCGTAATTTCTTATTTTCATGATATTTTATTACACTAATTCCTAATGTGTACATATACACATTTTGTATACACTTGTCTTTATTTAATGTATACATTAAATAAAGACAAGAATGACAACACAATAGACTCAGTTTTCTTGAAGGCCTGTTTCCAATTGCGGCATAGGTCTCAGATTTTGTCCCCTATTTTATTAATAGTCACCAGTATGTAAAAGAACTTAACGTCAAAAAAATTAAAAAATTAAATTTCAAATATTGGCCGCGCTATAATTTTTTTCGAAATTTTAAAAACGCATTGCATTTGAAATATCACGTGCAACAGATCGTTGAAACAGTTTACTCCAACTAAAACTCCAACTATTTTATTTCCCGTAATCAACTTGATAAAATGTTCAAAAGTTGAAAATGTTCAATTTTGAAAATTTTGAATGACAATTTTGAAGCGCTGTAACTTCTTGCCACCATTCATGTTTTTCTCAATTTTTTGAAATTATGATCTAATATCGAAATAGTTATGAACAAAAAAATTTTAAGCGAAACATGAGTGGGGGCAAGAAGTTATTGTGATTTTACTGACACATGTTAGCTTATGGGTGGGAATATTCCCAAAATGATCAAAAAACAAGACGTTTAGTGACGAAATTCAAGTGTCACATATGACCTAGAATTATTTGCAACACTGACAAAAACGCTTGTTTTTATGTTCTTCAACTGTCAACAAAAATCCAATTTTGCTCGAGTTTTGATAAAATTTACATTTTTGTGATCCTAGATACTTGTATAATCGTATCCAGTAAATGTTTCAACTTTTTTGAAATTTTGAACGTTTTTGAATAATTCGTGAGAAGTGGAATGTCCTAAATTTAGCAAGATCTGATCGAGATCTGAGAATGACATGTAGAGGGTCTTTCCTCCTCAGACAGACGCCGTGGATTAACGCCAGCATGTCTTAATGGAACTTATTTCTCACTTTGAACTTTTGAATGATGATTTTGATAATTAAAATCTAATTATCTCTGCCTAATTTATGTATAGGTTGATGAATTATAGTTGATACTCGAGTCTTTAGATGTTAAAATAAAAATATTTTTTTATAAATATTTTGGCGCTTTTTTCAAAAATATAAAATAAATATTTCGGGCTTTATAAAAAAATATTTAACCGGGGTATGGTTATAACGTACATGCAAACATTCCACACATCAATTCAGCATAAAGTGATCAATGAATGTAGCCTAGAAGGCACCCACGTATACCTATATGTATGTACATTGTACATATATGTTTCATTCACTAATCACTACCTGCACTGGCTTCTGTTTTACTTTGATTAAGTGACATAAAATTGATATATACACAAAAATATTATGCATTGCAGCTTGTTGACTTTGCTCATAAGGGTGCTATGAAATATGCATTTGTAAATATCCATATATTGGTACTTACACCCAGCAATCAACGCCAGAGAAAGGATTTTGAGCATTCTGAGAATTGAAGTAAACCTTTTCTTGGTTTTATTATTATTTACATTGCCCTTCTTCCATCAGCTTCAGTTCATTCCCCACTTTGGATTGAAAAATATTAACTAATATTTATTGAAAATTGTAAGACTACTGCTAGACAGGAAAATGTCGTTTTCGAATTATCGTAGCCCACAAGGTCAAAGTGGTAAGGTTCAATTAATTGGTTTGTTTTACGTTATTATTTACACTGTTTTTGTTAACTTGTATTTAGTTGGAAAGTCGTCATTTGTTTACAATTTCAACAATAATAACATCATGCATGAAATATTATTAACTTGTATTTAGTTGGAATTTCCAACTTGGAAAGTCGTCATTTGTTTACAATTTCAACAATAATAACATCATGCATGAAATATTGTGCATATTGTACACTTGCTATATGTATAGTTGCATTTGCATTAACTGTTACATCACAATGTTTTAAATTTCTTTTGTTTACTTTTACTTTTATTTTTTACGCCAGATTCATATTTGACTGTAACATTAGATGATTCGCCACCTTCTACTCCTACCCCGTCCTCAAGTGTTCTCATTCCATCAAAAGTTGTACTGACCAAGGAAATCGTGATGAATTTATCCATCGCAAAGATTTTCAAACTTAACCATGGGGTCGTGGACAAAATAACTTACACGAGTGATGGGACGTTGGTCGTAACGTCCGCATCCGACGACCAACTCAACGTCTACGACTGTGTTCAAGGGACTCACAAGCAAACGTGCAACAGCAAACGGTTCGGCTGCGCCTTGGCCACCTTCACCCACTCCCCCACGAATATTCTCTACGCCTCCACCAAGGAGGGAGACGAACTCCGCTATTTGTCACTTCACGACAATAAATTTATCCACCACTTTACCGGACATTCCGCTCAGGTATATTCTCATTTTAATTGTTAAAATATATGTTCATGTTAAGTCATGTCTTCATTCGAGAATGTAAACGTAAATACTCAAGTAACAATGCATAGGTCACAAATTTGTCCATGTCACCGACTGACGACACTTTCATCACGTCTTCATTGGACAAAACGACACGGGTTTGGGACTTGCGTTCTCCAAAATGTTCTGGTTATCTTAACATCCTTGAGCCAGCAGTGTGCTCGATTGATCCGGAGGGACTTTTATTCGCTGTTGGAATCGGAAGTGACACAATCAAGTTGTTCGACATGAGGTCGTACGGGAAAGGTCCATTCGTTACGTTTCGATTGCCAAAAGGAAGAGATGCGAGGGCGCAGTGGACCTCATTGGAGTTCAGTCCCCAAGGGGAGTGCATCCTCATTAATACGACAGGTCCCTTCATGTACGTGGCTGGTTCATTTCAGGGAAATTTGCATTTTGAATTGCAAGGTATCCAAATTAACGTATTCTTAAATGCATGTTTCTCATTGATAGGGTTTGATAATTGCAATTGCTTAATAATTTTAATTTTCTTAATGTGGAATAATTGTGTATACAGGTCGAATTTGTTTCGATCCAACAACGGGAGGGAAATTGGATGCGGGCTTTAGTGCGAATGGAGACTACATTTTATCCACGAGTGGCGATGGTTCGATTATTCTCTACAACGCTAAGGATGGACGACATATCACCAACCTCAATCCATACCGTCCAAGCGCAATTGGAGCGTTTAAATTCAACCCTAAAATGCTCATGATGACTACCGCTGCAAGGGAAACGGCCTTTTGGTTACCGAGGACCGAAATTGATTAGAAGACTGAGATTTTTATAAATAATGTGATACATGTTCGATGTCGAATAATCCTAAGTATACGTTTTTACTCAGCCAGACCGGAAAGTAACATGTAGAAACTGTAAAGAGAAAGACAAATTAAAACAAAGAAAATCCAGATGTAGAGTATTGCTCCACCGTTATCAAACCGTTTAAAATTGTAATTATAATTAACTTCATTTGTCCTTCGAAATGTATTATTAACATTTTGTTTTTGAGATAATAGAAATTGAAATGTTTAAAAGAATGTGCGTGCCCCACTTTGCACATCATTTTCCGTTAATGTATCATATTTCGAACGGAATACCGAGAGAGTGAGAGTGGCAACAGGACGAAACATAATAGACAGAAGATACTCGTTAAAACCAAAGACATACACACGAGACGTACATTCCTATGCATGCATAGCTAATAAGTTAGTTAGCTGGATGGCCCCAGAGCCCTGTCACAGATTGACACCAAAGAAGAAGTGCGGAAAGATTCTCGAATATTGGTGATGCTTTTGGCCACAAAAAATAATGATCCGTAACATGAAGAGTTTGCTTAACGGGATTTTACATAGGAGCACATACATACTCACTCATCCTCAGTCGACTCCAATATTAGTGTTGGTTTATGTGCAATATGCAAATATGCAATAATTTTGATAGGATTTAGTAATACAAGAGACGCTTCTATCCGATTCAATATTTACTGGGTCGTTTAATACGAAATAGATTATTAAATATATCCACATCATTAACTTTGACACCTTCCGTTTGAGCTTCTACGCTTCATGCAACGTCCCCCGAAAGGCATCAAAGCGATGATGACGTTGGTAATCAGCGTGAGAGCGAGAGTGAAGTGGGGCGCTTGGCGAAGGCCCAGACAGCCTGATTTCACGTCATATTTCGAATAGTGTTGAGTCCACCTGTCCTCACTTTTAAATATTACTTCCATCATCTAGCCCACTTCCTCATTGCCTTTTTATTGCTCTCTCACTCTCTCAGGTTGATCCAGATGAGTTATGAGAGAGAATGAGTTTCGTACCCACCCACCACCACCCGGCGCTCACCCTTATCTTCGTCATCAGGCGTCAGAAAAACTTCCCTTTTTAGCCCGAGTCAGGGCTTATGGAACCGTCATATCCGTCCGTCTGTCTGTCTGTCTGTCCGGCACGATAGAGCCAAAACGGCTGAACCGATTGACTTGAAATTTTTACCATATGCATATTGGGCAAAGTTAGGAAACGAGTTCGAAGATGGGCGAAATCGATATTGTTGTAGAGAGCTGAAATTTGGTACAGAGGTTGCTAATGGCTTATAATGCACAAAAACTCAAGTTGGAAAAATTCAAGTTGGAAAAATTGTTATCCTATGAGGTGACCCATACTGATTTTTCAAAAATCATATCAAACTGAAATTTGGTAGAGATGTTGCTTATAGGTCCCATTGGAAGAATATGAAAATAAATTGGTAAAATTTTTATCTGGAGCGACCCTATGGGGTGACCCATACCGATTTTTAGAAATTGCTTTAAAAAGATGAAATCGGCAAGGTAATACTTAATGGCAAGGTTGCTTGACAACTTTAGTAATAATTACAAGGTTGCGACAATTGCTTCGACGCCTAAAAAACTTCAATTTTCGAAAACCCTGGTACCTTTTGGAACCAGTTCACTGGAGTGTGCGTCGCACAAACTGTCGCCCAGAAACAAACCGCACAAAAATTGTCAATGACATTTCGTGCTCTCGATTGTCGAATTAATTTTTTAATCATGGATGTATTATGATAAATTGTCAAGCAATATTGCACTCAAAGTTAGTGAGGAGAAAAGACCAAAATGTCTTTTCTCCTCACTGAAAGACTGCTGGTAGAAAATAAGAAAACTGCCTCTTCTAATTAAAAAAATGATTATCGAAGGGTTTTTACGAGCCTGTCGGCAAAAAATTGAAGGAACATAAAACTTGATTTGTTAGGGAAGAAAGAAAATAATACGCGGTAGGTGGGTCAAAGGGTCAAGTTGTCTTTGATAGTTTAACTTTAACACTTTATCATAATGCTAAAAAATAATTCTTCAGTTTGTAACTGGAGTTAAACATCACCATTTCTTTTCTTTCGTGTTTTAGGAACGACGACTGATTACTGAAATGTTGCTCGATAAGGATTTGGGCAGCCTCGAGTGGTGCTATCCGGATCGTCCATTGATGATCAACAGGAAGTACTCGTACAAATTGTTCAATATGCACAGCCCTGACAATTTTTCAATCATCGTGGTAGATCAGACTTCCGTGGTGATTCAAAGGCAGATTAAGGAGGCAATGGATCTTTATCTGCACAGCATTGCCGTTGTGCACCGGTTGACGTTGCTTGTCTGAAGGATAGACTTCATGAATGGGACCTTGCGACATGTCGATAACACAAATTAGAAGCGTTGTTCTCAATTTCATGCTATTCGGCTGAGAAATGGCGAAATTATGGCATGGCGACGAAATTTGGCGAAAACAAGGTGGTGGCGAGGAGTGGGACCTTGCGACATGTCGACAACACCAATAAGAAGCATTGTGCTCAGTTTCATGCAAATCGGCCAAAAAATGGCGAAATTATGGCATGGCGACGAAATTTGGCGAAAGCAAGGGGGTGGCGACGGGTGGGACATTGCAACACGTCGACAACACCAATAAGAAGCATTGTGCTCAGTTTCATGCAAATCGGCCGAGAAATGGCGAAATTATGGCATGGCGACGAAATTTGGCGACAACAAGGAGGTGGCTACGGGTGGGACCTTGCGACATGTCGATAACCCCAAAAAGAAGTATCTGTCGAAGTTTGATGGAAATCGGACGAAAAATGGCGAAATTATGGCATGGCGACGAAATTTGGCGAAAACAAGGTGGTGGCTATGGGTGTGATTTTGCGACATGTCGATAACAGCAAAAAGAAGTGTTGTGCCAAATTTCATGCAAATCGGTCGAGAAATCCCGAAATTATGGCATGGCGACGAAATTTGGCGAAAACAAGGAGGTGGCTACTGTGTGGGACCTTGCGACATGTCGATAACCCCAAAAAGAAGTATCTGTCGAAGTTTGATGGAAATCGGACGAAAAATGGCGAAATTATGGCATGGCGACGAAATTTGGCGAAAACAAGGGGGTGGCGGCGGGTGGGACCTTGGGACATGTCAACAACACCAATAAGAAGCATTGTGCCAAATTTCATGAAAATCGGCCGAGAAATGGCGAAATTATGGCATGGCGACAAAGGTTGTCGCCATGCCATGCATTTATGAGGGGGGAGCTGTTAGCCGCCCTAAGAAGGGCGTTTCCAGAGCACACGACGAGGACGTCGCTCCTTCGTGCTCCACGCGAGCGGGCCCCCACTTGCGCCCTGAGGCGCAAGGGGGGTCTACCTCCACCGACCGGGAAAGCCCTGCCCACGTCACCGCCCCTGCGACCGCGTTCCCCTAGGGGGCCCGTCTGACCCTCGACTGAAAGGGTGGGAGCGCACCCGTAAATCGGCCCCCATTAAGGCTTCGAACTCGGGAACCCGGTCGGCCCCAAGGGGAGGTATCGCTAAAGAGCGGCGTCACCCAAGGGTTGGAGGTAGAGAGCCCCTCTCACTTGCCAAGCGCCACCCGCACTTTTGGCAAGCCCCGCCGGCTCCCCACCCGGTGAGCCTGCTTGGTGGGAGGAGCATTGGAGGGGGGACCTTCCCGTAAGGCTCTCCCCTTGCAGCGTTGCTCCCCCGGACCACCCCTCCGACGGGAAGAGAGTCGGGGCTGTGGGACAAACCACGGGTGGACCCGACTCCCCAGAGAGGCAGGGCGATCCAAGGGCGCAGCTGCAATGGGGAGCTCACCCAGGGACACGTCCCCCACGAGCGCCTCCCGCAGACTAAAAAAATTGCGGAACGAGACTTGTACTAGGCAACTTTGTCCCCCTAACCACTAAATGTGGCCACTTTTGCAAGAAAATAGTTCAATGACCGGACTTGAAACTGGTCAAATCAGCCTATTTTTTGGTAGTAGGGCAGTATGATCTTGCATTTTGTGCATTAAAAGTTTCAAAAAGGTCAGTGGGGGTTTTCAAAACGAGGGGGTGGGGTATGGCTAACATGCGTATAGGAACATCTCACATGTTCGGTGTTTACAATTGTTACAAATAATTCAATTAATTATATCAACGTTGTTGGGAGTGGGAAACTATCGATTCTTATAGTTTTTTGGTCGCTGATTTCGAATCTGAGGTCAGTTTTTCGATTGCGACATCATGGGAAGGGACACGGCCAATTAATTATGTTAAAATCAATCAATCAATCAATCAATCACAGTCTTCACGATGCTTACTTCGACGATGAAAAAACTTCAATTTTCGAAAACCCTGGTACCTTTTGCAACCAGTGTGCACTCACATTTCGTTCCCACGAATTAATTTTTTAACCATGGATACAAGAATCAGTGCAGTAGTACATAAATGTGAAATCGGCTATTTCGGCGTTCTGTTAGAAATTTTTGTGCTTTAATTACCGTTAGTGACGGCCCAAATACTTCAAAAATGGAGGTTTTTGAGGCTATCGAAGCAACTGTCGTAACCTTGTATTATGATAAATTGTCAAACAATCTTGACTTAACCTTTTAAAAACCTACAGTGCAGCTTTGCTTAGCCCGAGCCAGGGTGGGTACAACTAGAATTTGTTTACCAATCTTTACGCCAAAATTCAGCTTAATTGAGTGATTTTGCAAAATCAGTATGGGTCACCCCACCGGGTTCCTCTGGGTCAAAATTTTCAAAATTGTACATCATAAACTCCCATTATAAGCTGCTATCGACTTCCATACCAAATTTCAGCTTAATTGGACGATTTTGAAAAATCAGTTTGAGTGACCCCATAGGGTCCCTCCAGATAAAAATTTTCGCAAATTCACTTCATATCTTTTCATTAGAAGCCATTAGTTACATATTTACCAAATTTCAGCTTTCTACAACAATTTTGAAAATTTGATGCATAATAACCCCACCACCCATATGGCCCCCACCGGCCAACCACTTGACCGATTCGGCTCATCTTCGAACTTGATTTGTCTTTTGGGTAGATATAGATGTGGTAAAAATTTCAAGTCGATCGGTTGAGTTTGAAGAGAGTTATCGCGAAGACAGACGGACGGACGGACAGACAGACAGACATAACGGGTACATAAGCCCTGGCTCGGGCTAAAACGGATTCCACCAATAAGGTGGAGGGCGATTTCGATCTCTTGGCGACGGACTACACCAATAAGGTGTAGGCCAAATTTTTCGCCTTAGCGACGGACTACACCAATAAGGTGTAGGCCAACTTTTTCTCGTTGGCGACGGATTCCACCAATAAGGTGTATGGTTACAGAATTCCGTTGAGACCGGGCTACATCAATAAGGTGTAGGAAAAAATAAAAATAAAATGACCGAGAAAATTTTCTCAGTTCCATTCTTTCCTCCTTATTTGTCGTTGGTTTTTCTTCAAGCCTGAACTAATTTTTTTAGAGTTTAGAGTTGTAGTTGTAGTGGGGGGAGGAACTCGGAGGAAGTGCATCAGAGGTCACGCCGCGCCCCCGAAAAATTATCCAACATTGGCGCCGCTAATAAATTGGTCGGCGTTGACCTCTGACCTGTATCATGTTGTAAATATGATACAGTTCATATTTTTTTTAAATTATCACAACGTTCTCTTTAGCTAATATATTCGCAATAGTGTCACCACCGATCGGAACAAGTCACAGAACACTGAAGGACAAAATTATAGCTAATAACTTGTTTAAAATATAAAATGCATCCCAAAATCAGTGTCATCAAATTGATGACATGAATGATGACGATTTATTCGTTTAGTTTATTTTTGTAGTACTATCAAAATCAAATCCGATCTTTTTATCAAAATTAATATCGTGTGTTCGTTAGGTTCAGTTGCAATTTCATGTTAAAAATGTATTATGTTCTAATTTTTGTTGTCGAATCAGTTCCAGGTCTCTAATAAATCATAACTGCATCAGTAGAATATTCAAAATCGGTTTGCATTAATTCAGTCCCCAACTGATTTTATCACCGCCCCACAAGTCGGTCTCAATGGTATTCTGCCCCCCAGTAAATCCGCCCCCAAATGCAATAGAAACCATTTTTAATTCCGTTTTTAAATGGTATCCAGGTCAAAATTAATTAGTTTTTATAAGGTTAATGGCTTCTCATTATAGAATATGAAGTTAAAAGTGAGCAAACTGTAACCAGTGACCCTGAAGGCTGACCCATACCGTTTTTAAAAGTTGTTATTTCCATCTGAAATTTGGTATGGGTGATAAAAACCACTTCTGGATAGCACACACAGCTTTGAAAGTTCAAGATGTTAAGGGATTTGATGCCAAATAATAGAAAATCTAACAAATATGACTCGGGCTATATGAAGTCTGCACTGTAGGTTTATTTACCTCCAGAACTAGCTCTAAATGTCACTCGACCGGGCAAATAACAACAAAATATTCAAAAATTGCTTCGCTTTGCATTTTTTGTGACCTTGCTTTCATTTCATTCCCTTGATTGACTGATGTGGATGACTGAGTGGGCGCATTATTGTAAAATTATGGAGCGTGGCCAAAATAGATAAGCGATGTTTAGCTGGAATTCGACGCATTGCTGGAACACACACACTCGCAGCATTATCATCATTCTCACAGCTTTTGCAGGGTGACACACACACGCACAAAACAAGCTAATGAAGTCTGGTCTGCCAAGGAAAGAGATCTCAGATTATGTTATGGAGGCCTATGAAATAAACTGCCAGTTTGCAAATTGCACATTCAGATGCATACGTAGAGCTATAAAGAATTAAGAGGGAGAGATATCCGTCCTCATAATTAACATTGTATCTGCTGAAGAATGAATGAGAAAGACTACAAAGTGCATGCATTCATTATTATCTGCGAGATCCACCCACAACTCAAACTCATTCACCCCCATCACTCATTCTCCTCTCGGGACAAGAAAACAACAAAAAAAGAACAACGAACCAAAAAAGAAAGAACGGAACGACAAAGTACAAATCAACTTTTGCATCTTTCCACAACGAATCCAATTTATTTACGGCTTCTCTCTTAATTAAATCCTCTCTGTTGTCTCTCCAGCCAAGAAAGCACGCTCGTCTCCATCTCCCTCCACCCCATTCGTACATTTTTCAAATAATTGGACTCCGAGGTAACACAATCTGCACCGCGACCAATCCAACATTGCGTGTCGAGATAGTAGCCACCAGATCAGTTGGACGTGCCAGTAGTGTCAACCTGTGACGAGTGTGACGACGACGACGCAAACGACATTAATTTCAACCCTCTCATTATGTGTAACATAACCAGAACAAACGTCTATTAAATGTGAATGGTTATTATTTGACAGAAGTGGGCAAGATGACTCCATCAAAGCTATCAAATAATATTTGATAGCTTCGACAAATGGAAATTTGAGACAAAAGACGTTTTTCTATGATTCTGTTCTATTGCTATGTTCCTGGTAAATGGAACAAACGAGCATAAATTGAAGCATGCATGAAAATATACAATTGTGGTTGCAATGTTTGCCGTTGGTTGAATTTGGGCCATAAATCTGTTAGAGATGATAATGTGGATCTTTGTGCCTGTAAATAAATCAGCTCAAGAGTGGAGAAGTTGTCCTCAAGTTGTCTCATCTCCGGAGACAAACACCCGTTGGAATGTCACAACATTTTAAATCACTTCCCATTTATTCATCACAACACCACCAGCAAAACCAACTGCGACTCTCCAAGTACATATTCTGCATCCTGCATATTTACTTATTCCTCCCGTGGAGCAGCGTATTGCTCAAGTTGCCATCTTTCTATTTCCATTCCAAATCAGCAATAACGGTTATCTGGCTGCAACTTTTGTTGCGATCGCATGTCGAACATTTGCATGGGGCAGCTGAGACGAAGGTCAGAGATCAAAATTGAGCCAGTGAGAAGTTTGACAAACAGGGGTGACACACTGTCAAATATAATTCATTTTTATCTCAACTTTCCGTTGCGTCCGATCCTGCACATGTACACCGTCGCATCGAATATGTACCAATGGAAAGACCTAAATCCTAACAGAAGAAGAAGAAATGGATCGAATCCCCTAAAACTTGAATACACTTTTCCAGCAATAAAGTATATTCTGCTGAATGGGATCAGTAAAATCTTGCCAGGCTTTTGGAATGACAATGTTGTAAATACTTTGAAATTTATGACCACAGCACCTCCACCACCACTCCATTGCGACTCCACCACAGAGTTTGTAAGCTCATGTTTCTTTCCAGATTCGTAATATATGAGACCCAAAATCTGGTAATAAATCCGATTATCAACCTAATAATAAGCATGGCATAAATCCCTCCTTCCTGCTCAATCAAATAACACAACTTCGTGTACAGGCTACTATGCGCAAATGTATACGTGTACGTATATCCTGTGCTGTGGAATCTGTGCAAATTCACACGACATTTTCCGAGACGAGTGCTTTTGAAGTGTGACAAATGAGATCAAAGAATACATTTATCCCGTTGGGAGGAGGAAACGAGGTCTCATCGATTCATAATAATGATTCATAATATTCATAATAACCTTCAAAAATAAACCTTCAAAAGAATTTCGAATCCCACACGGCCACACTTTACAATGTCGAGATTAAGATGAAATGGTGTTGTTTGGTTTGGCGTGCGTGCGAGGGATGACGATGATATGATACAGAGGCGTCTTTATGGCAGATGGATTTAATCCTGAATCCAACCAGCCTTTTTCTGAGAGCTGTGAAATATCGTTATGGTTGATGCTGCTGCCCCGTCAATAATAAATATCCGATATTGCCATCACTATAAACATTTCCTTCATAAAAGTTACTCATTAGAAATACGTACGTACGTACATATTCACGTATACATTCTGGGAACGTGTGTCTCTGCGAGGACTATGTATTTACATCTCCTTCTCGTTCTTCTTCTTTACCGCATGTGTATTTGTTCTGCACACACTTAAGAAACCAAATCTCTTGGCTTGCTTAAATCCTTAACTTAACTGGTCCAGTTTTGTCTCAGTTTTACGAAAGTGGAAGCTCGTGCTGGATGGATCTCTCTCTAATCGTAGTACTTTTCTCTCTTCAGGCGTCATTATGTTCGCATTTTGTATATGACGCTGAACACGCAAACGGACCTTGTTCACATTTTGTCCACGAGAACGGAACAAAGGGTTACAAATATTATTCTCCTGCCTGACCATTGTAGTTTGGTTGGTGTCGCTGAAAAAATCGTGGTTTGGAGCTATGCATAAGTCTGTTTCGAATTGGCAATTGTCGTAGTAAAGTGAAATTTTACTTATCGCAAGAAGATATGAAGTACTACAATTGAGACGATATGGATCGTGAGGAAAGTGCGACGCATCTGTGAACCATTCGTGCTAAGGATAAGTGTTATTTTTTCAAAGAGTGGCTTTGTTACTAGTTGTGCATAGTGTGAGAATAAATATGTTTGCAGTAAAAAATCTTTTGCCAAGAATCGAAATTTTCAAGGGGATTCGGGAGCCTATAGCTACGTTCATGGGGTAAACAACTCTCTGGCGTTATCGTGCATAAGGTCGGATTGAGATCAACAAGTGATGCTGATATGAATCCCTCCCTCCCGGAATCATGCCTTGCTCTCGGTAACAATGAAAGCATGAGCTGCTACTTTATTTCTACTCTCATTCACGTGGGTTCATTTAATTTCATATCAGAATTGTGTATACTAAAGGAACTTTGAGGGGGAATATGTTCGAATTTTTTTTAGTATGGATTATGTTCAAATAAAGTTCCCTCACACAGTTTGGTCTTCTCACAATAATTCTTGAGTCTTCTTTACTTTGTTTGTTTGGGTGGTCCAGAAGGTGCACAAGCAGGTAGATTAACGTGGAATTATGAAGTATGCATGCATAAATATTCGGAATTCTCATAAATTATGGATCATCATCATTCACGAGATAATCTCGAGACATAAACGACGACGCCGAATTACATAATTAGCAATAAAGATGATACGAATCTAGGATATGATGCCTCATAAACTCGCTTCATTAATTAAATGATGCATTCTGTATACAACATAAGGTACATACATAATTTGGAGCTGGTGAGAAGCGTTACTGTAAAATGGTAATGTGTAATATGAGGAGAAATTACGTTATTTCGCCCCTTTATAAAAAAGAACGGCCGGGGGCACAAACTAACACGTAGGTTCATTAAAACCATGGAGGAAAATTAGTACTTTATATTAGTCCCCCCGGTCAATGGTACGACTGACGCCATGATAATCTAGTATTTTTCCCTTCCATGTTTATTTACGCGTCTTATTCCTTTATCTCAGAATCCAATCGTGGCATCATCGTCAGACAATATCTCCCATTTTACGGCTATATAATCATATTTTATGATCATTTTTACGATGTTTTTGTGGATGGCTGTACGACCAGTGTTGCTGTGTTTGCACAAATTCATATTCCTCAGGTGCAGATTACTTAAGGTTTCGAATTCACTTTCCATCAGAGATTGCTGAACAAAACCTGAGCGGGCATCGCATTAGGAACATACACATGTAATTGACCCAGCATTGTGCATTTATGTACCTCTGATTGCTGTTGTTGATTGTGACTGGAAAACAGACTCTCGCTCTGAACTGGACAAATTCATGATTCATCAAAACCGTAAATTTATGAGCACGCTGCAATCTCAGAGTTGGATGGAAAGTGATACTCTGCTCTTGGAAATGTTTAGAAAATGAAACGTGCCAGAGTTCATTTATTTATATCCAGAAATACGACGTCTAATTTCATTATAAACCGAGGAATTATTACACCACTTGAAAAGCGTAACGGATATCTCAATTGTAGCCCCGACCGCAAGAAACCAACGAGCAAAACAACTGTACAAATACACCGAGAATGAATTGAGGATTGCGATTGGAAAGGCAATAATTTAGCCGAGAAGAAGGTTGTGTTGCACTGAGAATTCCACATTTTTAGGGATTATTGTAAGCAGGTCTTTCGTTGATTGTTGATTTTGTGAGGGTGGGAGTGGTCATAATCTTTATGGGAAAGTTCACTCAGTTGGTGCTCTTCCTTAATCTGGTCGTCTCAATGTAAATCGTTTACTTCAAGTGGTTTCGGGAGAAGAGTGATGTGCACCAGACGCACACACACCGCAAAAACCAACCAGCAAAGCCATGTACGTCTTCTCCGCTTGATTTCTCCACACTTTATCGCAATTCCGTGGTTTCGTTTCCGTTCGCATTCAGATAAGCCAACAGCATGCTCTCCGGCTCATTACATGAGCGGGGGTGGGTGGAATAATGGCTCTGCGAAAATGTGCAAAAGACGTACCTCGCAAAATGAAACGAGAAGCAGTGGGTCGTTCATTTTTAGCGACAATGGTTCCATTTTCTAGCCCGACATTAAGACGAAAACCCGGTGATGATGAGACGGTAAGGGTTGCATGAAAACTGGGAGAAGCGTGTATCCAGTGGTCTTCACAGGTAGCTCGTGGTCTGAACAAAGAGAGAAGCCAAGTCGACGAATACTGCTCGAGGGGATGGTTGAAGGTCATCCCAGGTGCATGGATGGCAGGTATTCACGAGATGATGATGCCCATTGTTGCCACCCCACATAAAAATCTACCACCAAGTCTGCCTCATCCCAACAAACTACCCTCTCTCGCTCTCCTCAGTGCCTTTCACCCAGTCCATCCGGTAGAGTATTATCCCGGCACAACTGTCAATTTCCATCAGACCACGGAATTCCAATGTGTCTGGAGGCAAAGTGTGGAATGTGTGTGCACAGTGATTTAATAATTGCAGTCCGTGAGATCACACCAATTCACAAGAGGCATTGAAACCAATCATGGTAACCGGTGTCTCATTACATATTTAACTACAAATTACAATTCGTGAAAGCAACTGGTGCATAAATTATTGAGCGATTTATTCGGTCCTTCTTTACGAAAAGTTTGATAAAAGGATGGTTTTTGTCATCATCACGTACTTCACATCGCCCAGTGTGATTCCTGGCAGGAGACATTTTATTATAAGTTATCGCATCATCATAATGGACTTTGCAACTCGTTTTGTCTCTCTTTAGGCTTGGTTGTTGTTGCGGTGGTTGGTTGGCTGAGCTGAGATTGTTCACCTTTCCAGCAACTTTTATGAGCATTGCATTGGTCTCTCGATCTGCTCACTTGCATACTTGCGAAAATATTATTTGGCTAGAAGAATTTGAATGATGCAAGAACACGCATTTCTCCAGCGTCCCTGGCACCTACATATTATTTACTATGAACTCGCCACCATGGTCGTCTCGTTCGGATGCTAATGCAGTGTCAACGGCCAGCCCAAGCGTGTTTCATGATCGCTTTGTCACGGGACACTTTCCTTACTGACATCCGCTTCCCATTCCAAGTTTACCAGAGGGCGGAACTTTTATCAATTTGCAATTTAAACCTGGCTTGAACAACAAGAGGGGGAAGTCGCACTCGATTCGATGCATATGCACATGCACAACTCATCTCATGGATCGTTGACTTTTAACGACTTTGCTCCTTGGAGTGAATTTTGGGATTAGTGAAGTTGTCCAAGTTGCATCTCATTTTTTCCATGCATTAATTATGTAGACCGTTGAATCTGTGTAGCGCATTCATCTCTCTGAATGGTTAAGAATTATTAAGTACAATGATTTTTCTTGTAATATTGCAGAACTTGGATTGGATGAAACTACCGCAGTGAATTAGTTACCACGTGTGCCAAATTAAGGAAATTCCCCGTGTGACTCGTGTTGGTGTAATTTCATATGAATCGACAGTAATAGTACAGTAGGAATACTATGACATAAGTTGTTTCAGTGAAAGTGAGCAGAAATGGAAGTGGTGGAGAACAAAAATGCGCCGGGAAACGGCTTGACGGACGCTGTGTCTCCGGAAGAGAGTGATCCCCTCAAAGAGAAAGATGGCGGTGACAAGAAGACCAAGAAGAAGGGGTCGCCCATTAAGAAAAGCTTGTTTGGGACCAAGAACAAGGAGAAGATGACGGAGGCGACGACGCCCGACCCCGAAGATCCTGGACCCAGTGTGAGCGACTCTGAGAACGAGCAGGAGGACAAAAAGCGGAAGCGGAGACGACAAGGGCGCAAGGATGTCGTGGGGATTTGGGCTCACAAGTGCAGACTCACCCCAAAACGGGGTCTGATTTACTTGCTCTTCTGTGGCGTTGTGATCATCCTCCTCCTTTTCATTCTATTCCTCTTGGCAGCGCTGTGGCCCAGGGGGCCGTCTCACGAGCCCTGTCTTTCAGCCCAGTGTCATCAGTACTCCTCCAATGTAATAAATAAATAACGCCAATATGGAGCCCTTCAAACATGTAAATGTTAAATTATACCGTTCTGTTCAGGTTCTTGGGGCGTTAAACCAAACTCTTGAACCATGCATGTCGTACTGGGAGTATTCTTGCGGTGAGTTAGGATAGTCAGTAATTATTATGTTACTTCACGATTCCTTAACTGTTCCTGAAATTTAGATGGATGGCTGCGGGAACACCCCCTCCCAAAATCCCGAGCATACTGGGATGTACAAACTTACCACGAATTCAAAGGTTCAGTCACAAAGTTGCCCTTTCCTGGATTGTTTACTAACATTATTCTGAAATGTTTACGAATTTTCAGTGAAGGACAAGCTGCGAATGGTGTTAAATACTCTGCCCCTGGCCTGGATTGAGGAGCCCAACAATGTGCCACTCAAAATGAAGCGTTTCTACGACTCTTGCATGGCCGTGGATTACATTGATGCTGACGGCGAGAAGGAACTTTTAAGAATCATTAAAATCCTTGGTTAGCATAACATTGGCCTTACATATTACATATTAGCGGAATACTGAAATTGTAAAAAAAACTTCATTTTTCAGGCGGTTGGAATGTACTGAGAGATTTCAGATCAAGTGACTTTGACTTTCCAAGACTGTTACGAAAGGTGCAAAGTGACCACAGGGTGAGCCCGTTTTTCAAGGTCAGCGTCGTCCCAGACCCAGAATCTCCGTCCAGAAACATTATTAAGGTAGAGACACCAACAGAGATCAATTTACATGTAGAGAAAAATCTGCCTGGAAAGTATACGCATCAATTTTCTCTTGCAGATTACTCCTTCAGGCCTAAGTCTGCCTCACCCGTCCTACTACTTTCTCCAGAGTGGCCCCGTAAGTTCAAACTCATATACATGTTCAATAGCAAAGATGTAATTAGTAAAGAGCGCTTCAACATGTCACTCTTCTTGTTGTTTCCGAGTACGACGTACGTCTTCTTGATCATGTCGCGCTATATAATGTTGCAATAATATTTTGTGTATGTGCTAGTTGGCGCTTGGGAGCATTGATTGCGCGCTGTGGTGTAATAGGGACCTCACTCTGTCGCGATACTTCCCCGAACAACGTAAAAGTGTATACTCTCAAAATGCTCATTTTGAGTGACCCCCTTTGTCTCATAACCTCGTTTTTTTACTGCCACCTCTACTAATCCACACTCTTCGGATTCCTTTTGTCCACAAAATGCAGAAATATTTAGTGCTTTTGAAAAATAATGCATCTCGTACCATCCGCTTTTTTGTGACATGTTTTGACGATTTATAATTTCACGTAGTAGTCGAACCTAGTATACAAATAACATTTCGCGTATTTGCACTACTTATTAGATGGCGAAAGCATTCGAAACCTTTGCCAAGGACGTGGCTCAGCTTTTGGGTGCGACGTCGTATCAAGGAGGGTCCTTCGCCGTGGAAATGTTCAACTTTGAGAAGCGCTTGGCCGAGATCACACCGGATCCTGGGAATTTTTCCGACCCCGTCGCATCCCTGCAAAAACTGAGTGTTGCCGAGCTGAAAGGAATGTCCAACACGGTCAGTCATGCATTTCAACAACGTGAATACACATAAATCTTAGCTTTATCTTAATCTTATCTTTGTGTCGCATGCTCAGATTTTTTGGGGAGATTTGCTCACAGCATTGTTTCCTCAAGGAAACATCAACGACCAGACGCAGGTCGTCACGACGTCGGTTCAGTATCTGATGGAAGTCTCCGGCCTCATTTCAACCACCGACAAAGGGTATTTTTAGCTTTAACTAATTTAAATTCGAATTTAAGAGGCCAATTTTATAACTGAGGAATTGCAATGCACAGGAATTTGAACAACTATTTGATGTGGCATTTAACCCAGAGGTATCTGCCCTATTTGCACAAGCAGTTTACGGAGGCTGTTGAGACATTCAGAAGAGAATCAATTGGTGAGTATGCGTAATAATGCGTTTCATATTTCACTTGGTCGCCACACTAATGATTTATTATTGATGGCAGGAAGCACGACGGGTCCACCACGATGGGAATTCTGTATCACGGAAATAATTCGATTCTTTCCCCACGGAAGCGACTTTCTCCTGGCACATGACCGCAAAGAGAAGCGTTCAACTGTCGCCGGCTCCGATCACGGCGTTGACCCTGCAGTGACCACTGTGAGCAATGCAACAAAATGACAATATACTAGGAAAACTTGTTAACTTTCTACTTTTATTGTCCAGATTTCTGAAATGTTTCAACACATTAAACAAACCGTGTCCAACCGAGTGAATGTGGCCACAAAGTATGACGAATCCCTTCGAAACTATCTCTTGGATAAGGTAGCAAACTAAATTTCTCTTCCTCGAGTTCCATTGTGACACCTTTGCTAATTAATAAATAAAACATTTCACAGTTGCGTCTGATGACGCTGCAAATTGGGAATCCCCTCCGCAACAAAACGGTCTTGGAGGAGGTCTACTTTTCCGTCCAGATGCAAAAAACTGACTTCTTCCCAAATGTCATCACCCTGATTGAGTTTCAGGGCAGAGTGGCGCAAAAGGACTTGGTTCATCCCAACAAGGACACGGCCATCATCAACGCAATAACGGAAAACCCCTTCAGCGTCCAGCTCATCCCATCCCTGAACAAGATCCTCGTTCCACAAACCCTCCTGGAAAAGGAACAGCTCGACGTGCCGGATGAGCTCATGTGCGCGAAACTTATTGATTATTAAGTGATTTACAGTATTGCGGTTTTTGGGTCATTTGGATTCATTATTTATGGTACTTGCGTCTTGTAGGTCTTTGTTGTATGGTTCGATTGGCGTGGAAATAGCGGAAGCGATTGCCAAGTCCTTTGGACCAGAGCAAGGTCTCTACCTTCCCAGCGGGGCCTTACTGTCCGGCAGAGATGCCAAAGTGCAGGAAATGAGAGACATTGTATGTGTACAAATAAGAACAAAGTTCCTTAAATGGACAACTACTGACTACCTAATTAAAGTACTTATTTATGAATTCATTTTCTGTGAATCAGATGGAATCGCGAAGGTCGTGTCTCTCCTCCTTCTTCGTCAACATCCGCCTGGACGACGAGCAGTACGTGGATCGGACTTCGCTGGACACCACGCTCCACGCGGCAGGGATTCAAATTGCTCTCGAAGCGCTTAGAACACTCGAGTTTGCAGATAGCTTTCAAAGTTTGCCTGGAATAGATCGACCCCCCGAAGCTCTCTTCTTCCTCGCTTATGGACAGGTACCCCACAAACGGAACCCACCTTTTTAAAGTGCCAATTTACATAGTTTTAATTTTGTTTTAAATACTAGTCCCAGTGCGCCGTGCACACAATGCTCTTTCACGACTTGGAACATACCACCTTCACTTCGCTAAGTCATGATCACAAGTAAGCGAAATAATGAATCTGAGAAAAATTTACTAACATTGATTTTTTGACGCAGGGTTCGAGGCGTGTTGCGACAATTGGTTGCATTCTCGGAAGCCTTTTCATGTTCCAAGTCATCGGAAATGTACGCCGACTTTACGTGTGGTCTCATCATTTAGGACCAATTCTCATGACATTCTCCATACAACGATCGTGCTGTTGTCTGCTGTGAACTTACTTATTACCCAAAAACTCATGTTGATTACAAAGCGGAAAAGACATTGTGTTCTCTCTTTCATTGTGCTATGTATGCTTAATTATTTGGCAAGCAGAAGAATGTTTTGTATTTTTATGTTGAACAAAAAAATCTTTATAATAGTTGTACTTTATTTTATGACAATAGTCAAGAATAAACACATTCCGTCAGACCGTAAACGTAGCGTACCTTTATATTCAGCTTCATTAAATGTCTTTGGTTTTTGTGACAAGTTTCCAGTGACCAGTGAGAGTCACCTTCCAACCATTAAATACTTTGGTCATTATGATGCTTCATTTTCAGTGTGCTTAATACTAGACCATTACCCCAAATTTCCTAAATTTGTTAATTTCCCCGGAATAAATGTGCTAGAAGTTTCAAGCCGTCGTTTGTGCTGACCTCATCATCCAAGTTTTACGAGAGTTATCGCAAATAAGACACACGGACCGACGGAGGCCCTGACTCGGGCTGACATATGTCAACGCGTTTATTGGATATGGTCACGGTCAGAATAGGAGTGACTGGAATCCAATGATACCATAATCATGGGTCCGGTAGTCCCATTTTTCTACTAAAAAATATCCAAGCTTCAAAGCGCAAAAACTAATCGTAGCCTTGATCACGGAGAACAAGATTTTGAGAGACTCTTTGCATTCAAAAACACGTTCACAGAAAGTGAAACACTAATTCTACTCCTTACGAAACACAATCTGAAAATTAATTCCCAATGAACTCTGACCCCATTGAATTTCAACAGTAACGTGATGTCGTCGACTAAAAATTAACGATATGGGGTGAAAGGCTGGTCGAATCTGAAGAGGAAAATGTCCACCCCCTCCGCCAGTATTGGAATCACCCAGCGATTACACAAAATATTTAATAAATTCTTTTATTCAACAAAGTGAACTGTCACGAGGAGTGGGAGACCAACCTATTATTCGTGGTGACAAAGTTGCATTCAGATACGAACGGACAATCCCATAACGATTCTATTCTTTTATATTCACTTATAAAATCATTGAAACTAATTGAATGATTTTGTCTTGTAATTCAAACCATCAATTTGATTAAATTATAGAGTGCACTCACTATCAGAAGAGTATTGTGATTGATAGCGCGATGATAATGGATAGTCGTCTTCTACCTCACGTAGTAAATATGTACTTGCATTGGCACGTATGAGGCAGTCTGAGCTATGGTCAAAATCATGTAAAAATTTAATTACGCTTCAAATTTATTTAATTATATAACCAGCCTTGAACTTGTTTATCCGTTGCGTTTGACCGCAATAAAATTGTTTTTGTTTTTGAAAACAAAGACAAAATTGGAGACTTGTGTACTACACGAATAAATCTCGTTCCCACGAAAAGTGATGCCTAGTACCTGGAGCAAAATCCGTATTTTAACTCATTCAAACCATCCAGAACTAACCGATGAAGAAGCTGAGATTACTGGCAATTAAATTAAATTATCCATTAAAAACCTTTCATAAAAGTATTTCAATACATTCATCCATAAAATTGTAACCCGATTCGGAATAAAATGGCTCTGATGGCGTCAGCATTATTCCACACGAAGAAATGGAGACTCATATTTTACAAATGTTTTATGCCCGACGTGGAGAACGACAATGCCCAAAGTTCCCTTATCAAATTTCGGCCGAGTCTGAGTGATATCTCCTCCTCTGGTATGCATAACAAATAATAATGCTATCTCTGCCTCTGTCTACTCTGCATAATGTGCAATTATCAACTGCTGTGTACTGACTTGAAACCCAAGTTTCAAGTGGAGCACGATGGGATGGAGTGCTGCTGTGTGATGTAGGATATGTTGGAACACTTGTGGAATAGATTTTGGAGACTCTTTAAAACGGTTTGTGCACACGGGACCAGGGTCAGTTCGACACATCGAGGACATCATCCAACACCTCAATTTGCACACGAGACCTCACCACCAGCACCAGGATCCCTACTACAAAAGTACTGACCCCACCATCCATCCCGATCTCGACTTATCAACCGTTTCCTACAACTTTGTTGGTGAGTAATAAGTCCGTATATAAATCGCATCTTCTCACCAAACTATTGTACAACGGCAGACATCATGGCAAATTATTCCATGATAATTTATGGCAATGCGTTTATAAAACTGTAGCTTTACGCACACAATTTCGTAGAATTTGCAGCAAAACGTCACAATATCTGCGTATAACACACACTGAATTTGCACCAACTTTCTCAAAGTTTTCACCCACTGGGGAATAGCCATGTTGTCAATGCTAGACCGAATTGACTGGTTTTAACTCATGCAATAATAAGTATGAATTTCTATGTAAGAGATATTTGCAAGGGATGAATTGTAGCTTAATTTAGCTATGCGTTGCTAATTTAGCGGCTTAAGTTAGCTATGCAGATTTTGGATTTTTCTAGATTTTTCTCGTGTATGTAGCAGTTCTGAGAAAGTAGAGCGAATGATTAGCCGGTAGTGAGAGACATGAAATTCTCAACTACCTTGCCTTGAATACTATGTATGCAGACTACCTCATAGTTAAGTTCATAATGATGATGGAATGGATAAGGATTAGTTTCAAAATCGCAGATAAGGGATTTATGATAAGTGAAATACGGGTAATTTGTAGGACTCGCTCTTTTTTACGCCTCTCATTGTTCTGTCAATAAAATATTTCTATTGTTACTACACGACGCCATCGATATAATATTAATAGCCATGCTTTCCCCACTGCATCCTTTATTTATTTACTGCGCATGTACGTGTAGTAATAATTTATAGCGCTGCATAACACGTTCCGTTTGGTGTGATGGCATGATAAGAGATTCTGATGCCATTCTTACAAGTGCAAGCTCTCTCTCTCGGGTGCATGTGTCGTAATTGAGTACAAAATTAAAACAATGTCCCAAAGCCAAATTCAAGCAGAGAGGGAACAAGAGATTGATCAGCAAATGTTAACGCCGCCAGGGTGGCCATGCGTAGACCTTGTGGCCCATTTGCTCGGTACATCATCATAAGCAACGACTTGAGCACTTATACAAAATTAATTGAATCATCATGCGTCGAGGGTGTGAGAAATGGAGCAGTTGAATTGTAACAATTTTTGCCGGTTGTATTGTAACAGGGGCGTGAACGATGGCGTTGAATGGAGAAAAATGGGCCGTTATGGGAATGTTGGCCGTGATTTCTATCATTTTGGGATTTTTGCCATACCTTCTTATTCGATGGACGAAAAATACCCGGTTCATCCGCGTGGATTCAACCCCTTACAAATTGGTCCTCACTGTACTCTCATGTTTTGGAGCCGGTAAGGAAGCAATGCTGCTGTAATGTCCATTGAATTTTTGCGTATTTGACAATCTCAGATTTCTAAACGACCTATTACGCAGGCGTCCTGCTCTCCACCGCAGCCCTCCACCTTCTTCCCGAGGTCAGAGAGTCTCTCCTAAAAATAGACTCTGTCTGGACCACGTTTGACGAACACTTTCCCGTCGCAGAAATGATTGCTCTGGGTGGATTCGCACTCATCTATTTGATCGAAGAGGTAAAATTGTTTGTTAATAAAGCAGAGCAAAAATTATACGGGTTTAATCACACAAAATAATTTTTAGGTGGCCCACTTCATCATGGTGGACGGACACCAAGGTCACCACCACCACAACCCGAACTCTATCGCACGCCACAACTCCATCGCTCACGGAATCCATCTCCCAGAGGAGACTTGTGGCGGGGATGGGAACGCAGAGTCCGGTCTGACCGTTCCTCACCACGGTCATCACCATTCTCACGGCGTGGCGCTCAAGATGGAGTCGAGTTCCACGGTGGAGGAATGTCCTGACGAGCAGAACAGTTTCGCTTCTTCCGTCCGAGCCCTCCTGACACTGATTGCCCTCTCGTTCCACGAACTGATGGAAGGGCTGGCCATCGGGATCCAAAAGGAGTCGGACATGTGGGTCATGTTCGGAGCCGTGGCATCTCACAAATTCGTGATCTCATTCTGTATGGGGATGGAGCTCATCAACAGCCAGGCAGGTGTTCGCACTTTCGTCGGTTCGATTCTATTCTTTGGCGTGGTCACGAGTGTGGGAATTGGCATTGGAGGACTCATCACCACCAGCTCCACGGACACGTTGAGCGTCGCAGTTATCGAGGTATGGTGGTAATCAATATTTTCGGCCCTGAAACCATCAAGTATGTATGATTTATTTAATAACTGTACGCAGGGTTTGGTGGTGGGGACTTTGATATACGTGGTGTGCTTTGAAATTCTAAATCGAGAGCGGGATCGCAAGACATATTCCATCAAAAAGGCCAGAGCTATCGGATTCATACAATTCCTAGCGTTGGGCGCTGGACTCGTGGCAATGGGATTGTTGGCCACAATGAGCCATGACCACGGCGGGGACGATCACGGCCATGACCACGAGGATGACCATGACCATCCCACCACGCACCACGACGATCATGACCATCCAACCACGCATGACGATCATGACGGCCACACCCACTTTTGAATAGCGAAGATATCCGCGAAGATTATTTATTTACTATATGTTGCTCTTAAATAGTTATATTTTTAAAGTTTTGTATTCGATAAGGACGTTTCTCTCTCATAGATTTACGATAATGAGTATTTAGCTTCAAGTAAAGGCTCATTCCATTTGTAAGCAACACGTTTGATCGAGTCCCAGAAAATAGAGGTGCTAAACCCTGCTCGCTGGTGGTGGCTGCCTGACCATGTATTTTCTTCTCTTTGATATGAGAACACCACACAACTTATGCTTTGTCAATGTTCCCGGCCACGTAGGAACACAGAATTATTTACTGCTGTCTACACAAGCAGCCCATGTTAATTTTACCTTTTCGAAAAATCGCCAAAACTCCAAGACGGACAAAAATCGCGTGGGGTTTTAAACGTTTTTGTTTCCTCAGGCCCAAAGGCATCGATTGGCTTATCTCCCTATAAGCGATTTTTGTCCGTCTTCTCGATAATCGAGTTTTTCAATACATTTTAAATTTCTGATTTTTTTGAATTTTTGAATTTTTTAAAATTTTTCCTATCAATAAATGATCAATGAATGAAATCCGTAAATGTAACCTACCCCTTTGAACCTAAACTTTGGCGACAAAAGCATTTTCAATGCATTTGCAAATTTTCTTTCAACTGCAGTATCTTTGCGAAAAAAATTAATTTTCAAATTTTGATTTTTATGATATGTTTTATTTTATATTATGCATCTCTGATACGATTGGGGACAAGATATAAAATATGGGTGCGACGACGATCGTGTGGGTTGAGATGGAATGAGCCTAAAGTAGTGTCGAAATACGAAACAATTCGCCATTTAATAAAAGCGTGTCTTTAATTTTACATGTATTTCCAGCCGTCGTGTTATGGTCAAGTTTATTGATGCAATTGCATCGGCTGATAGCAGGCGGTGGTGTTTGGTGTTGTAAATCTTATCGGTGCCTAAAAAGTACATAATTTATACATGAGTTTCTTGCTTCAACATGTGCATTACATCCCTACACCGCGTCATCGCCATTGTCATTGTCAATGTCAAAAAAATTATGGCACATGTGCTAACGCGGTTCAGCCAGCTTTTTACACTTGGCATGTTTTTGTCGGGAAATCACAGCAAAAACAAATGCATATATTTTTTGCACAATAATTCTACTCGGAAGAACGCAAGAGGAAATCTTAAACCGCGACCACGACGGTAGTTTAGTGGTGCGTACCAAGTTTATGATTTCCTGGTAGATAAACAAACGCCTGCATTATAACTGCACTCGATGTCGGAATTAAGTCAGTAGTGCGCAAAATAGTGGAATTAAGTATGGTAATTTCAGTGCGGAAGGTGTAATAACGACAGGAAATTAAGGTCAATAAGCAATAAGTAAAAGAGATTATAATTTCGAAATGGAGGGAGTGGACACGGGTCTTGCCATATCGTCCAGCGTCGTGTTGACGATTTGCATCCTGGGGCTGGTGGGGAATACGGTATTTGGGTCCTATTTCAACGGGAGATGAAAACGTCGTACAACTTTCTCCTCATCGGCCTCAGTTTCGAGTTGGTGACAGAAATGCTCCAGACACTTATGCTTCCGGCAAGTATGCGCGGACACGAATGCTCCCTGACAGAAATGCTTCCGGCACAAATGCTTCCGTCGAATATGCTTCTTGACACAAATGCTTCCGTCAAATATGCTTCTTGACACAAATGCTTCCGTCAAATATGCTTCTTGACACAAATGCTTCCGTCAAATATGCTTCTTGACACAAATGCTTCCGTCGAATATGCTTCTTGACACAAATGCTTCCGTCAAATATGCTTCTTGACACAAATGCTTCCGTCAAATATGCTTCTTGACACAAATGCTTCCGTCGAATATGCTTCTTGACACAAATGCTTCCGTCAAATATGCTTCTTGACACAAATGCTTCCGTCAAATATGCTTCTTGACACAAATGCTTCCGTCGAATATGCTTCTTGACACAAATGCTTCCGTCAAATATGCTTCTTGACACAAATGCTTCCGTCAAATATGCTTCTTGACACAAATGCTTCCGTCGAATATGCTTCTTGACACAAATGCTTCCGTCAAATATGCTTCTTGACACAAATGCTTCCGTCAAATATGCTTCTTGACACAAATGCTTCCGTCAAATATGCTTCTTGACACAAATGCTTCCGTCAAATATGCTTCTTGACACAAATGCGCCGACGTAAGTACTGCACAGTATCTCCTACCCGTGATATTTTTTAGCCAACAAAATAACGCCTAATATAATTGTGAATGATGCTCTGCATTTTCTTTATAATATTCTTCTTGGTACATATTTAAAAAATCAAAGATTTAAATAAAATTAAAAATATAATCAATCAATAAAATTTAAAAAAATCCTCAATCAATAAATTAAAAATATCCTCAATCAATAAAATTAAAAATATAATCAGTCAATAAAATTAAAAATATAATCAATCAATAAGATTTAAAAAAATCCTCAATCAATAAATTAAAAATATCCTCAATCAATAAAATTAAAAATATAATCAGTCAATAAAATTAAAAATATAATCAGTCAATAAAATTAAAAATATAATCAATCAATAAAATTTAAAAATATCCTCAATCAATAAAATTAAAAATATAATCAGTCAATAAAATTAAAAATATAATCAATCAATAAAATTTAAAAAAATCCTCAATCAATAAAATTAAAAATATAATCAGTCAATAAAATTAAAAATATAATCAATCAATAAGATTTAAAAATATCCTCAATCAATAAAATTAAAAATATAATCAATCAATAAAATTTATAAAAAAATTCCTCAATCAATAAAATCATAATATCATGGATCAATAAGAGATAAAAGGGATAAAAGGTTGTTAATTAGAGATAAAGATAATTCAATCTAGGAAAGGTTCAAGCGAGAACCTTTGTCTGGAACTAAGCATAGACAAGTAGTAAATATGTACCAAGAAGAATATTATAAAGAAAATGCAAAGCATCATTCACAATTCTATAAGGCGTTTATTTTGTTGGCTAAAAATATCACGGGTAGGAGATAATTGCTGGTAGGAGATACTGTGCAGTACTTACGTCGGCGCATTTGTGTCAAGAAGCATATTCGACGGAAGCATTTGTGCCAGAAGCATTTCTGTCAGGGAGCATTCGTCTCCGCGCATACTTGCCGGAAGCATAAGTGTCTGGAGCATTGCTGTCGGGGAGCCCTCAGTTTCTGCGACTTTTTTCTCCTCGTGCTCAGCGTCATCCGCACCTTCTCCAATCTCCCACTCTACAAAATTGACTATGACAATCCATGGATTTCGTATCCCATCTTCATTTGGGATTTTATCTGTAATTTTTCCATGATTTTTCCACCATTTGGATCAGGATTTGTGTAATTTTCTCCAATTGACTTATAGGCACGGGGGGCACCAAGTATTACACGGTGGCCATCTCTCTCGAGCGATGTTTCGCCATTTGCTTTCCCATCGCGGCGCATCGCTACATGACGGAGCGTCGGGCCAGGTGGCTTGCCGTCGGAGTTTTCCTCTTCACCCTGCTCGTCACCTTGGTCAGCTACTTGTACCGGTTTCACTGGGATGCCACCTCTTTTCACGTCTTTGTCGCAGTGGTGCTTCACTTTGCTCCATTTCTCGCCGTCCTCATTCTAAACTTCTGTATCTACGCTGGGGTTCTGTAAATACTTATTTCGATCAAATATGTAAGGTTCGATCCTGTTCTGAAAAATTGTTCTGCAGTTGAAAATGTACCAGAAGAAGAGGAAAGCACTGACTGAGACGGAGTCCTCGGAAGTGTCCGTGACGAGGATGCTGCTCGTGATCGTGGTTGTTTTTGGACTCTGCTACTCTTTCGAATTTGTGAGACGCATTCTCAACTTTACGGGTAATGAAATGAGATAGATGTTCTAGATTCACAATCATTCTGCAACTCTACTTAGCTTCTAAAATTACGGTTAAATTATGGCAGGTTATTTTTCTGACCCGAACCTGACGTACTACGACTACACGTTGAATCATTTAGCCGATATTTTCTACGTCCTCAACTCCTCAGTGAACTTCATCATTTACTATTTGATGGGAAATGCTTTCCGGGGGCAATTTCTCAAGCTTATGAAAAACACTTGTGGATTCGCTCGTCTGCGAGGGGGAACTTCCTGCTCAAAGTTTTCTGAAGCCAGCAAGTCTGCCCTTTTGAAAATATCGTCGTCTCATCAAAAAAACGAATCTCAAACTGCTACTTGCATCGACTGATATTTTATACCCAAAATGTCCCTGTATTATTCATAATTACTTACTTCAACTGTACCACAAAATTACCAATTAGTAAATGATATGCAAAATATCTCACGGTGAGTACAAAAGTGCACAAAATATGATTTTATGTGTAAATGAATATTTTTTTGTTAATCAAATACGGACAAAGGATTTTTTTTGCATGTTTACTACTCTGAAAATTATAAATATGACTTAAAATCAATCGTCCAATAAAATTCTGCTAAATTCTTCCAATGTAATTGTCACAAAAACGTAATGAGAATGAAAAAATAAATACTACGATTTTCAAATACAATACGAAAATATAGTTCATATAAAAAGCGAGGCATCCTGTTTTTAAATTACTCGTCGTAAACCACGTCGCCAACTTGAGCTATGTACAAGGCTTAGAGTTACATGGCCACGTAGCCTTGGGACCCCTGGACTCGCGAAGTCTCGCCTCCAAAATGTTAGTCAGATGGCGACGATACCAAATCCTCCACTCGCCACGAGACATCCCACGACAGACTTCTTCCATCTAGTAAACATGATAAATTAGCTTTGTGACTAATTTCGGCAGTGGAAATACGTAGCTTCATGTATTAATATATTTTACTTTATCCATTTCTTTTTTCTCATCCGCCGAGCTCCAGCCGCCGAGGAATTCCAATTGGTGTTCAAGGTGTTTAATATCAAGCCGAATCGTATTTTCCTCATAATCTAAGGAATCCGGGTTTGAGGACTCGTCCTTCGCCAATTCAGTCTCCGTCGGAACAGGGACACCAAGTTGCTTTTCTTCCGGTGATGAGTCACATGTGGACACTGAAGACGAGTGACTGGAATCATCTTTGTGGTCTTCTTGGTCCATTTGAGGCGCCGTGATGCCGCTCTCTTCGTGCATTTCATCCCAATGACTTGCCGACTCTGGATTTTCTCCTGGATATAATGGCCTTGGAATTATATCAGCCAGCCCCACACCTTGTTTGAGCGTTTGTGGCAATGAAGCTGAATTTTCTGACTTGTTCTGGCAGCCAACATCGTCCTTTGATCCTTCATCTTCATCTTTTTCATAGGATTTGATTGACTCTACGGGCAAAACTGGGATTTCTGGCTCTGGGTCGTTTTCCTTCTTGTTGACCTCGACCACTTTAGGCAGCGTGGAGGTCAAACTCTTACAGATCTCGATCATCTTCTTTTGAGAAAATGTAATCTTAAGCCTGGCAATTATTTGACGGCATAAACTCCCACTTGACGGATCCTGGTAACAACATGATGCCATTTGGCTTCCGCACGAGTCGCAAATGACGTGCCCAGTCGCACAAGTGTACTGAAAGTCGCCTCCAGCCGAGAGGTCGGCACATCTGGCACATTGCAGTAGACGTTGAATCTCTCGCCTTGATGATCCCCAGCCGACCAACGCCGTCCCCACAGGTGCCTTGACTCTGAAAACATAGATAAATTTATTTCAATACTTGACTTAATTAATCGGTCAATTAATCTGTCTCCATTGAGGTGGCTCATTAATAGCACGAGTAATAGTATGAAAATGCGTTAATTTTTTATGTAACAACATTGCGTACCTGGAGACTGATCCCATTGTGATATGTGTATTATTTAGCTTTCTTCGTCGCAACAAGTTTTCCGTTATAATTCACAAGCCTGGAAAAAAGTAAAGATACATTTGTAAGACTGGTTAATCAGTCGCACCTTTTGTGGAAGAAGAAATTAAACCATTTTACTTTTCGTAGCCTTCCGACGCATTAACGTTCGAATTATTTTTATAATAAACTGAATAGTTGCTACCAAACTCCAAGCCACCTTATAATCCAATTTCAACGTGTATGCATAAACCCACCTCCCATGCAGTGAGCCATGCAGTAATCTGAGCAATTATTGAGAATCTCAAGTCTCAATATGTAAATATGTAAATATATTAACATGAAGCAACTTACATATCAGTGGGACAGAATTCTCGGTGACTCGAGACACGAATTTATTGGATTATCTCGAAATAATTTTATGCAAATAACAATAATGAGGATAACATCAACACAGGTAAAGTTTAGGTTCTTGGAAAATTGAGATTTGGTATGAATGCATATATGCAAATGTGCGTAGATTAAATGCCATACATAACTTTACATCAACATCGATCAAGTACTTCACCAAACTAATATACCTGAACTATAACGTCCATCAAAATTTGATTCCCGCGTTCGTATCCCTACCATACTAATAGCATGGGAAGGATACGAGCGCGGGATGATGGAAGTTAAAGTTCAGGAGTATTAAACAACGCTAATTGAGTTGAGAACATTGTAAATAAGTCAACCTTATGTCATGTTTTTCGGAAATGATAATTTATTAAATCCATTATGATCCATGCGTATCATAATCCACTGACTTTCAGCTAATTTCACTAAAAGCGAATGGAACCAATTTATTGATAACTGATGAGTGTCCCACCAATAACAAATAGTTTTATCTCACCAATTACGTCAACCGCTGCCACACATTCACTCAACGACGGCATTTATTTTCCAATCTAATCAATAAATCTGAGTGATTAATTGTGTCTCTTGTTGCGGAATGCAATTTTGCACGGCAGCAGCCAGCAGGTAATCATACATATGTATCAGCATCATTTGCTCTTGTCCATTCTTGCAGCGACACAAGTTTTATCGGTTTTTAAACTTGAATGAAAAAAATGACCGACTTATTCGTGCCCGGTAATGTTTTACAAAAATTGGGTATCTTGTTTTTTCTGGTGTTGCTGGTGAGTTCGAATTCTGGTCTGAAATTGGATTCGGATGGAGGTTATCATGTCTCCGTTGGACTGGAGGGGACCGAACCGGAAGATACCGTTGCATTCTTGGACACCATCCAGGCAAGTACATATCTGACAAGTTGAATCCATTCAATGAAAATGTACCGTTGCAAATAATGCAAATTTACTGCTCAGACTGACATGGAAGCCCTTTCTGACCTCATGTTCTCCTCCACCGAGAGTAATTTCCATCTCAAGTCCGTCACTGTGGTCATCCCTCCGGATTGGGATCATGTTGCAGAGGAAGTTACGGAAGGGTATGGATTGCGTGATCCCTTTAAAAATAAATCCAGGGCGAGAGAGTAATTTGTCTTAAATGTATTGTTATGCAGTGAAAATTTCTCTGATTTGAAATTGTGGGAGGGAACCCAAGTCCCAATCGTGCGCCGTTCTACGCAGTGTGGTCAACCAGGAAGTCAAATACTTTTGCCGCTCAACTTCTTCAGCCCTGCAAACCAAGCGCCGCGAGGTAACGCCATTCGAAAGACAATTAATCCCGTACTAATTGAAATTGAATACGAAAAAAAATTGCATAGAGACTGTTTTCCAGACAGGTCACTCCTCCACTATTGGGCGCAGTACCGCTGGGGAATGTTCCAGGAATCCGGCTTCCCGTACAACACTCGTTTCCCATATTTTGTCCAACGCGAAGAACTTGGTGACTGGGAGGCGAACGCTTGCACGGACCAAACTCTGACTGGCGCTGTCCAATTCCCGTAAGACAGAGTTCCTACTGGTTTGGTCTGGGTCGTGAATATGTGCATAATTTTCATTGACTTGTAGGAATGGGACAAGTTGCCCAATTGACGAGGAGGCTCCGCCGACGGCTGAGTGTCGTTTTATTCCAGAGGATCCCCAACCGGAAGTGGTTCATAGCTCTCTCCTCACTCACTTTCACCACCTCATGGACTCCTTTTGCACCTCGGAAACTCACCAGGCAACCCTTCCCACGCCGCACAACGTGTTTTGCAGTGGTCAAAGTGCGTGGGACGTTCTCCTGGGTTCGGATGACTTCAAAAGAGTCACTCAGCCTGCACCCGGCACGAGGCCGCCAGTGACATTCACCACCACGAAGGCTTCCACGCTCCCGTTAATCCACTTCATTTTTGATGCTCGGGTCATTCATCAGGTTCGTACAGACACCGTTCGTTCGTCATGGTGCTTGTTAAACGACGCAATATGCAAATATCTGTACGTCACAAATATGCCAAATGTTGTTGTGATTGAGCAGATGCCGGAGGATGCTTTCGAGAGAATTAAGGTTTCTCTCCGGGCCATCTTTGACGTGGGGTCAGGTGTGAACGAAGAGGGTTTCGCTGCAGTCACCATTTTTCCGGCAGAAGCGGAGGATGGCCAATTGACCCAGCAGACTGTTGCATGGACCAAGGTGGCCGGTTCTGCGAATGAGTTTCGTTTGTATGTGCATTGCTTTACTGGTGGCAGTAATCCAGCAGTTTAATAATAATTACGAATTTTGTGGGTTAGGTCCATCGACAAAATATCGACGATTGGAACCACGCACGCCCATTTTGGACTCGCCCTCAGACTTGTGTCTGAAGACATTCGAGCGAGACGCCATCCAACTGGAAGCTTCATCTTTATTTTTAAAGGCAGCACGGGTTCCAATTTTGGTACGGCCTGAAATAAGTAATCATACGGAAGTACATTCGTCTCTGACGATATCTGATCAAATCGTGCTTGCAGACGAGATGCCATTCGAGGACGAAGTCTTGAGCTCTCTTCTAGCCCACAAGGTTCAAGTCCACGCAGTCGAAGTTAGCCATGGACCCCTCGACCCTGGCACCAACCTTGTTCACCTCACAGAAATCTCGGGCGGAAGTCACTTCACTCTAACATCCTTCAATATTGGGGCGCAATTTGACACCTTTCTCAGGAATTTTATCCTCGCCACCAAAAGCCCAGATTTTGTAGCGCCCTCGGTGTTTCCGGTAGTCACACAAATTCTAGTCCATATGTAGATATGACCTCTTATGGATATCTTGCAATCATAGTTTGTTCATAATTAATCGTGCCAATTACTTTTGTTACCAGCTCGCAGCAATGGTGGGGACGGAAGTGGAGCTTGCATTTGGGCACGACTCGCCACTGCGTCTGCGCCTCACGACGCCCTTGGAGATGGGACAAGTGGAGGTGGTGGGTCCGACAGGAAGCGTGGTTCCCATCGATGAGACCAGATCCACGCCAGAGTGGAACGAGGGCAAAGCTCAAGGACGGCGACGTTCCTTGTCCATCGTTATTCCCTCCGCGGAAGCCACCGTGAGCTTATTTCTGTAAGGTTATAGTAATCGTTTGAACCTCAGTTTAGATGTAGTTTCTTTTTGTGTAGAAAGGATCAGTCTGGAGGATCAATTGTGTCGATGGTAGAGTCACCAATTGCAGTGGCTTTTTTGCCGTCTACGCAGACTCGCCACCTACACGAAGCAAAAACGTAGAAGATATTTCGCTCAGCGTGACAGCCCATTTTGACGAGCATTTAACCGGATTGCTTTACATATATGCTTTGGTATGCATAGATTATTGGACATTGCTTAATTTATTTAGCTCCCACTCATCGATCTTATGTAACTTGTTGCAGCTGGAAGAAGGTGGCGAGTCACTCGTACGACTCGACTCGGTCGGGGAATATGACGCCATCGCGAGCATCTGCCTTCAAACTAGGCCGGACGATTGTTGGAATATTCGACTAAGAGACGACGGAGCTGGGACACCTGACCTATTGGCGGATGATGGCGTCATGTCCGGTGCTTCCCTTCCGCCTCCTCGCGACGCCGTGTACCAGGTGCGAGTCGCCCTCAGCTACAGATACAACTTCACTCCACCCCGTGGAAAAGATGTGACTGAAGAAGGTCCCATCTTCCCGTGCGCTTTTAGTCCTCAGGCGCCCATTGAGCTCTGTGTGGGTCGTTATCCTTCGGACAGTTTCCAGATGGTCTCTGCTTATCCGCAGCCCATCGAAATTTATGCGTCCACAACGCCATCACAAGTGAGTCTCACTTATTGAACGTGTGCATATCTCCTTCTTGCTGAGTATTAATACCGGGGCGACAACATTATTTTCAGTCTAAGCCATCTCGTACCTTTGATCTGAGTCTGATCTCGTTGCCTGGAGGGGGATTAACCCTCGCGTGGACGGCACCCTCCATCTTCCTCCCAGAAAATGTCATCGGTTAGCAAACAATACATGGATTTTTAAATAATGAACGCGCAAAGTATGTAATTACTTCCGAGTCTCCATAATAACTGTCTTAAGTTTGCTATATAATTTGACCTGGTGGGCTAATTTTTAAAGTCGGCAAGTCAATTTTCCGGTGAACGATCAGATTTTGCACTTTGAGTAGTTGCGTTGATGGAAGGCTAATGGTATGTATACATATGTGAATCATGCTGAGGTATTCTATTATTCCATGCATTACTTGTCACATTTTATATAATTAACAACAGCTGACCTCTGACCCCTTTAGTTATCATGCTATGTGAGTTGGAAAGTGTTTTTATAGTACCCTACTTTAGACTATTGAAACTACTAGATAACTGATTTTTTGCATACTTGAGCTTAAGAGCCTTTGCAGAAAACTTGGCGTCAAAACATTTAACCTTTCCGTAGTTATTAAATACTTCGAGCGTTCAATGTTTAAAACTTCATTTATAAACTTGTGAACTGGTTAATTAAAACTTTTGCTGATGCGCAGAGAGTGCAGATGCTTACGATCTCCGCTTTTCTACGAACTGGGACTCGTTGGTGGGCGATTTTAATGGATGTGTCAGAATAGAGATTGACACGATCCCTGCCACTCCTGGGGTCAAGGAAGAGGTCACGATAACTGGGGTAGATCCCAGCCTACCCGTATTTTTTGGTCTCAAATCCAAGTTTGAAGATACCGAGGTAAATTTAATGTGCAACTAATACCAACTCAACGTGGTTACTGTTGAGCTAACCATTGTGATAATTCCTCAGTCTGAACTTTCTAACGTGGCGTGGGGACGACCATCTCAAGACGAGGGCTCGAGTACGACGGAAACTGTGTCAGCCGAGGACACAACAGCAATACCAAGATCCACCACGACTGAGGCTCCAACCACTCAAGAAGCGACATCGCCCACGCCGACTGAGTCGACTGCCACTACACAATCAACGACAGAAGCATCGACACAAACAACGGTTGAATCTACAACTAAAGAGGCAACCACCAATGAATCGACGCCAACAACGACTGACGATTCGACAACACAGACGTCCGAGGAGCCCACAACTGAAGAACCGACAGCATCAACTGACGATTCGACAGCACCAACATCTGAGGAGCCCACGACTGATGCCTCGACCACGCCGACGTCCGACCCGTCCACGACTGAAGAATCGACAACGCCGACGTCTGAGCAACCCACGACTGAAGAATCGACAACTGAGACGTCCGAGGAGCCCACGACTGAAGAATCGACAACTGAGACGACCGAGGAGCCCACGACTGAAGAATCGACAACTGAGACGTCCGAGGAGCCCACGACTGAAGAATCGACAACTGAGACGTCCGAGGAGCCCACGACTGAAGAACCGACAGCATCGACTGACGATTCGACATCGCCAACGTCTGACGAGCCCACTACAGACGACTCGACAACGTCAGAGGAGCCCAGCACTGGCGATTCGACAACTCCAGATCCCACGACCCAGGAGTCGACCGGAACGACGGCGAGTACAGTGAGCACGACCATTCTCACAACTCCTCCACCTGTGGTCACGGAAAAACCTGAGTACTTTTTCAAAACGACGGTGGGTTACGTGACGGCGGGGGCGATCGCCCTTGTGTGCTTGGCTGGAATGGGGGCTGTGATTGGACTTCTGTGTTGGAAGCGCAGAGCCATCAGCCTCGCCCTGGCAGCCAGATCAGCCAATCAGAACAATATTTAGAACAATTAAAGATACTAATAACTCATTTCTTACCGTAACTCGTAATTATGCATGGCTTTAATAATAATTGTATATTTACAATAAGAAATTAAATACTGAATAATTGTATTTGTGTCGCATTTATTTCTAAATATTTTAAATTTAAGACATTATATAAATATGGCGCACACAGTTTTATGTAAACTAATAAACCGTTCAACAAGATTTACTTTAGTTTTTTAAAATAATATTGTACACATTAGCTACAATTAAAGACTAGCATGATTCAGATTTGATAAGACATGTAACCAAAATAATTCATTTCGTCATTGAAATAAGTCATGCGCTTTGGTACAGACTGCGAGTAGTGCGAGTTGAATAAATAAATTAAGGTGAGCGCGGTCATATTTTCTTATTACATCGCCATCATAGCCAAGATATTCCAGTCGAAAAAGAAGTCATACTCGTGGCCTAGCTCTTGAGCTAAGGTTCGAAAAAGTTGGGCAAGATATTCGTAGTCGGGTGTCTCGTCGAAACCGAGGCCAAGACAATAGTCCAGATATTTCTCAAATTCATCTGGTAGTCCTTTGCACAAGGTTTTGGGTCCCATGCTGCTCTTCATGTCGTAAATTTTTTTGTAGAGTCTCGTCCGATCCCTTGCCTTCATATTTTGCCAGGGGAGACCTTTCTTCAAAAAGTAGACGAGGAGGTAGCCGAGTGATTCCAGGTCATCTCGGCGACTCGGTTCAATTCCAGTGTGAGCATTAATGGAGGCGTAGCGCGCCGTCCCTGCCATCGGATTCCCTTCAGTGTATGGAGTATGCTGGCCTTGAGAATCCAGGAACCTGTTTGAGAGTCCAAAATCCACCAGATGCACTTGGTCACACTTATCTCCCACGCCCATCAGAAAGTTGTCCGGCTTAAAAATATAATGATAATGTAAAAACGTAAATATAGTAAAAATATGTAATAAAAATGTAATTCTTACTTTAATGTCTCGATGAACGATTCCTTTTGAGTGAATGTACTGGAGAATTGCAATCATTTGATCAGCCAGTAAGAGTACCGTCTTCACACAGAAGCGCTTTTCACAGAGTTCAAAAAGGTCGCTTAATGAGGGTCCCAGAAGATCCATCACCAGAGCGTTACGTTTTCCCATTTGTCCAAACCACCAGATTTTCGGAATGCCGATAGACTCCTCGCCTTCCAAAAGTTTGTACACTGCGTTCTCATGATCCAGTGAATGTTTAGTTGACGTTCTCTCAAGTTTTGCTGCAAAGTTGATCAACGTTCTGGGATCGATTGCTAAATACAGCTCGCCAAAGCCCTATATTTCATGAAAGGATACACATTTAAAGGGTACCGAATGTTTTAAAAATTTAGCACTTCGTAGGCCAACGCACCCCAGACGCGATCCGTCGCACGAGATGAAACTGTCCCACAGAAATCTCATGGAAGGTCAAACCGCCGTCAAGCATTGAGCCTGCTTTAAACTGTAAGAAACAATTCGTGTAAAGAAATACACTTTGTACAGGAAAACAAGTAGTTGCTTACCATTTTAAAATATCGACCGAATACGCAAAACGATCGACGACTGGAAGTTGGGTCGACGGCTGCCAGAAAAAAAGTCAAAGTAAGTGGCTGGATGACAACTGGAGAGCAAGAGTCGTGTTCGAGTAGTTTGCTGAATTCTAGACAAATTATAGTACGCATCCCACAATCTTATAGATATTTCGTTTAGTTAAGTCTATATTTATGGCCGGAAACTACTCACCTGGCTGCTGAGTGATGATGAGTGGGAGTACTGCTGGCTAAATCTGGTTCCTTACTGGATTTAGACCCATAAGACTTGGTAATTTGGTATTTGTGCAGGATTTCAAATAACGATAATTTGATCACGGGACAAAATTAAAATTTGTATTTCGAACTTTGTGAAATTCACTGTGAATTATTCACATTTAAGTATTATCAACTATGAAAAAGGTTACAAACTTCTTGCGTGTTTGTTGGCAGTAGAAAATTGTGATTTTGCGACACATCAACATTATCGAAGAATAACTTCAAAATTTTAAGCTAAATAAATATTATTATGCTGATTGTTTGTTTGCTTTTGTTGACGGAATAGTCAGACACGTGTCCTTCTCACCTGTCTCATTTCGTCTCAATTTTTGCTGCACACATTCTCTGCTTGAAAAAGGGAAAGGAGTGCATTGTGAGAAATAAATAGTTCATCTTTTGTGGATATAATAACTACAGTATGCGTACTTACGATTATCCCTTAGATCCTTAATTAATATTAGTAGAGTACTTATTAAGTATTAAAGAAAGGGTGCTGATATAATTGGGTGGGTTTGGCCTCAAACCAGAGAAATTTCAACATAACTTTTGAACAAGTTAATATTTTTCTTGGAAATTTTTTACCATGGCTGGAATGATGACTCATCATTGATGAGTGCTAATCATGAGCATTATAACATTCTTATACATATTTTAAAAGTGGAGAAATTCTAAATGAAAAAATTCAACCAATATTCGTCCATGGGGGTGAAAAATTTCATCAAATCTACAAAATGTATACTAATGTGGTCAGAGAAGTGCAGGCTAACCAAAAAAGTCATGTGTGAATTTAACAAAAAAAATTGTTAAAAACAGTAGACCGGAATAATTTGAATTTAAAACAATAATAATTTTGTGATAAAATGCCCAAAATTGATATTTTAAGCATATTTCATAAATATTAAGCATAATAAATATTCAATATCCGCCATATGGTAATACAGATAATTGAGAATTATTTTCCCCGACTTCTAAAAACCTAACTCTAATTCTCACACGGGTGACGGGCGGTTGATAACATGACCAGTAGGAAAGAACGCCATAAATTAGCCATACATGTGTCACTCAGACTTGTAACGCAAATGTGCATAGCAAATATTTAATTCATGGAGCTAATTACTAGTAACTTGCTAGTTACTTGCTAGGAATCTAGCAAATTTCTCTGTAAAAGTTATGTAAAGCTGCAATACGACGAAATATTAACCTTAATTGAATTACGTTAATTGCGACCCATCATTTATTTAATTCCAGACATCTTTCACGAATTATATACAGACCAAAAAATTGCAAGTTCTCAGAAGGTGTAAAAATTGTCGCAAAATTCCTTACACTGAACTCTTCACAAAGAAGTAACAATCTTACATTCCATATTTAATTTTATAGCCGGTAAATGATATCAACCTGTAAAAAGCTAGTTTCATTTCGCCTTAGCAGAATGCGAGGTATGTCCATTCATTGTTACCGATGTAGAAATAGAAATATGTACAAGTCTACAACTTAATCTCCACTTTTCGCAGTAGAGAGACTAATAATTCGCAAGTTTAATAAACCTGTTAGTACCTGCCTGTAGCAGCGAGGACTAGCAACTAGCATGCACAATCGAGTGTCGTCATTTTCCAAGAAAAACGAAACTTAAAACTCTACCTCATTTTTGCACTTATTTCCTTAAAACTGCATCGACATTAAATAAATATGTATTTATTTGCCAAAAGCTAAAAGTTGGAGCCTCCAACCTAATTGCAATTACTTGCTGTACACATGAGAGATAAATGTAACAATTTTACAATCATAAAGTAACAATAATAATAGTCGATGGCTAATATAATGATGTTGAACATTGAACATTTAGTGACCCCGACACTTGCACTCATCCCATTAACAAAATTAATGGCATCTTGGTTGGCGTTTGCCTTATGTGAAAAAAATGATAACAAGGATAACGTTACTAATCATTTTTAGAGTTTAGTTTAGAGTTTAGTTTTTCATGGCTTTCAAACAAGTGCATGTTCAAAAAGTTGGCTCGTTCGTTTGCCTAATTTTGTACACCATCAGAAGAAGCATGCACACAGACACTTATTTCTTGATTTCCGTAGTAAATATGTAAAGTAGCGAGGTGTGCAAAATTAGTTGCAATCAATACGCATCCCATCTTATGCATATACGGACGTACGTACATGTTACGTGTCTACATATGTGCGGAATAAGAAATCATAGCAAGTTACATATGCTGCCTACACGCACGACCAGTCCATACGTCGACCAGTGTAGAGTCCCTTTCTTAAATATTTCGACGTAAGGAGGTAATTCCGAGATGGAGGAACAACAATGTGGAAGCATACGCCACGACGCCAATTAGCACTGACGAGATCCCACCTCTGTACCAACTACTCCATGCAAAAACTGGTTGATACTCTTGATACTACATTATTTATGTCACGGTAAACAATATTTCCAAGTGAAATGCGTGCATCTCAATGTAACCACTCGCCGTCTCAAGCCGCATATAAAGCTGAACTTGACCAGCTTTCGTTCTAAACACTTGCCGATCAAGTAAGTAAAAGAGACCAAAGTTGAGGAAATATCAAAAGTAGTCTCAAGTTGCCTCCAAACAAGACATTGGATATTATCCACTTCACTTTATTGAACTTATCGCCAATCGCCATAAACCGCTTACCAATCAATATAATTATTAATAGCACTCCTAGTTTAAAGTATCAGTAACAGTTTCAGTTAATAATCAGATAGTAAATAGTTCGAAATGGACGAGAAATCGCAGCCCACCGACATTCAGAACTACTACCAAGATCGATCTCTATTTTTGACGGGAGTGTCGGGATTTTTGGGAAAAGCGTTATTGGAAAAATTGCTCAGATCATGTCCCAAAATTGGCACGATAAATGTACTCATTCGACCAAAGTCTGGATTTGATCCTGGATCCAGATTACGGACAATTTTTCAATCACCCGTAAGTTTACTATCCTCGTAGTTTATGGTACAGTTTTATAGTACATGCTTATATATTAATTGTATTGATTAGATATTTGACCTCCTGAAATCACAAAACCCGGGTGCGCTGAACAAGGTGCGTGCAATTGGGGGCGACATAACTCTTCCACATTTGGGGATCAGTGAGGATGACCGTCGTCACTTGACTGAAACGGTCTCCGTGGTCATCCACTCTGCAGCCAGCGTCAAGTTCAATGAGGTTCGTACTCCAAATTCTGACCAGTTTATTATTCCCAGTGAATTTTATTCGATTGTGTCGTGTCTTTTCTTGTCCAGCCGATTAAAGTAGCTCTAAACATCAACTATCACGGGACTGCGCGGATCCTGGAGCTGTGTCATGAAATGCCACTATTGACTGTGAGTAAAGTAGCAAAATCTTATGTGCACCTTGATCAAAATCCATCATAAATCGATCTATAACGCTTTCGTTTCTGTTTTTTAGTCTTTTGTGCACGTTTCCACTGCGTATTCGAACTGTGACTTGGAGCATGTTCCAGAGAAAATAGTTCCCTCCACCGTTCGACCCGAGGATATTGACGCTCTCAGCGACGAGGACGCTGTCAAACTAACGCCAGCCTTGATTGGTGACAAACCCAACACCTACACCTTCACAAAGTCCTTGGCTGAAAACCTCCTCCGGAAGGAAGGAGCCCAACTCCCCATTACCATTGTTCGACCATCCATAAGTACGTGTGTATGTCATGACGAGGTCAAAGTATGCAACGAGCGAGTATTAACTGGGATTAACTGACTATTGAATTGTACTTGTAGTTGGAGCAGCCTGGCAAGAACCGCAACCAGGTTATGTCGATAGCACGTGCGGCGTTACGGGTGTGATGGCCGCCAGTGGGAAGGGCTTCCTCACCTGCATGTGTGGTGATGGGGCCAGCGTTGCCGACGTCATCCCCCTCGATGTCACTGCCAATCTGATCATTGCAGCCGGATATGACATCGCCCAAACGAGGTGAATATAGCAACCGATGAGTATTAGTCAATTCTATCAGGTTTCCCATTTTAATCATAATTCACAAATAACGACAGATCCTTGGACATTCCCGTGTACAACTGCTGCACGGGTCCCGTGAACCCTGTGACCTACGGGAAGATTTGGGACTACACGTTGGAGCAGTATGAAGAAGCGACCCCTCTCAACGGCGTCCTCCGCTACCCAAGTCTCACCTTCCGCGTCTCCCTCCTCCGCTTCCACCTCATCAACTTCCTCTGCACCTTCCTCCCCTGCCTCGCCGCCGACACGGTGGCCTACTTGGGAGGCGGCAAGGTCAAAATGATGCGAGCATACCGCAGACTCATCAACTCGGTCGTGGTTTATCACTACTTTGCCTCCAACCAGTGGTCCTTCGAGTCCTCCAACTTGGAGCGACTTAACCAGCGGCTCAGTCCGGCCGACAAAAACATCTTCTTCACCAACGTGAATGAGATGGAGTGGCGAAGCTACATTCGAAACTATGCGCGTGGAATTAAAACCTGGATTTTCAAAGAAGACGCTAATGATGTCGAGGAAGCCAGGAAACGAATGTTGAGGTGGGTTTGTTATGCATTTATCTCACTGTCTCAATTTCCCCAACGTCGCTTTTACAAATTTGTAGTTAACAGGAGATTGACAACTAATTTGTTTTTTGTAATATTGCAGAATGTACTGGATTCAAAAGGTTCTTTTGATGGTCACCATTTCCATTCTGTGGTCATACGCAGTCAGGCCGTTAATGTTTTTGTTCGTGTCGCACGTGTAACGATTTAATGTAAATACAATAGTAATATTCTGATTGTGTATCTCGTCAATAAATTCAGATTTTTTATACTAATGCATAAACTAACGTTGACATTCTATTCTACGACTGCATTATTTGTTCACAGAATAATAATAATAGGTCATGTGACCTCGTGACATGATGAAGGCATGGGATTTGGCCGTGTGCTTTTGGGAGTCTCACTTTGCTCACTGCGGAATCTGCGAGAGGGGGAATCAGTGAATTCCAAGTCGCGCGAACCAGCCTGCTCCTTTATCCACACACACTTTCGTTTGTCCTCCTCTCTTGTCGTTTATTTATACTTTGCCAAAAATTAAATTGCTCTTAACGTGTGGAGCATTTTCTGAGTGAATTGGTGTTTAATTGTGTAAAATGAACGGGGACAAAGTGAGGTCAGTTCACAGGGCCCGAGTCAATGGAGCCTTTCTTAACCAGTATCACGGAAAACCGGTGTGCCTTTTGGGAACGGTGCTGAGGGTAAGTTTATTAAAGAAATAAAGAAACGTACAGTACTACTGCTGGTACTAACGGATTTTATATTGTCTTTTAATTTATTGTGTTTAGGCGGACGGTGGAGGTTCAGCCTTTCAAGTTCGTTCTAGTGACGGTCAGACGATTAATATTCGACTCAAGACTCCCATTTCTGAACCGCTGCAGGGTCTCATCGAGATTTATGGGACAGGTCAAGGCCGCAATCTCATCCTCGCCGACTCTTTCACCATCTTTCCCGAAACTCTGGCTGCTACTTTTGGTGAGCAATTGCTTAGTTGAATCTTAATCTGGATGTGAATTTTGAGAATTATCTATTGACGGAATGTTTCATTTGTAGATATGAACACGTACAACGAAACATTGGTTGTTCTCCAGCAGCTGAATGATTACATATGGCTCCCTTCATAACTTCCTGTCCAGATTTGATTTTCCGGTGTTTAACGTAATAATTTTCTTTCTAATATTAAAATGATTGAATATGTTGCACAAGTTTAACAATTACTCAAACAATAAACTAGATATTAAATAATATGGCTGCCAAATAATAGGTCTCGTGTCATTGCAACCCCTCATAAATGACTATAATTGATACATATACTTATGTACATACATCTATATTTCTATAAATGTCATGATTAATATTGCATAACCACTTCGGTCAAGGCAAGAATCCCTTCCGGTATATGAAACGTATCGACTTTCCCCCACTGCTACTTACGCTATTTTTGGCCATATCTCATTTCTGCACATTCGTTCCGTATCCAGTATTGCAATTATATTTGACGTGGACATGATTGAGAGTGACCGTGTGTGTATATAGCCGTACAGGAAATTGCGAGGTGTGTCTCATTCCCATGCCCGAAATTGGAAATGTGACAGGAGACAAATGGGAACGTTGGTGGTGGTGCTGCTCCTTCTTTAATAAGTACAATACATCATTACCACGATTACCAAGTGTAGCGTAATTTAATTTCCCCATCCAGCAGCTCTTTACCCAACAGCAACGTTTTCTGCTGGCGGTGTCGCGACCTTATTAGATTTACTCAGATTCGGATGATTGAAAGTCGATGTGTTCTCCGGATTTTATTCCACAATTTCTCCTAATTCGACATCCCTCACTTTCTCCGTACTTACACATATTACTCTCAAGTGAATTAGAGAAACTTTTGTTGGAACTTGCCCTAAACAGTGGTAAGCGTTATTCGGGAGTAATGCGGGCGGGCTCTCTTTTTGTCACTGTAAAATAGAGGAAAGTTTTAGGGAGATCATTTCCCTTGTTCCATTATTCGACGCCCACGTTGGCTAAAAATAAACACCCGGAGAAAGTTGATTCAATTGTTGTACGTCATCGTCATCCAGTCTTCACTCACTCACTCATTCGCTCGCTTCTCTGCGGTCGTCTTCCACACTTTTGTGTCACTAATAATCAGAATAAAAGGAATTATGAACCTTCATTGAGTGCGAAGCAAGAAGGAGAAGAAGTCAATCTTGGGCTTGTATGCTCGCATTAATCGTGATAAAAAAGACTGTCGCCGACCTACATTATTATTTGGCCAGTGGCCGCGGAAGCCGTGGTGACATCTGGGGACATTGTAGGAAAGGGGAAGGAGGGGAGGGATTTATTTAACATGGGCAGATGACGGGGACATCGAATAACCGTGGGGACATTGTCCCTCTGTCCCCACGCTTCCGCGGCCACTGTATTTAGCTCTACGTAATAAATACGTATTTATATGCGGCATCCATATGGATATGCTTCCGTTGGTTGGTAGTTAGTGGGGATAGTACGTAGTGGCTTTGGTGCTTTGTTTGGAGGTGGCGATGGCGAGAGGAGAAAGCGAATGTGGACAAATGTACCATCGACACGCAATGTCCTAATTTTCACCTTCTTTTCTCGAGAGCGCACTCCAATAAAGAAAGCAAATTGACAGCCTCGTCGTTCTTGCCCAGGACGTAATCATAATCAGCTCAAGGCTCCCAGTTTTTCACGCATTATTGGATTTCGTACGGGAAAATGGAGCAACAAATTTATAACCGATAAGTATGTACTTCTACGTCTAAAATGAAACTTCAGTCAGTCCGTCTTCTCCCAAAAATACGACGTCGAATAAATTCTTATCGACGCGTGCTCAATTTAAAGTGCTCGATTTATTTTTAAAATGCAACAGAATTTTATCCAATTATTAATCATTTTTCAAAATCATATACATCAAACAAGAACATGTGTCACAAAAATAGCATACAAAATTATATCATCTCTGGAATAAATATAGAATTTTGTTGGCTTAACTATGCAAATGTGAGGCTGATCTAACCACTAAATGTATTTACATATTTATGTATGTGCATTTACAATCTCTTTACATTGCATGATTTTTATTACATATTTGTGAGATTTTTATTTTATTTTGATAACTGCCATAATTATGAAGCAGGTAAAACTTCCTTTATAACGAACAAAGTGCAAAAACCTAGCTAACCAAGTAGTTAACAATGTATTATGTAAGCAGTTGATAAGTATTAGGGTTATTATAATTGGTGCATATTTAAGTATACATTTAATTTGGTGTATGTACATAAATACACCAGAATTCATAATACATCTTTTTTTTTCACACGACGAATTAGGGTATGCATCTAATAACAGTATGACACACACATAAGTTAAGTATCTATTTAGTATTCATTCATATTTGTTAGTAGAACTTTCGTATAGAAGCTCAGGCCTTTTTATTTCAGGGTTGTAAAACCCTGACCGAGTTTTTATGACTCACGCACGTGTACATAATTCAAAGAGAGTTTTTTTATTAGACTGAAGAAATGTAGAAGCGTTTAAGTTTGAAATCGGAGATTCATCATGCCCGAAATAAAAGAGATTACAGATCTGGAGACGAAATCATTACTCGTCGTCCTCCTCGTGCTAGTCTCCGCCAAGGGACAAAGCCTGCAATAAAAACATTATTGGTAAAATCGGCGTAAAAGATCCTTTTCTTGGACACGATGTGAATTATGGAGCTGCACAAAATACATGCACGATATACCCACGAACGAATGTACCTGAACAATTCTAGGGTCGGCCTTGCTCCCTTCGCGGAACTCTTCCAGCGTGAGCCGATTGTCGTGGTTAGAATCCATCTGGTCAGAACGAGGGGTGTCAAATTTTGGTCTGGTTTGTTTGGCGACAAGATCAAATGGGTGAGGCTTACCTGGTTAAAGATCTTATCGACTCGTTTTTGTGGCGTGTTCTCATCCTCACTGGTCGGGGCTTGGCCCTGCAAGAGACAAGAAATTCGCGTACATAGCTTATTGCCATCATCATCAAGATTGAGTAGGAAGAAATGTCGATGAGACTTTGCGGCATTCCATCGAAAAATTTTGTTATTTGGGGAATAAATTGGAATCTCGTGGGTTGAGAATGAGATGAAAAAGGGATGGGTCAACGTATAACCTCGTCGTTTTGTGTGCAATATGACGATCCAGAGCATCGGGTACCTTTGGTGGGCGTGTGGGATGAGATGCTTATCGAAATAGGGGAATGGATTATTTTTATTATGATTATTGGATTCGGCTTTTGTGATGCCATTAGGATAAGGTGAAAGGCAGGCCCATTTCCAAAGAGATTTGGAATCAATCTGATCTCCGGCATACGTAACTTTGTCGATCCACCCGTTTAGCTCTCTCGTTAAATTCGCATAAACCTCTTTTTCCAGCAACCGAGAATATTCCGTTGGAAATATCTCCGACAAAATTAACTTTGAGATTCCCAAGTTTCTTGGTCCTCGTCCTAAACCTTATTATTGCTGTCTTCTCCTTCTCCCAAGACGACCCGACCACCGAGGCTAAATCTGTCACACAGTTTGAACTTCATGAAATGAATGATGCAATTTTACTTGTAAATTGTGAAAGTGGTTCAGGGAAGCGTTAAATTAAACTTTTTTTTAGCCCGAACCAGAGCTCATGCAGCCATTTGTCTGTCCGTCCCTTCGACGTCCAATAACTTAAGAATGGATTAACCGTTCTTTTAATTCTTCTCTTCACTTCTATTTTTTACAAAAATTTCTCCAAGAAGGTGAGAGATCTGCCCGACTGGGTTCTTGTCATTATTCATTAAAAGTAACACAAATTGTGTACAATGAGTAATTATGAATTTGGAGCTACAAAACGAAGAGGCTCATGAAGTCGGTTTTCTAAAAAAAACTTTTCAGGTTGTCCCCCTTTTTATAAAGGTTTTATCGAAATTTCATGTCACAGTGGTTCGGACTATGCGAGGTTGGTTCTTCTGTTTTCTCCGAGGCAGACGTGCCCCTGTGATGCCTTTGTTCTTTATGTACGCTTCGGAAAAAAACAAACCAACATTTTCAATCTGGTCCCTCCCAGAGTTCAATCTTTGCGAATTCACGCATCATTTTGCTCCCTCAGGTCACCACAAGAAAATCGAAACAAAAAACGCTCCTAAAAAGAAACCTATCCAAGCAGCTAGATACGATTCCTTATTTGCTCCCGATCAACCATCTCCAAGCTATTGTTTCCACCGCGTGTGCCAAATTCTCGTATTATACTTCTGATTATGGTCCAAATTCAGAAATCTGGTCGCGTTTCAATGAGATTCTAAAACCCAGGGACATGTCCTGCTCTATGTACAAAGAATCCTAAATACCAACCAACACCCCATTACTCGCGTGTAGTTTGTTGTGTGTGAGTGAGTGAGTGAGAAATTCCACCAGGATAAGACCACAAAGTAGAGAAAATGGTTAAAAATGTGGATTTTCTCCGGATTTGTGCAGACTTTAAAAACTCTCTTTGCACGGTTCCCCCCAAACTCATTGCCATTCTTGAACAAGTGCAGATGTGAGGACGCCACGTCCATACGAATCAGCGAGTCAGTCACACTCTCGCAACCTCTGCTCCTCTCCCATCCCAACGACGAGGCTTATTATCTCCTTTCTCCGTCATCAGACATCAAGGAATACAACGAATCCCATCACACAGATCCTTCACCACCACCAATAATCGAGTTATCAACATGCAAATATTTCTTTTGTGTGCAGCATGACTTAGTCTTTTAGGAAAAAATGTTTCGAATTTGTTGAGGTGTAAGTTTTCTCCGTCGTCGCTCGCTCCTTTCGCCCTTTGAACAAGTCTGACTGCGAAATGTTTTCTTTAAATTGTTTCTTGTAAGGAAAGTCCCGAATGGTCTGGAGGATTGGATCAGAGAAAGCTCGGGAGAGAGAATTGTCTCCCTTACGTCATCTCGCATTGTTTGGCTTTTTCTTCCGTGGGGTGAAATCCTCTCATATTTTAGCTCATCTGCGCCAGTCGACGGGGATCAGCCACCAAGCAGCATGAGTGGGTTTTCGCTGAGAAAATGTGAATCGAGACCACACATTCAGTGATCAGCAGGTTCACCTTGATGCTGCTGCTGCTCCTTTGTTTTTGATGGCATTGAGCATGCATTGTCTTATTTGTCTTGTTGTTGATCGAGTTTGGCCCTGCTCAGCATTTCAAACTTGTGGGACAGACGCCACGCCGGGACGAGCAGCAGCAGGAGGAGGAGGAGCAGAACAAATGAGAACTTATTGTCCATTTTCACCACGTTTCCACCCTTTGTACTCTTCATTTGGTTGGTGGTGTGATCTACATACTGCCACGAAGTGCATGCCGTATTAGATATTCGTAGTTGCCAATATAGCTTGCTTATCGGTTGCCCTTCTTTGTGTGTCTCTAACTTATTCACCTTTTCTCTTTCTCCGACCGACTTCAAATTGATTGGAGGTTTCGTCTCACCTTGCGAAATGTATTTATTTTGCTGGCGAGGAATTTTTCAATCATAATAATTCACCTTCTCCTGAGGAAGAAATGAACCCAATTTATGCAGTAGAGTTCTTATCCATCCTGTGTCCGTGGCCATGCGAAAAGCGTTTCGCCCCGACGGGAGGAAAACTATAATGCCATGATTCATTAATTGTGTCGCTTCCTTTCCGTTTGGTTAGGTTGGGCAAATAGTCGGCGACGACGGTGTATTGATACCGACCGATGATGGCAAATGACAGTGGATGGTAATGAGAATTGATCGCAAATCTCCCCACGTATTCCCCATAAATCATCATCCTCGCCGTCGTTCCCTCCGCCATTATTATTAGCACAGGAAAAACCTCGATTTGCATTCTATCCACTCCATCACGTCCAGTGACAGATATGTCGTCGAGGAGAGATTGCGAAAAAAGAATGTTGCAAACTAAATACTTTTTTCCCACGTAGAATCAAAATTATGAAAATGATTTTTAACCAGAGTCGAGCTCGTTCAGATCATGATCTGTTTTTCAACGAGTCTTTCTCCGTCTTATGTAAAACGAGTAATATTTAATCGGATGAGTGCGGCGTGTCCTTGGGCAGGCTTATCAGCGACGCCATTCCTCACTCCTTGCGAGAGAGGTGAGAAAGATGTGTGGTGAAGGGAAAGGTCGACCTCATTATTTTTGGTTTGAGAATAACGACTTGGATTGCGGTGAGAAGATGCCACGGCGCACGTAACAACACGTAATATGCCCGCAGCTCCCAATTAACAAGGAGGAGGGGAAAGCCAGCCGAGGAGCAGCAGCGGCAGACAATTAATGAGGAGAACAAAAGACAACAGGTAGGCAGCAACTTGGTTTATTCTCTCCTCGCTGGTGGAAATGGGTGAAATATATGGACGTGCGAGTAAGTGTAAGTGACTGCTGTTGCCGATGGTGGGGAGATTGGTTTAATTTCTCTCAAACATTGCCAACAACTTCATTCCAATCCTAATTACAAGCCCACTTTCTCCTCTCCCCTCTGGAGCTGGGCTATACCTCTTCTTCTCGTGTGTGTGTATTTCACGCTTAACACAATTCTCTCCACATCGCCGCCGCCACTTACTTACATACGTAATCATATAAAGGAGTGAGACGAGTGTGGGATTACAGACACGAATCAGTCGTGTAAGCCATTCTACAGTTTATTTCTTTCTGCCCATCAATTTATTTTCTGCTGCAATAACACAGGAGTCTGAAATTTGATGAGATTTATATGATCAGCCAGAGCCGACCTGGGCAGGATCGTGGGAGCCGTGAGAGGGAAAGTTGTAGTGAAGAAAGATAAAAATGAAGGATTGGATTAATAGATAATCCGACTGGGAATGGACAATCGATACTTTTTTTTGCCCGAAAAAACTTTCCCCGTAATTAGCAGGAGCTTACTCCATCACTCCTCGACCTCCTCCATTGCCTCTGACAATCACCATAATTTCTCCAGTTATCAGCCCCTTCTTCTTCTTCCACATATAGACTGACACACACGACGCCGTGTTGTTCAACTGCCCTTGACCTTTTCTTGACATCTCAATTAAGAGATCCCATCCGAGAATTATTTATGGGAATTGATACCCGCCCCCCGTCGAAGGAAAGGTGAGGTGAAAGTTTCCGATTTGACCATGGTAGTCGATATGCTGCACTGCACGTAGGCATTCGGCAGATTTGACGACCTACCGACTATTTTAGTCCCACGCGCCCTCCTCCTCCACTCCCTCCTTCTATATGGAACATGGTAATTAATGATTTAAATAGAACTCGATCCCACGAAACGAGCACGTGTTGCTTTCTCCAAGCGCCACATACACATCCAGAATTGTGGGCGCTACAGGCTGTTAAAATTACATGACATTGTTTCCCCTCTTGCCCAATATATTTGCAGAGTGGATGGCAATCGGACTTTATGATGGGACAAGAACGAGATGAAGCCAAGGAGGTCAAGCGAATAGCCAGCGGTGAGGACGAAGCGGAGTGGAGAAAGCAGGCTCATTTGTTGAACAAGAACAAATATCTTGTTCTCTTGGGCGAGTCTGCCTCCTCCTCTTTCTGCAATGCGTATCTTTCTTTCTGGTGGCTTCTCCCCCTCCTGCTGCTCCTCGTTCCCAGTCATCACGAGGGAGCCGGAGTGGGCCAGCGTTTTATGGCAATAGCCGGAGGAGGAGGAGGCGAGTATGCAAGAAACAAGTAACTCGAGCTGCTTGAGAAAACACATTTTGCTCTCTCTCAAGACAAACACGGAGGAGTTGGTGAGGAAAAGCCGGAGCAGAAATGGCTCTCCGCCCTCCGTGCGGGGGACACGAGTCATAAATATTCCCTATCTTTTTATTATGCGGTAAGTTGGTGAAAGCCATCGCATCATGTTTACTTCATAACGCAGTAAACAGCACTTATTTCAAATTCAAAACCATTTTTTCAACTGCTCCCATCAATTCTTCTCCCTCTTC